TGGCATGTGCAAAGACGAGCTCACTGTGCTAGGCGCATTTTTGGAGAGTTTACCATGTCCCCTCATGGTAGGAAAAATGCTCTTTACCGCACTCGCCTGTCACTATGTCGAGGAAGGAATCGTGCTTGCAGCGTGTATGACGCATATCACGGACGGCGGGAAAGAACTAGACGTCGTGAAAAGTACGAAGGAGTGCCTCCATCAAAACAACGATCGGAGCAGAAGATACATGGCGAACGGATACGCTGAAGAGTTCTATCCAGATGATAATTATACAGGAAGAGCTGGCCAGGGAAGGGGATCTGGTAGAAGGGTATTTTCAAATCAACGACCACGTGGAGCTGCTCATGGGGGCGGTTTTGTAGATGCTAATCCTGTGAAAGAGGACCTGAAGAACAAACATCACAAGTGGCGCGAGATGCGGTATCAGACCTGCGAGTGGCAATGTGCATTCCGAAGCTACTTCAACGGTGACTCTTATTCTGAAATCGCTTCTCTCTATCGTGCACTGGAATTCATTTTCAAGTGTAAGCAGAGTGCTGGGCCAGTTGAAGGGGCAGCACAACCTTCGGAGCAGCGACCGTCTACTTTCTCTTCAGTTTATTCTTCTGGTGCTGGGTACTACACGAACAAGCGAGTATGGCGTGACTGGATGCTTGGCCGCAGCAATCGAAGCAACCAAAGAGAGGATGGCATTCCTCGTATCCCGGCGCTGCCCGGTGTCGTTCCGGAACTTGACATCAATACTAGCGATGAAGGTGAGCGTGAGCGAGGACTCCGACAACCATCTCGGTCTCGGAAGCAGAAGCGGAACCACGAAAGGTCTTCCGACAGAGTGGCTGAAATGATCAAATTAAAATTATGAGTGTAGGAAATGTATCTCCAAAGTCAACATCTTCTGGACAAAGAAATATATACGAAGGAAAGGAACCCAGATGATCTGTGAGATGCATTCCCTATCCCTCTAATAACAGGGTGGCTGCAACTGGTGGAACGCATTAAGGACATTACCACGTGCTTCAGCCGAGGGCTGCATTGGAAGTGGGTGAACGAGCGCGCAATGGATTTGCGCCGTGTGATCGGTGGCTACGCACCTGATCATAGCCTCCGGTTCTCGCGTGACTTCGACCCGAACTGGTGGATAGGGTATGCCTACGCTCACCAGCACCTTGCCCTGTCCATGGGCGACCTTGCGCGCCAAATTTCACTCTGGAATAGGGCTGCTACATATACACCTCGCACTACAATTGAAAACGATCCGAATGGAGTCACGAGCAGAACGAGTAGTACCCGAAAAGGCGATGCACGAACAAGAAATGGCGTTGTTTGCTCTGGTGCTGCTTCATCTAGCAGGGCAAGATTTTCCCCGAACGATAGGAGCAGGAGCCAGTTGGTTTTACTGCCAGAAAGTGTGCAAGGTAAGTGGCTCTCTGACTGTCAAAAAGGCACAAGCGTATTTGCGGATGTCTACAGGGGAGCGGCGAAGGAGGCAACAGCGGTAAACGAAGAGGGGCTTTTCGGGACGCAGGAATCAGCGGCACGAGGAATACGTAGTCGCTCTAGTAGTGTGGACCGAGCCGGTTACTCGTCTGCAGCACTACATATTGCAAGATCGACCGAGAGATTGCTACAGCATTCTCCTGGGAGGTCGACCAGACCACCGCAGATTCGTGACATGGATCGCGCTAGCAGATTGTCTGAACGATTAAAAGATGTCATCTCGATGCCTCCTGGTGTAGGCGTACCGCGAAATAATCCTACAGGAGCGCAGTTTAGTCTACTCGAGTATCACTTTGCCGACTACCTGAGCCAGCCTCTTGTTAGCCCGTCAATGTGGGAGCGCTATCCTTCGTACAGTAAGCTCGGACGCATGAAAATTTTGACGCAGGACATTTTAGAAAAGGTGATGCGGGAGATGAGGACGAGCTTTCCTCTGATCACAATAGCGGCCTCGGCGCCAGTAGCCAACAGCACCGCGGCGGGAGGAGACGAGGCTGAGGGCGAAGTCGATGGTCCTTTTCAGGTAGGAGGACGTAGAAAAAATAAGAACAAGATGAACCTCAACCCCTTGCCGGATATTGGAGGGCCATCGTGGGAGCAGCAGTTCTTTAGGGAGATCATCGCAAAGGATATTCGTTGGAGGAAATGTTTCGCAATGTTGCCACATACAAACCAGCTGCACTTTTCGGGCCGCGTTGAAATAGGCCAGAAGCACGTGCTGGAAGACCCCACGAGGAAGATTCATCAGCAACACCCGAATGCTGTTTTTAAGGAGAGACAGGCAGCCGCTTTGGTACCACCGCTGTCCGCCCAACAGGCAGCCATCGTAGATCTCGACCGGTATCAGTTTCGGCAGTATTGCGATACTATCACCTCGCCGCGGCTAGTGAAAGGTCGAGAATGGCAGGCGAGGGAGAGAAACTACAGTGCCCATTGCAAAACATACGAGGCAGAGGCAAAGGATGCTTTGATAAGACGACATGGTGAAAAAAAACACGATGACTTTTGGTTCACTGGCAGCTCTGCTGAAAACCGTGTCGATTACAATTACAGAGTTCTACAAACACTACATAGCCAACAAAATTTACCTGGATCGAGAGGTTACCGAGAGCATGGCCCAGTCGCTACCCTTTTGAGGATCGCCCAAATCCAAGACGAGAAGCTAAAAGAGAGGGCTAGAGAGGTCCGACAAGCAGAGAGGAAAAAGGCTATTGCGCGAGCACAAAACGACTGCTCATTCGCTCCGCTAGAAACCATCATGGAATCCCAGTCGGAACAAGAACAAGAGCAAGACGTAAGCACACGACCTAGTAATGATTGCGGTTCTAAATCTTCTGGTCGACGACGCGATCGCAAAAATCCCAAAAGTGGGATTAATATCGGAATACACCAGCGGCCAAGTAAGAGACATGCAGTCAGCACTTGTGGAACGCTGCAACCTATCATGGAGGAGAGCCCGAACTCTAATTGTGGTCGTCGTGCTAAAAGTAGACCGCAGAAGGACAAGATGAAGAAAAAGCATAGTGGCTCGGTGTCTTTCTCCAGAGCAAGCAGAGGCATCAAGCACTCTTCGTCTTCTAGTTCGTCAGCCTCTTCTTCCGGAACAAAGAGTAGTAGCGATTCGGATGACGAGAAGAGTAACTGTTCTAGCAATGTACACCTGGAAGAGATTGCCTCGACCGACGAAGAACTTGGCGATGTGGCGTGTAGGGACGCAGATGAGCCATTACACACTCATTATTTTCCGCCATCGACCTACGAGAGATTGCTGCACCCGACGGGTCGCGGTAGATACAGTGAAGACCCTCGCGGAGTGTGGCTCAGCGAGTACTTCGAAGCTACCGTCGATGCGGTTGTAAAAAAAGACGGTGAAAAGTATCTTAGTTGTGTAGAAGGACGAGACCGAACTCTCGACTCTTATTTGGCGAGCAGACGTCCTCGAGGTCGCTCCGCTGGCGTCGGCAGAGATCGGCTGGGCTCGATGGACACCGCGAACAATAGAGAAAACGGACTCCATAACAAATTCACCAGAGCCAAAACACTGGGTGGTCCTCGACCTTCTCGCGGCATTTTGAAAAAGAAAGAAATCGATCCCGCGTGTTCGCGTCTCAACAATAACATCAAATTTGAAGCAAAAGAAAAAGTAGGTCGCGACCGGTACCGGTGCTCTAATCGCGCAGACTACTGGCGCAAGCGGCAGAACCACGCAATACGCCATCGCTTCTGCATGAGGTACGCCCCTCTGCTTCACGAGTATCATCGTAAGTCAGAACGACGGGCCGACTTCCGCGTCTACATTAAGGGTAGATGTACAACAAATACAACAGAATAAATAAATGTCCAGCATCTTCATGATCATCTCGTTGTTGTTTAACACAGTACATCAACTCATTCGTCTCTTCACTGAGCCTAAAAAGAAAGGACGGTCCATGCATACAATGCATATTTTTGCCTAACTTGAAACAACAAAAAGTAGACACAACGAAGAGTAGACTGAAAATTACATGCAATCAAATGCGGTAGTTGCAGAAGATATCTGTTTCCAGCACATTCCATCGCAGGAGCTGTCGGCGACTTCTAATCATCAGCAACGATTACGGGACTACGTACCGAGGAACGGCGTCCTTCCCCTGGAGATGGAAGCTTTGCTCCGACTGGCGCCCATCGACGAAAAGTACCCGAACCAGTTTCTCGGTGAAGATGACGAGACCCTTCATGGCGTGAAAAGCCTCAAAATGGAAAGGCAGGAGAAGTGGGTCTACCTTACACAGGAGAGCACAACCCGGAGACAACTTCTGATGCCTTCTGACACAAGAAGGGGCGATCGGCGAGGACTAAACAGGAGTAGAAGCAGAACAAAGAGTCCTCGAGGCTCTGGTAGTTGTACACGTGGTAATATGTTGAGTCGAGGAGGAAGAGCATTGCCTTTTGCCTCGTCTCCTGATCATGATCGCACGAGAACAAGACAATCTCCAAAGGAAGGGCGCCCTCCCGCGAACTTCTTCAAAAATTTTGAACCTATGAAATGCCAAGTGGATCGTGGTGGCACACTGAACACAATGATTGAGGACTTCACGGAGGTCAAATTTCTGACTGGAATGACTGCTGTCGTGCAGGGCGGGGGTGGCATAGACCGACATCCAGACGACACATCAACCAGGTATCGCCTGACGGGGGCGACGCTGCTTCCCCGTTCCCAAGCGATCGATCTCTACCTTATGCAGGCGTGGCCGAGCACTCCGATTCCGGTGCAGTACGTGGAAAATGCCGTGGGTTGCAAAAGTCACGCTGTCGAGAAGATTTTGGTTGGCATCGAGTTCGGGAAGGAAAAGTTACGCATTCCCGAAGTGAACCTGGCTGTCATCAATGAGTTCCGCGAAGCAGAACAGCGCATTCGCAGTCGTCTATACCATCCTAGAGCCGGAAAGTACAAAAAAGCAGCCCATCAGATCCAAATCGAGCAGGAGAAAGAGCAATATGAAATTATGCAGGCAAAAAAGATGCAGGAACTACAACTTAAACAACTTGACTCTAAAAAGGGTGCAGGTGAGAAGATCAACAAGGGTCTTGGAAAGAGCCCCGTCAAGGAGATCGTTGACGAAGCAGTTGCTTCGAAAGCAAAAATCGAAAAGCATCAACAAGTTGCAGTTGCAAAAAAACCTGAAAGATACGACCGGACGTACTACCTCGAATATCTTGGCGATGGAACATACTGCACAGGCGATGGCGAATACAGGGACGAGAGCTCGTTCACCGATGCGAAAGCGGCCTTTGCCTTTCTCGATACTAAAATAGTCGATGAATACGACTACGATGGCATGGGATTTCTGGACGGAGGCGGTGGAGACGACGGAGCCGGAAAAGGACGGGGAATTGTGCAGCAAACGTCCTGCATGGACATGATAAATCCGAACGCGTTGTGCAGTATGAGAGATGCCGCATCTAAAATTATGCATAAGCGAGCAGTAGCAGTTGGACGCTACCGCAGCCCTTACGAGCAAGCAACAAAAGCGGAAACGATTAACTTCAACAATAAACGACAAGGCGGACACAACTTTTACAAACCACCCGATGAGGACAGCAGCGGACCAACCGACTCCGACGAAAATGCTTTAAAGGACGCTCCTCGCTATGTAAGAGATCCAGCGGGGTGGTTCATGGGCGCGGGCAAAGAAGCTAAATCAAGAAAACGGAGTAAAATTCGGGCTGCGGCTGTCGTATCGACGTCTACTAGCATTGGAGGTTCTACTAGTACCACCAGTGGGAGGTCGCGCTCACGCTCTGCACAGCGCAGGAGCATGTCGTCGTCCCGTGCGACAGCTACCTTGGAGCAACGTCGCAAAAGAGGAGCACGACAGGCACTCGCTGCAAAAACCACTGCTGCGAAACAACAGGAGATGATAGACAGTTTGTTGCGAGCTACTAGAAGATCTTCCTCGGCGTCCGCGGCTTTAGAACCAAATCTTCTACAGAACAAACGGTTGGAGTTGCGAGCGCGATCGCCTTTTCCATGTAGTACTAGAAAGAACAGCAAGATAATTCAAAGAGCGCGTGCTCCTAGTAGCATCCTGAAGCACCCGAGCTTGTGTTCCTCAATATCTTCCTCAGGACGGTCGTCCAGCTCTGAAGCACAGTCTAGTAGTCGTCAGAAGTCGCGCGGAGGTCGAGGTGCTGGTGGTATCATGAGTTTCAGCGGTACGACTACGACTAAGAGTGGTGCGAGTCGGCGTTACCCCAATAAGACGCCGGGCGTGATTCCGTTCAAGATGCGGCAGACAACAACGCGCATGGAGGCAGAAGGATTGGGCGCTTTCCGAGATTTGATTGAGAGTGGCATCGAAGTGAAAAATGGCTACCTTACGGTAACCAACGATGGCCTCCTAACTATCGCTCCATCGAAGATCCCGGCGATGCCCCGCTGCCTCACCTATTCAAAGCTCCTGCGAGTCATTTATCCCGCCTGGCAAGAAATCATGGAGTGGCAAGCAATGTTTATGAACAAATATTTTTCTGAGTAGCTTTCTGCACTACAACACATCACTGATTCTGATCATGATTTCAATCATGTAAAGCAAAAATAGATCATGTTGAACATCCTCTACTCTTGAATTTATGCTTCTCGTTCTCGTCCTTACTTGATGAAGATTCCATTTCTTTGTTCATATGCAACCACAGAGATGGAGAGCGCATGCTGCAAAGTGGCCAATTTTCGGCAGCGGCTATTAAAAAGTACATGCTTCAGTCCAGGAAGGAGATGATGGACCGAGTGAGCAGACGAGTCTGGGTCTTGGGTTCCGGGCGACCTTTCTGGCGCACGTGCTACTCACACGCGATTCAGTCCCTGAAGGACTACGGTCTGCTCTGGGTATCTGAGGAGCCAGACAGCATGCCTTCTCGGTATCGGTATCGAGTCAGCCGGACCGGTCAAACCAGACCGAATCTTCTTACTACTCAAAAAACAAGTGGGAATACTCGGTCCTCTGCAACATCTGGCGCGACTGGCGATAACACAGCGAAATACGACAAGCAATCGACGCCAGCCGCAAAGCAACAACCTGAGGATGTGCAGACGTCATTTACATCATCGTGTTTGGCTGTAAAAAAGCCTTGCGTGAGCAGGAACCGACTGCTCTTAATAGCAGAAGATGATGAGGAAACCAGACGTGCCAAGTTGACAAGACAACGTTTCAGTTGGCTCTGTCCCACAGGCGCGCGACTCCTAGAAGAAAGTCGGCGACACAACCGATATGGAGTTATTGGAGTCCCTTTTGTCTCATTACAACCGCGGCCCGCACGCGGCGAGGAATCAAAATCAGCCTTAGTGAAGACGACCCTCCATGATCGTGATCGTTCTAAGGAGAAGGAGAACACTGAAATACAGCAGAAGAGAAAGGAGCCAACTACATCTGCTAAATGTACGTCTACTACGACTTTGGAGAAAGCGACAAGCCATTATTTTCACGGTGTCGTCACGAGCGCTTATCTCAACCGCGCGACTTACTCGCGAACACTGCTAGAACTAAATTTTCCGCCCTGCGCGTCTGGTTTTCGAAACTTGATCCGGGACATACAACGCTGTTTGCCAGCCGTTGCAGCGAGGAAGCGGAGAAGCAGGACTGCTGCTCGTTCGCGTTCTCACGAGAAGCATAAAAGTAACATGTATTATGCAAGACGGAGTAGCGATCCTAATCGTAGAGCCGTTGCGTTCAGGATGGATGAGCAAATGCTGAAGAAAGTAGACAAGCAGGTCAATGATGAAATTGATCAGAAATGTGAAGAGCTTGGTCACATTTTGGCCCATTTTCCACCTGATATTGGAGAAGTTTTGATGGCATGGGCTGCCGGTGGCGACATCGGGAAAGCTAAGTGTGCGGCCACCACTTGTTTAAATGAAAATTTATGGTCGTCAGCTTTTATCCATCTTCTACTTTCTCCGCAGCATCTTGGTAATGGTACCCTTCTCCCAGGGAATACAATACAAGGGAAGAGGTACCAAGCTGGGAGGATCTAGCGGGATTCAAGCTGACTCTAAAAACTGGCAAGCAAAATAGCATGTTACTGGTTGGTCAAGGCAAGAAAGAAATCGAATCCGAGAAAACATTGTCGCCAGTCTTCCAGCCAACAAAAGTAGGCTCCCTGTCGACGCAAAACGAAGTAGTGGGAGATGACAGTATCGGCACGTGGGTTGGCCGCGCAATAGGTATGCAGGGGGAGAGGGAAGAAGTTGAAACGCAACGGTGGATGACGACGGCGATGTGGAACCAACTACTAGTCTTGGTTGGTCGCGAGGCCAAATTACTTATTCCCTCCTCTAGGTCTAGGGCCGACAAAATTAAACGCTAGGATCGAGAAATGATTATGATGCCACACCCTATTCTAGTAGTTATAATATATTAAGCAAGAAAAATAGTACTGACTTTATTTTAGTAGCCTAACAGTTGTTTTTTTTCTTTTTGTTTTTGCCTATCCACCAAGAAGGACATCCTCGAATATGTTTTTCATTGCGACCACTAATATCAACAAGGGACTTGTTCGAGTTGATTCATGCCTTCAAAGACAGACACAGAGCGTTGCTAAGGTTAACACAATTGTACTTGGTATTGAATAATCAACTTGACAAGTAGGGTTGTTAGTGGCTCTACAAGTAGGGTTGTTAGTGGCTCTAAAGGTTTTCATAATTGAAGATGTTAAGAAATGACTTTTTTGTCTTGCATTTCGGTCTCGTCTCAGACTGACTTGGTGCAGGCGTGTGACAGAAAATTGCCAATACACTAGAAAACTAGGATTAAGAAAAGACAAGCTCTAAGTCATCGTCATAGCACTACCACGAAGAAAAGACAAGTTCTTGGAGCGAGGACAAACACAACAGAACAAGACTGTTCCATCAGGACCCTCAAGCTGAGCCTGCTATTATGTGACGTATTTTCCTCAGAACAAACGTGGAGAAGATTTCCGTACTTTCCACCTTAGAGATGTTCTATCGTTACCGCAAGTTGAGCATGCTATTATGTGACGTATTTTCCTCAGAATAAGTGTGAAAAAGATTTCCGTACTTTCCACCTTAGAGATGTTCTATCGTTACCGCAAGTTGAGCATGCTATTATGTGACGTATTTTCCTCAGAACAAACGTGAAAGAGATTTCCGCACTTTCCACCTTAGAGATGTTCTATCGTTGCCGCAAGTTGAGCCTGCTATTATGTGACGTATTTTCCTCAGAACAAATGTGAAGAAGATTGCCGTACTTTCCACCTGAGAAAGATAATGCTCTTGGGTAACAACTTGCTGTCGAAGATTGCGCTTCTTTTTGGTGCGAACGATCGATAGATTGCAATACTCTGGAGCAGCGTGACGAATTAACTGTACGTAACTTTTTGAGTAGTTGTAGTCAGAAAGCATAGTCAGGAGGCTGTATTTATCGTAGCCTCATCCAATCTCTTTAGTGCGTAGTAATATTTGCTTCTAGAACAATCATCATCGTGAACGGAGTCCAAGAATGAAACAAGGTCGCGATGATACATATATCAAGGACAACCAAGGGTAGCGCGATTCTATAATTCTTCAAAAAGAGAAGAAGGAAAGAAGGGCCGCCTGCTAATTAAAATTTCTTCAATACCCCACGAATGGGCACACGACTACTACTACTAGGAATGCTGCATGGCAGGGCATATGTAACCTAAGAGTTTCCACCAATTGGCCTGTGTCTCTGCTTCGTTCTAGTGAACGGGTTTTTGAATGGAGTTGTGCAGGAGCTTCGACAACAGAATACTTTTCATTTTCTAGTAAGAGACAGGACAACATGAAGGTGAAGAATATATGGTTGGCTGAGAAAGATTAGGCTTGTTAATGGCTCTGGAGTTTTCATAATTGAAGATGTTAACTAGAAATCATATTTTCTCTGACAGTGACCTCTACTCGTACTCGGTCTCTTAGCTTGACGTTGACCTGATGCAGGCGCGTACCAGAAAATTGTAGGCAGCTTGTACTCGTCGAGTAGATTGAGCCCATCAGTGCGTCCGATAAGGAGGTAGAAAATTTCGAGCACTCATTAGTCTTACTCCCACTCATTCTCATATCAAGAAGTAGGGAGCCCAAGTTCGTAGTTCAAGCTCAGCAAGTCGCGTTTGACTTGGATATTAAGTCTCTCAGTAAGCCCTTCTCACGTATATCTTTTTTTCCTCGCACCCACACCCGCCTTTCACGTGAATGATCGAGGCACTCCAATACATACAACTAGCACTTTGCTGTATAGAACTGCCTCACTTTCACATGGTCTTGTATCCGAAGATGTATATTCTTAATGATTCCCTCATATTGCTCCCGCCGAGCGTAGAGGTGCGGCAGTCGCAGCTGCGGGCAGGTACACCGGACAACACTGGGATCACCCTTTCGGCGTTCTCGGAATACAAAAAAAAATGTGCCCCGCGGAGGCAAGCTGAGTCGTGATTGACTGACGCCAATAGTCTATCTTCCGCGCGCGGCAAAGAATCCACCCTCCATAAAATACCTTGTTCTTTCTTGATGGATCTTCGTGATTATTATAGATACATAGATCACCACCTTATATCAACTATGAGTTCTTTTCATCTGGGTGCTGCGCCACCAGCACCAACAAGAACAACTACGAAGAACGCTGCGCCGCCAGCACGTGTTGTGGCAACCAACATCTTCAGGAGGGACAATAATTACCACACCTCCCATAGTAAGTTGTGGCATTTACGTTTACCATAGTGTTCTACTTCTTCATGTTGACCGAGGACTTTTTTATAAGCGCAATTCTCGGTGTTTTTATTGCCAAGAATTATAAATATGTCCCCGTCTCCTCCTCGTTCTATTCAGATCTGAATGTCGTTTTCGAATTATAGAACAAGAAAAAGATGAAGAAAAATTCATGCAAAGACAGTGGCCATGATCGAGATCCTTACTATTTGCATGATGCTCCTGCTCGTCGTGTACAGCCTAAAGTTCTGCATGATTGGCTCAGCTTTTTGCAGAGGTGTCTGACACTCACAAGAAGATCAAGATGATCTCCAAGCAGAGTGATAAATCATGAGAAGTCCCAGAACCATGATAATGTTGATCAAGAAAGCAAAAGATCCATAAGGAAGAATGAGCATTCGAAGCAGGAGCGTCTTGACAATAATCACTCACTCAAGATCCTCATCTACCTTTGCAGTCATAGACGAGAGCAAAAATAGATGAACGATACCATCTTTGTCTAAATTTCTTATTGCAGGCTCTTGATGCGTATCAGAAAGTAGTAGCCTTACATTTTCCCTGTTTTCCTGCTAACTTCTTCTCATAAGATAATAGACTGTTAGAGTTAGACAAACACGACGTCAACCTCGACCCCTCGAAGTAGCTCGTCTTCATCACCAATTATTGCGAAGATCTGTCAAAGATGTCTCGTTTCGGGCAGTTCATCATGGGTCCCGCTGGGAGCGGGAAGAGTACCTACGCCCAGCATATGGCGGAGTACATGCAGGTTGCGCACCGTAAGAACTGCCGGCTCGTAAACTTAGATCCCGCAGTGTTGGAAAACAACTACAAGAAGAGTGACGCAAAAGGTGGAAATGGATCATCACCAGGGGACAAAGATGAGGATCAAGATGAAGAGGCTCCTAATATCTACGATATTGATATTAGGGATTTGATCACCAGCGACGACGTTCAGGAGGACTTAGAGTTTGGCCCAAACGGCGGTCTTCTCTATGCAATGGAGTACTTTGCTGACAATTTGCGATCCTGGTTCCGCGAGGAGCTCGAGCAATTTGCTGGCGACAACGAGTATTTTCTGTTCGACTGTCCGGGACAGATCGAGCTGTACATTCACCATCCCGTGATGCGGTGGGTGGTGGACTTCCTGCAAGACGAGTGCAATATTCGGCTCTGTGGCGTTTTCTTACTGGATGCTTCGGTAGTTGCGAACGGCGTGTGCGCCAGCAAGTTTCTGAGTGGCTCGTTGATGGCGCTCAACTGCATGATGCACTTGGCGTTGCCGCACGTAAATTTACTGAGTAAAGTGGACTTGCTCGAAGAAGGACAGCTAGGAAAAATGCACAACGACGACGAGATAGACGAACAAGACGGAGGTGCAGCTGGTTCTACAACGGCAAGAGCAGCAGCAGAAAGACTCATCATGCCAGGAATTCGTGGTGGTGCTGCGGAAGAAGCTACTTCAGCAGGTGGAGGTCAGGAGCGCTCTCCTCCAGCAGTGCTAGAGCGTTTCCTCGACAATGAGGTCCAAGATTTGCTGCCCGAGCTGAATCGGGACATGCATCCTAGATTTCGAGCTCTGAATCATGCTCTTGTCGAGCTGCTTGACGAATACAAGATGGTTTGCTACTCCTGTGTCTCGAAATATGACGAGGACTCACTCTCCGAAATCGCGCATCGCGTGGCGGATCTCGTTCAATACTACGAGAATCAAGAGGTGGACGATCAGGCTTACGACCGTGCGATGGAGCGGGTCAATGAGCGCGCTTATGAAGGCATGGGAGAAAATCAAGAAGACCGTGAGGACTATCATTCGGGAGATGAGGACGTAGAAAGAGAGCTCGAAGAGAGTCTTGGAAACATGGATTTGGCAGATTACGGTGATATGTCCTTGGAAAAGTACGGGCTTGCAGGCGCATAGACGTTCTGGCTCTTTGCTTTTGACGCCTTTCTTGTATGATCATATGGAAAGTGGGTTCCATGCGCCAAGATCTTCTAGTTTTTCTACCTGATAGACTTAAATGATAAATGACGAAAAAGACTAGCATGAAAACGAAAACCTCTCAGTGGTTTTGCATTTTAGCTGGCGGCCGTGTTCAAGGAAGGACAGAGGGGGCAGACACCTTGTCTAAGATATTTTGCTGGTGTCGCGAGGATAACATCTGACAGGATGAAAAATGACGTCGCTCGACAACTCTTGTAAATATCTGTCAAATCAATTAAGTAGGTTGTAGTATCTTCTACAAGTATGTAGTTGCCTTTGCCATATTCAAAAAATGGTGCTGAGCGGCTCACGATATTATGGAGGTAAAAAAGCCGAACGAGAGATCATAGCAAAATGGCTGTGTCGGTAAGTGCTGCAAATGTATCATGACATGATGTTGCGCACATTCATCTGTCACTATGATCCTTTAAAAATGCATCAGTCGGTCCACGTTCTATTTTGTCGGTTACATGTTCTTGCATTTGCTGCTTCTTCATCTGTGTCGCTTTCGATGCTAGGCGTGCAGAGAGTACAAAAAAGTAGCCCCAACGTTGTCTGCACAAGAAGCACCCGCCCCACTATTCTTTCGCTTTCTAGTGATGGTACTCGACGTAGACTCAACATTTCCTTTATTTTCCCGGCGCCGAAGCTATATACTTAACCAATAAATAGAATGTCTGTGGAATCAATGAAGTAAAGATAATCTCTCCTCATCTACCAGAAAGAATAGAAAAGGAAATTATATTACGTCGAGAACAGCTGCACCACTCAGATCAGCCACAAGGTCTGTACAACTTGGTACAAAAAAAGCAGGATGTCGATGTTATCGATCTCGCATGTACGTCTGCCCGACATACCAGAAGAGGGCCTCGAAGACCCTACTCCAGCAGCTAATGCCATGATTTTGCCACTGCAAATGCAGTCGACAACAGCGATCGATATCACTCCTAAAAATTCGAATTCCTTGGAGGACACGCTAGAGATGCTGGCGGCGCGATCGAAGTCAGGAGGTAGTGGGAATGCAGGTGCGGCCTCTAGTAGCACTTCGACTCGGAGCATTCGAGCGACAGATTCCGAGAATGCGAACTCAACAGCGGGAGCGGAAAACAGTGTCATGGCTCCTCTCGTTCGTGAGAAAACACAGACCGCTACTAGTAGCTCCGTTCCTGCACAGGCTCCACAACATGGGATTGGGAACGACCAGAGTGGTCAGCATCATGATACGGATAGTACTTCTTCTGGTGGAGCAACCACAGCAGCTCCACTTCCCAGAAAGTCGATAACTGAAGTCTCGACTGAGTGTCCTGAGAATTACATCTCAGACGTGAGCAAGCTTCGCGAGATGATTCGGCGAAAGGCCAAAGCTTTGGATAGTTCGGACCAAGCCAGGGCCAAGTTGGAGTCCACAGTATCGGAATACGTGGAGTTAGTCACTTCGCTGCAGAAAGAAATCGGTGCGATGCAGATGCAGAATTTGGACGACTCGCTCGAATCAAGTCGACGCAGCATGGCTGAGCTGGTACGGGCACGGACGCATAATCTAAGCAGCAGCACGTCGGACTATATCAGTCACGTTCAGCTTGCTGGGGGATCGAGCCCGTCGTCAGGAACAGGAATTTCGACAGGATTTCCAGCTGCATCGATTCCACCAACGTCTGGTGCTGGAGTTACGCGAACGTCCGTTCTCTCCACAGGCGGAGCACGGGAAGAGGATCCTTGCCACGGCGGTACTAGTTCATCATCAAGTGCTCCCGACATGAGGGAATTGCAGAGAGTCATCGCAGAAAAAACAGCCGATATTTCAACGCTACGACAACAGCTAGCCAACGCTGATGCAAAGGTGCAACTATCAACCATCAATGGATAGACTTTTTCGTTTCTCTGATTTTTCAGTTACTAGTGATCTTCATGGTGATCTACCGCTTATCATGATCTTCTTCAACTTATCATGAAGATCTCGTTCAACTTATCATGATCTTCCTGCTATTCGATGCTTGCACTAGAGGTAGCAGTACTAACACGGATAAGATCAAGACTTGTTGAGTAGCTCTACTTATTTTCACTTTTGTTCAACACAAATCCACCTGGCAGTCCCGCGCAGCGCAACTCCAGTTGGAGTCCGATTTCATGCTGATATTGCGCGAGCAGCAGCAGCGCGTCTGGCGCGATCTCGAGGCCCAGATGCATGGGCAGTACCGTGTCATGTTTGCCGAATACAAGGCGCGAAAGCAGAGTGAGGCGCAGAGGGTCTGTGACGACGCAAAGGAGGCTCTCCAACGAGAGGCTGCGGATTTGCGCACTCGAGTGGAGAAAGAGTGGAGCGGCAGAGAGGCAGCTCTGCGAGACGAAGAGGCGGCGCGCTTCGCTATCGTGGAAGAACAGCGCAGTGCCGAACGTGGGAAACTAGAAACGCAGGTAAAGGCCGCAGAGAAGCGGGCTCAGGCTGCCTCTAGCGAGAGAGACGCGTTGTTGGAAAAGCAGAGTGCCTTGGAGGACGATTACACGCAGAAACTTGTTGATTTGGAGAAGAAGCTCGAAGACGCGATGGAGATGAAGCGGTCGTTGGAAAATGCGGCTGCGGCAGACCGAGAAAGGCTTTCTCTTGCAGAGGATGAAGCTAGTGGTCTTGCGGCAACTCACGAAGCGAAGCTCCGAGACGCGATAAGCGCAGCCGAAGAGAAGGCAAAACGGGCTGCCGAAGCAGAAATCGGGTCCGCGAGAGCAGCACTAGAGCAGAAGTTCGAGAAGGAAGCCGATCGCTGGAAAGCTGATTTTGTCAAGGCGAAGGAGACAGAGTTGCGTGAAATAAGGGAAAAAGTTGAACAGCACATTGGGGATTACACTTCCGAACTGTCTCGGAAAATCGCTGCTGTCGAGAACAAAGAGAAAGAAGTCGCGGAAAAGAAGACGGCGTTGACACAAGAACAAGCAGAACTTGAAGAGAAAAGGCTAGCCTTGGAGAACGAGCAGGCGAGTTTCAGGGACGAACTGCAGGCGGAGTTGACGAAGCAAACGGAGGAATTGATAGCATCTGAGAGGGCTCGGCTGGCTCGACTGGCGTCGGACACAGCGAGCGCGTTGGACGACAGAGAGGCATCGATGAAAACGGCGTTGGAGGACAGAGAGGCATCGATGAAAACGGCGTTAGAGGACAGAGAGGCATCGATGCAAACGGCGTTGGAGGACAGCAAGGCTTCCATGAAGACTGCGTTGGAGGAAAAGGAGGCTGCCATGAAAGCCGCGTTGGAGGACAAGGAGGCTAGCATGAAAGCCGCATTCGCAGAGGCGCTTGAGGCTGAGCGGGCTAAGTTACGCGCAGAAGCTGCAGAGGCCATCGAGGCTGAAGAGGCTAGTTTGAAGGCAGAGGCTGACGCTTTGCTTGCGAAGGAGCGGGAACAAGCCGCTGCAGCGTTAGAGCGCGAGCGGGAAGAGCTGCGGGCGACATCGCAGTTGCAGTTGCAGGAGTTGGCTCTGCAGATGGAGGACCAAGCGGCAAATGTAAAGCTGAAAGAGCTCGAGGGACGTGAACAACTGCTCGCCGAACAGGCAGAAGAGAAGCGACGCTGCGTGCTGGAGACGAAGCGTCAGGCTCTGGTCGACGCCACGCGGGAGAAAAAGGAGCTGCAACAACAGCAGGAGGAAGCCGCGAAATCGCGAGAAAATTAAGACTTCCGGAAATCCATTTTTGTTCAGAAGCATCTTGGACTTCCGTGTAGTAAGGGGGAAACGGGTCCCAGATGACTTTCAGGATGGATCCCCAAAAAGTCTAAGAGAAGATGTTGCGTGAAGGCTTCGAGCGAGACCTGCAGCAAGAACGCGAGCGAGGAGAGGCAGAAGCCCGCAGGCTTCTTGCGGCCGAGGTAGAGCCTTTGACCGCACAGTGCAACGCAATGCAGGAGGAGTGCGCGAGCCTGCGACAGCAAATCGAGGAGGCCCAGAAAGTTTCGGAGCAGGAGAGACATGCGGCGCTTGCGGAAGCCAAAGAGCTGTGGGACTCGCACCACAGCGCGGATCTGCAGCTGCAGGAGGAGGCGCACGAACGAAAACTGCAGGATGCGATCGAAAAAGCGATTGAAGAGACGAGAACCACTTGCGAACAAGAGCGAGATAAGTACCTTGCAGACGCAGGTCAGGCATGGGAGAAGTCTTTGGCAGACGAACGCGAGCTGCAGCTGTCACAGGACAAACAAAAAGCAGAAGCTGAAAAAATTGCGGCAGTGGAGACTCTGAATGCGGAACGTGAAGTTTTCTTGGCGAAATCTGAGATAGTGCAGCGAGAACGAGCAGATCTCGAGACGCGCATGGCGGAAGTGGAGACTGCAGCGACTGCTCTGGTATCTATGATGATAATAGACTCAAAGTTGAACAAGGAATTATAGTACCTAGTTAAAGTAGGAGGAGTACATCTAGTACATGTACAACTTCTTGAACGTTGAAGAAGAGCAAAAAAATTGCTCTCAACACAGTTCTACTTGAAGATTTTATACGTATAAACTCACAAGTACGTAGTATTAGAAGTCTTGATTCAACTTCAAAGTCGAAATCATTCTCCACTTCCATTAACAGCTACCTTATTATATCTACTCCTCATGTCCATTTCCTGCAGGAGGACACACGTCGCGCAACGGACGAAGAACATGAACTGAGGTTGAAAGAACTGCACCGCCGCGAAGAAGCTCTCAAAGTTCGAGAGCGCGATGTACTCGAGAAGGATCGGGAATTGAGTCAGCGTGCTGGAGAGCTGTGCCTGAAGGGATCCGAGCTGCTGCTGAGGTCAGAAGAGCTCTTTGCGAAGGAACGCGTACTGGAAAAGGAAATGCTAGGTCTGAAGAAAATGAACGAGCAGCTTCAAGATGACGTCGTGCTGTCCTCTGGCGACAAGAAAGTGGTGGATAGAAATTGGGGAGGTGGAAATATTTTTAGCAAAAATGTGGCATCCGCATCAGCTGTCGACGTTTCCTCGACAACGAAGAGTGCGTCTTCATCAAAATTGACTGCGATTTCCTCTGCCAGTTCGAAATTCACAGCCACGACTCACGCTGATGAGGGACCACATGGGAGTGGTAGCGGTTCATCTGGCAGTAGTTCCTCGTCCTCACCCTCTTGGGACGAGATCACGCCAGTGGAACACGAGCAGCTTTTGGCCCGTGAGCACAACCAGCTTGCGCGGAAGTATCAGGAAGTAGTCACTGCAAAAGCGACACTAGAGGTGGAGTGTGCAAAGTTTCGGCGTGACCTGGAGAAGCGAGACGAGGCGATAGATCATTTGAAAAGGAAACACAAGCTGGAGCTGAACATTGCAGTTCAACATACACGCGCCAAAGAGCGAAAGCGACACAGTCAAACACGCGCGATAGGAGGTAGTAGTGGTACCACAATAGGAGGAGGTGGAGCAGGAGAAGGACAGCACAGACACCTTGATCATCAAGAGCACCAGACCGCTGGCGCACTTCCCTCTTCGCAGCGGCATTCAACAGCATCTTCCGGGAGCGTTTCCTCTAACAGTGTGCCTCCTACTTCGTCCAGAGCTGTCACCGCATCATCCGTGGAGCAGGAAGCTGACTGGGTGCGACATCGAATGCCAGAAAACAATAACGTTGTCACTTCTCACGGCTACGGCGCTCCTTCAACAATGTCTACTTCAAGAACGTGTCCTCATCAACTCCAACCACATACATCAGCATCACAACAGCGGCCGCTACAACGCAACAACTTTTCGACGCGCAGTAGTCCACAAAAGCAGCATGCAGTACTGATGTTACCGGCGTCGAGGAATACGTTCTCACGCGCAGCAGACGTCTCGATTGACGATGACAGTGGAACGGTAGATGAACATGAAGCAGATGAGGACCACGATTGCAGCGCCAGAACAAGTGGTAGTTGTGGTACTAGTAGTAGAGTTGTTTCGGTTTCGCCCAACAAGAAGCCCTTTGGTGGCGCTCCAAAACCGCTTTGGCGATCCGGTGCGATAGCACCGAAAATAGGACAGAATCTTGCGCGGTCTGCAAATAGATTGAATAACTTCAAGTGAGGGGAGTTGTACTTCACTGTAGTACTGTCAATAGAGTCTACCAGCACCTCCACATGATTTAGAATGACAATGCACGACTCAACATTATCAATCTTCATGTAGCTACGACACACTGCCGAATGAAGTCATGAATGTACGACGGCTTCAAGGACAATTACTGTCTAATTGAATTACATAGTTAGACTTGCTTGGCCCTAAGAACAAGAATTTTTTGGGGGAGTTTTCTTATAAGTAAGTTTTTACTTTTCAGCAGTCTGTAAGTGTAGGATTATGAGTGAGAGCGATGAACTAAAAGAATTTTTGCGCGCCATTGCAAGTAAGTTTCTTCTGTCAATTTTTCCGCTTGTCTATTGCCACGTATTGCAATGTATGCGTATACCTATCGCATAAAATGTCTTGCATGCTCACTGTGGGAGATAGCGTGGTCCACTGTCACTGTCTTCATGATCATCGTGTTTCTTTTATGTTAGTCTCAAAGCTCCATGAGCGTTTCTGAATTTCAGGAACAGAATCGAATGCCCTACGCGTACGATGTGCCAGCTGCTAGTATTTCTATTGTGCAGCATGAAGACACGTTACGCTTTCCCGAGGCCAAATAAGATGGCTGACAATCTTCGAACACTATTGCACCAGATGTTGTATAACTGTTGTTGTTTCTCTATACATCCACGCAAAATAGCCCTGGGGCCGTCGGTTACAAGGGAGGTGATAATCAATGACGTCGTTAACCTAATCTTAGGAAATTTGATTGAGCGTAGATTTCAATTTCTGTATCTGTCAGACGACATTAGTTTTCACCATATCTGTCAAAAAGAGAGAGAAATCATAGAATTGCAATCTGCCGGAAGATTGAGACCACTATAATCCGGTCAAAGCAGAGAGAAAGATGGGATCTGTCAAAACGAGTGAACATTTTCAAAGTATGGAGAAGCAGGATGCTTCCTCTATTTCTGTGAAGGGTGAAGAATCAGTGCCCGTCTGTTGAGGCTAGTGTCCCGTTCGTTGAGCTGCGTGTGCGTCTAGTCATGTTCGAGTTGTGCGCCATGAAACCGGTCCATGTTTTATCCTTATCCTCCACAGGCAAAGTACATGGTGATATCTAATGATTATAGTTGACTACGACTGACCTAATCTAATACTTAATGATTTGGGTTTCCTGAACAATAAATACATCTTATTCTACTTTATCTCTTTTCGATTTCCGTCAAGAATCCACTCACAAAAAACCTTCACAATTGAGTGGCCTACTAAAATTAACGATAAGTAGTCTACTTCATACTTGTTTTCAACCAAAAAATGGGTCGTTCTGGTGGTGCTCCCCGTGGCGCGACCGAAGTTAGTGGGTATGGAGGTTCTGCTTTCGACGAGGATGCAGAGTTTTTCGGTGTACAGCGTGGAGCTGCTCAACATGTTGGAGGCTCGACGTCGCGGACCTCAACTTCTGCGCCACAACCCCCGTTTATGAAAGCTAATCCTACTCAAAAGCGAAGCGCGACTCAAGTCGCGACTCAAAGCCCGAGCAGCAACGTATCGTCCTCGTCTCCGGAAAACGCCTTACGCGAGCACCTCAAGAGCCTGCACGTTCCCACACCGCCAGACGAGTTGGTTTTGCTTGGCGCTGGAGCTCGCGAAGTCAACGGGTTATACTCTAGAACACCGTTCACGGAGATTCCGGTGGGGTTTCGGAAGCTTTGCCGCTCTGAAAACTGGAACGCGCCAGATATGTGGTTCAAACTCAACGGGAAAAATGACTGGTACAGCACTAAAGAAACTCACTACTTTTTTGGATTTGCTTAGAAATATGCGCCAAGTTTTGCTTTTGCAAAGTGTACTAGGAGGAGAACAGAATAATCTCGAGTAGACGGTTCTCACGGTGTATATAATTATAATCTTCGTCAGGCCCAGTACATGATCGTGATCAACAATGCACGACACTGATGAAGGCAGGCCTCCTCGCCATGTCTAAATAAGATGAATAAAACATTCACTCCGACCAAGAGATCGATCATAGTCATTTATAATTCAACAATCGAAATCGTCACAAAAGGATTTTTTGTTCCTATTTATCAACAACAAGTGTAAGTATTTTGCATGCGCTAGAGCTCTGGGTTCTCTGCAGCGGATTTTTTCTGCTCGTCCTATGAACCCATGAGTGTAGTTCGCAATGCCAAAATAAACCGGTTCTTATCCAAGCTCTATTCCCATTTTGGTCTTTCCGTGACCAAAATGGATGCCCATGCATGGAAACAGCCATCATCTTGGGTTTTTAAGGTATTTAGTTTCGTCAAAGAAGATCACGGGGATGAATACGAAAATTAAGGAGAAGATTCGTATGATTTGAAATTGAATTTGAGGATTGTTTTTACACGAAAGCCGTGCTCTCCTCGTCCTCGTGTGTGAGAGGCACTGAAGCTCTGCTGTGCTCATGATAAGATTTAGATTTCGATGTTGAGATGATTGAAGATTGATGTGTAGCAGTAGGGGTACGAACAGGAAGCTGATTTTTCGTTCTTACTCGGCTAGTAATCATCCTACCTAGAAGGTGGATGTTGACCACGAAAGTCTGCATCTGCGTCGGCCTTGCGCTGTCCTGAGCCTGCTCTAGTATCAAACCAATACTTTTTGTGCAGCATCGCATGTGCACGAACCTCATGAAGGCTTATAATTGTTGTTTTCCACTACCTACTCCGACTCATCTTCATCACAGGTACCGACACGAGAAAACCGGCGGTTATTTGTACTACAACCAAGGCGACGAATGCTGGTGGATTGATACGGAGAAAGGTATCAGTGTTTACAAGTGGAGCGTCGAAGCAAACTTGCAGAAACTAAGGAAAGAAGGCTCTGGCTATACCCCAGTTCGTCCGGGAACGCCTCTAGATTTGAATACGACTGCAGGATCTGGAGGATTTGGCACTACAACAGGTGGATTCACAGGAGCTCCGCATCAACAAGAAGCTTCTTTGCTGGCTGCGGCTCCGTTCGCGCCTCGATTGCACTTGGTGGACATGATCACCCCTTTGGGCGGCGTTCATATGCGGCACGCAGTGCAGCTGCAGGGGCCGGCGACGGATGAGCGCAAGCTTCGCGGAGAACAGTTGCAGATGGCTTTTCCCGTTGACGAGGTACCCCAAGTTGGTCGACGCGATCGAGATTCTCGTTTATGGCAGCTAAACACGAGCGGCACGAACATGAACATGCGCGCAGTGAGCACGACGAATCGCGGTGTCCTGACTGTTGCCGGAAGCTTGGCTCATAATGTCATGACAAACGAAGGAGTTCAGATGCAGTTGGGAGGAGACCAATTTGCTGGTGGTCAAGAAGAACTACCAACAGGCAATGGGAATGGCTCCAGCACTCTCGTCGAGGACCAAAACAAGCCCGCTCCGATCAAGATGTCTCCGTTCGAAGGTGCTGGTACACTGACGGCAGGAGAGATTCCATGGCTCCAGATTCTGAAGCTCCAAGAAAAGTTGGTCCGTGGTGGATCCTGCGTTCCTCTAGAGGGATGGGAAATGACGGACGCCAACAAGAGGAAATACCGTGATCGCGATGCGCCGATTATCAAAGTACAGGACTCCGCAAAGAACAAACCTTGCCTGGACAGGATCGGCTTGTCGGACGGAGAAGCCTCTCCTCGTACATTGGAAGGTGAACACTCGCGCGAGCTCCGCAGTGGGGATGTTCTGAATGTCAAGAGTCGACCGAGCACCACAACTTGCGGTGCTTTCGGCTACAAAACAACGAATGAAGATCTGAAGCAACCTTCTTCGAGAGGGAGCATTTTGAAGAACCGCCGGGCAGCTACTGCAGATGGTAGCCCATCTTCAAGGACCACTGGCAACAGAAGTAGCGTAAAAATGCAAGAGGAGCAGAGCAGAGAAACGAGTGTCGGAGAAGCGTCCTTGTTAGATGCATTGTTGCCCGCATTCGACTCATTGTTGGATGACTCAGCTGCGGGATCGCTTGCATCTGGCGAAAGCTTGCCCGACTTGGCCCGAACCGACAGTGCTACTTCATCGTCCTCTTTGTCGGGGTCAAAGGCTAACTGCGCCATGGGGCCACTCTTCGTACAGGGTGGAATCACAGCACCAGCGGCAGGAACTTTAGAACAGCAGATAGACCACATGTCATTGCTAGAAGCAGGCATATCGAGCTCAAGAGGTGAAGAAAGATTAATCCACGATGAGTTGTCTGTAATGGGAAGGTCGTTGCAGTCTGAAGCTTCTACCGTATTGCAAACGCAAGAAGCATCGCTAGCGGACGGCGAGAGGGTAAGTTCTCCGGCAGAGCTGCATGATTTGAGTGCACAGCTACCAGAGCAGGTTGATTGGCAACAGGTTCTGTCCTCTCCCAGACCCGAGCTTCCGCGTCACGGGGACAGCCGAATCGAATTCATTGGACCACGGACCGAATCTTCGTGCATCCTTGACGCTGTCCTGAAGGAGGTAGCTGCCGAAGAAGCGGCTGAAGCTCGTGCAGCTGACGATAGTTTCTTGGCGCAGCCTTTCGTGGAGGCCGAGCAGCAGAAGAGCCTTCTCATAGACCAAAATGAGTTTTCACAACACCTAGATATGATGGTGCATTTTGAAGATGACGTATCGGGGTTCATCCAGCATAGTAGAGTGACCAACGCAGGACGAGAGGAGGAGGATGACGATCTAGAAGTGAGTCGAGTTGTTGGGGAAGCCCATCTCGATTTCGCATCGCCCGGGGCCTCACTACTCTTCGGCGAAACCGTTGTAGAAAAACTGCGTGAAGCATCTCAGGAATTTCCTGGGCAGCATCCTGAGTATCCTTATCCAGACCAGGAAGAACTCCAGCACCAGGTTGACGCTGGCGAGGCGGAGGAAAATGGAGCTGTGCCGGATGGCGCGTTTGACTCCGTTCTTGCTGGTGGCTCTTCGTGGGACCCAGATCGTATGTCCACGTCACGGGTCATGGCAGCTTTTGCAGCGGCTAATTCAGTAGCAGACTTGTGACCCGGGCTGACAGCAGTAGGAGAAGAAGGTTGTCGAAGATTCATCAAGACGGAGACTCGTCAAGACGGCGAACAAATTTTTATTTTTCTACTAACTTCTATGTAAATGTATTATAGCCGATGAAAAAGAAACTCGTCGATCATGAGGAACAAATAAATATTTCGAACACATGATGAGCAGGACGAGGCACTCCCGGTGTTTGCGTGGGTCGGCTGCTTTATGCCGATCCACAGCACTTCGCGTTGTAATTCTTGGTAATACGAGAAATTACAACAACATAATGATACAAACATATTCGTAACTAGCGAGGGTTTTCCTAGCACCAATTATAGATGATGATAAAATATACTGAAATAGTGATATCAATCCATGCATTTCCAAGTCCAACACTGATACTCAATGAAAATGATGATTTCGACATATCGAAGAACATACATAATGACTACTTAAAGACATGAACATTTTTAATTTTAATATACTAAGTAGCTTCAAGCTACTAGTATGGTCAAGCTACTAGGCTACTAGCAGCTTGGTCAGGGAAGCGAACCCAGCATAATGATTTGAAACTTCTACGTTGTAACCGACTTCGGAAGGCAGCGCTGCCCTCAGCCAAGAATCCCTCTTCTCCCCTGTACAGACATGATTGCTTAAAAAATGTATGAAGACTTCAAATAGACAAAAAGAACTGCAAACGGTTTGGCCTTTGCTCGTGAAGTTCTGTGGCTGCACAACAAGTACTTGGCAAATCTGTTGGCGCTTCTCGTGCTGGTGCTGGTGTGTTATGTTGGATTGATACTCTTCTGAAATGAAAAAGAGATCGACAGCACGTCGCATTAGAAGGTCGCATGGCCAAAACTAGATGTGCGATGCATGATGATGACGCAACAGAACAACTGCGCAACAAATCTCACCATTCCAAATTCGGTCTCTTCTGCCTGGGATAATCAGTGGCGCAGGTGCCTTCTGTGTGTCGCGGTTTGATTTGGTTGAGATCGCCTGCTCTCAATGTCCGTTGTGGGTGCACTTGCACCATTTTCAAGCGTCTTGGGATGCGCACTTCGCCACCCTTCATGCGATAAGAATGGCGGATCTGTTAACTTTGAGTACTAAAGCGGGTCCACATGATTTTCAATCCTTATATATAATTGCAGGTCGTGGTATCATCTTCCACTCATCGTGGACTCATATGTGATCGACTAAAAGGCGCAAATGTAAACGTATCATGTGTATGCTGAGCTGTAGCTGAAGGTGATGCCTCATGAAAAATGGGTTACACGACGTTGAACTTTTACATGTTATGAGTAGTTTTACGTGTAAGTAGACCAAACAAGTAAGCACCATAAGCAGATACAGAGTATTTTTAACTTCTGTGTCCCTTGTTCTTCAACTTCCCGATAAAGAGCCTGAAGCGCGCATGCACGAATTCCATTTTTACGCACATATTAGATAGTACCTCCCGAACTACAAAAACAAAGAGACAAGATGCCGGGTAATGTGCCAAAAGCGACGCAAAAGGGCAACGAGGAGGGCGACAAGAAGATTGGTCCTGCGAGTGATAAAAATGCCAACAAGGCGCCAAATGAACAAAGTATCGCCCGCGGCCTTGTAAACAAGGATAAAAAGGTGGACAAGAAGCCCGAGCAGGAAAAGAACAAGAAAACAAGTGCATCTTCCTCTTCCTCGTCTACCCCTAAACGAGAACAGACGAGCGGTGAGAATGGTGTTCTGGAGATCATCACCTTGAAGAGTCTCCTCATGGAACACGGCCTAGATGAGACTCATCACGGTTGGGGAAAAAGTTGGTTGCGGGACTACGAGGCACAGAACAAGAAGCCCAAGCTCCCAACAAGATTCGTGCTTGCAACAGCTCCGCTGCCCGCTAACTCGAGGTCCGTTACGTTGAAAAGAATACAAGCATCTCCTTCTTCGCCACACGGACGCTTCTTGGCATGTTGATAGATCAAGAAACCTATAACCTTTTACTCACTCTATTTTTATAATACATAGCTCCTCCCTGTCGCCATGCCGCAAGCGTAAATGCTTGTGATGAAAAATCCTAGCGTCGAGGCAGATGCTCGGTCTTCTACATTCATGACCATCAAAGGTAGGCCGTGGCAGTGGAAAGTGCAGGACCGCGCAAAGCTTCAACCCTTGCTTGCAGCGATTCAAGAGCGGAAAGAATATCTAGAGTCAAAAGCAAAACCAAACGACCACGTGTCGAGCAACAAGAGTAAGACAACCGACGTTCTTGGGAATAATGAGGAAGTCGCACAGCAGAACGATGGCGATGAAAAAGCTGTGGCGTGTGGTGCTGGAACTAAAAAAACCGCCACATCTTGTTCATCTTCAAACGAGGTGGAGAACATTGATCTCGATTTTTTTGAAGCTTTGAAGAAAAAAACTCAACACCAAGCAGAGAAGACGTCGAAGAAGGTTTGTCTTGCCAGAAACACAACAGCCTCATCTTCATCAAAGGATCTTGGTAGCGTTCAGAAGAAGGACATGAAGCAAAGCAGTCGCGTTTCCGTAGGCCATCAAGCGAAGACGTCTAAAAGCAGCAAAAGTTCTTCATCGTCCGGCTCTTCTAGGTCGTCTGCCTCTGCGAAAGCAGACAAGCAGATGAGCAAGACTGAGAGCTCGCCCAAGGGTTCTAACTACAAGACTGAGAGCTCGCCCAAGGGTTCTAGCAAGACTGAGAGCTCGCCCAAAGCGGGTGCTTCAAAGTCCAATCTCATGGAGACTGCATGTGCACCGAATAAAGGCGTGACTTCTTCGAGCAGCACGAACGTAGAAATGAGCATGGGCTTTTTGGAAGAATCACCAACGGAAGGATCACCAACAAAGGAGCCCTTTATCCGACTTGAGGGCTCGTCATCGAGCTCAAGCAAGGACTCTCCTGGGCGTGAGCAGTTCGATCAGACGTCCTCCTCAGCCTCCGAGAAGAAGAAAAGCAACGAGAAGACGTCCTCCTCAGCATCCGAGAAGAAGAAAAGCAACGAGAAGACGGCCTCCTCAGCATCCGAGAAGGAGAAAAGCAACGAGAAGACGTCCTCCTCAGCATCCGAGAGGAAGAAAAGCAACGAGAAGACGTCCTCCTCAGCATCCGAGAGGAAGAAAAGCAACGAGAAGACGTCCTCCTCAGCATCCGAGAAGGAGAAAAGCAACGAGAAGACGTCCTCCTCAGCATCCGAGAAGGAGAAAAGCAACGAGAAGAAGATAGACCCCGACGAGAAAATCTCGGCGAGTGGCGAGGTAATCTTATCGTCGAATGGCAACGAGCAGGTCCACCAGGTCACCGAGAATGCGATCGCGATAACTACAACTACAAGCAAAATGACATCGCATGAGGCTGGTGGACATATGCCGTGTCTTGATGAGAGCACGACCCCTGACGATGCCGCTTCGTCGAAGGAAAACAAGGCTAACGCGGCTGGAGATCATGGTTCTGCAACAGGAAGATCTCGTGAGGAAAAGAAAAAGAAGAAGAAAAAAAATGAGGTGCGTGATCACAAGGATGATGATGGAAAACGAAATATAGATGCTGAGAAAAGTAAAGACGTTAAGGTCGTTAATGGTAAAGAGCCATCTTCTGCATCTTCGGCGTCCTCCTCGAATGCCGCCGGCGGACACGCAGCACCTGTTTCGTCTGACGCTGCACCAGAGCAAACTACTCTTCCTCTCTCTGAGGCCAACAAGAAGCAGCAAGTCGAGGATCATACGTTCGAAACAAACTTTGGGGCTCACCCAAAGAAGTCGGCTCCTCCTGTTGGTCTGGGCCTCCAAGACCAGAGAAAAATGCGTCTTCATACTATTTTTGAAGATCAGCAACTTGAAGTTGAACCTGGTGCCGGGGAACAAGACATTTTTTCGGGTATCATGTCACGATCAAGTGAAGAACAGAAGAAGATGAACAAGATGAAGTTGAAGAATACTGATCATGTAAATGAGCAAGAAAGTTCTTATAACAGCGAACATGGCAAAGGTAAAATAAATGGCAAGAACGAGAACAACCACGCAGGCCAAAGAGTTCCTGGGCATCCTTGGATAGTGAAGCCCAAGTCTCCCGATCTACATCTTGGTGAAGATTCGAAATCAAATACTAGGAAGAGGACTCTGGCAGAAGTGAATGCCATCCAAGACCAAGTTAATTTGGAGCTTCAACATGCTCAAGGCGATGAATATGGGGGGCAACTCATTAAGGCATTCACGATTTTTTATTCATTCCCTATTCATTTCCACAAGTTCATCATCTACTTCTTATAATTTAGGCATCTTAATCATATTTTTCAGAGATACCCTGGTTCAACAAAATGTGAATTTCGGTAAGAGAGCTGCTCTAAGCTTCTGCTAGGTGGTCGCAGCATCATGTATGGACCACCGCCACTGGACGGGGGGAAGCTTGGACCGTTTTTTGGGTACCAACACGGGCCAGCTGAACAGAAGGGGCCTCGTTTGACTATGCTTCAGCACGACTACTTTTACGACGGACCATCACCATTTCCAGTACGTGGGAAACCTCTTCCAAAGGAGGGGCGGCTGCAGATTCCTGGGAAAGGGAACAACGTGAAAGGTGGAATTCCGCCGCCACCAGTTGGGCCTTTGACTATTGAGATGAATGGTAGTTGTACCACATCGCGTCCGAAAATTGTGGGATCGTTAGGAAAAGCGGTGCCGTACTATAAGAACAGCAGTGCTGCCACGCCGACGTCCTCGTTAACTGTGGGAGCTGGCATTATGTTGGCTGGTTCAGAGTCAGACAGGTCTCCCATTTTTAGTACATCTTCACAAGAGGACACGAGGGGGGATTCATTTCCTTCTACTGGGAGTTCATCTTGCATTGTCAAAAGGGAAGGACAAAAAAGTAGAAGGCCATTGATATCACCTCGCAAGTACTATTTGCATTCTATAGTTTCTTGTTCTAAGAATACAAATACTACAACTTCTAGAACTTGTTCGTCGAGTACGAGCACTGGTGTGCCGTCCTTCAGTTCGCCAGCACTATCAGGAATGCCAAGTAGTTCCGCGTCATCTTCTACTTCTTGCTTCGACGAAAAACTTGATCCGTCCTCAACAGCTGACGAAGGGCAGATCTTTGGCTGTGGGTTGACGCCTGGACTCCAGGACACAGACGCAATGGCTAGCTTAACTGTGGTCGACAATCAAGTAGATCCGTGTCCGTCCCTTGACGAACAGACGGATTCGTCCTCCAAGAAAAGCTGTGGAAATTTTTATGCTCTTCAACGTTTTGTACTAAGTGGAAAAGAGTAGTAAGTTGTAGTGACATAGACACTGACAAGCAATCTATTTCATTTTAATCAGCAAGAAGAACTGCTGACCTCGCAGTGACAACAAGTACAGTAAAACCTTGTGGGCGGGCTGTGACGACGGTCCTCCACCGTACTTGACGAGGATTATTTCTAATCATGACGGGAAAATGATCATGAATAAAGAACTGCTCTTCCAGTTATTACTTCTCTCTAAAACCGCAACCGGTTGTCTTCGCCCTCCTCGTCCGCACCGGCTGTCGACGTATCGTCGAGCGCCACGCCTGCTCCATGCCTAAGTGCAGTTGTGGGCAAGCGCGCCGCAGACTCAGTATCGCCCGGAGGGCTGCACCTACAAGTCGAAGTAGCTCAGAAGCGCCAGAAAATTGGAGACTCTCATGAGCAAACGGTAAAACTGATTCTTTGTAAGTAAGTAGCTCACTGTGCTTGATGAATCGACTACTTGTTCTGTATATTCTTCCATATCTTCAGCTGATATAACGACTACTTCTGTTCCTTGTTTTCGACCACTTCACGTATAAGGCTCATTGATAGACATTTACAGGCTGCCGATATTCGACAGACGATGGACCATAAGCTTGCCATGCTGCACTTGAATGAGCGACAGCTGGATCATTCCTATCAGATTTATAGAGCGGCAGCCCAAAAGCACTCGGATGACCTTATAGAGGGTGAGAAGGTGCGCAGGCAGTTGGAACAATTATGGTTGTCAAGAACCAGTAGAAGTAGATTTGGGCAGGTACCCTAGTACAACTAAGTACTTTTAATACAACTTACGATAATAATATGATCTTGATGGATATGTCAGTAGTTTTTTACCCATAGTGACCTTCTATGAAGGTCATGACACAACAAGAAAGACGACGACATTTGAAGGACACAGAATCCACCTCTAGTACTTTTAGACCAGGATTTTCCTCGTTGCACGACCTTTTTTTTTTTTCGTTTTTGGCTCGCCTAAGGAGGCCCAATTCTCTATGGACCGACGTCGCCACTCCGCTAGCCTCGCAGTGGACCCGCTGAGCCGGAGCCCCTCGTCTGGGATGGCAACCTGTGGACTTCGTAGGCGTCCCAGGAGGAGCCGCTTCGCTTCGGAGGCTCTGGTCTGGGAGGCTTGGGAGGGGGTCAAAAGGGGGGGCAAAAAGGGCCCACTTTGACCCCCCCAGGCCCCCTAAAGTGGGGCCGTTTTAATGCCGAAAAAAGTGTCGACATTTTATTTCCAAAAATGGGGTGCAAAATGACCCCCATTTTTGTCGCCTCTTTTTTTTTCAAAATGGGCCCGCTTTGCGTACCCCGTGGTTGGCTCCGCCGTTTGGTCTAGGTTTGCCATCATTCATGGGGGGCCGGATCGCCTTGGGAGGTGCTCCGCTGTCGATATCGACGGCGCCAAGGGCCCATGGTCGCGCAGCGTCCAAGGCGTAGGGGAGCTCGCCAGGCCTTGCCACTAGCGGCATTTTTGAAAAAAAAGCAAGGTTGTGCAACGAGAAAAATCCTGGTCTAATACTTCTCCTTCTCTCTAAGTGTTGGCCAAGGTCATAATCCTAATGGATTCACAAAGATCACAAGGATAAAGATCAGCAAAATGACCAAGATCGCCAGGCAAAAGGTTACCGGAGCACCATCCAAACGCCCGACGGGTTTACCGTCGCGCGGGTGTCTCTGGCTTCTCCTCTCTCTCTCGTTTGTGGCTCAAGCCTCCCAACACAGTCAAGGACAAAACAACACCGGAATGATCTCAGAGATAACCTACAGACCTAAACGCATATGGTTCCAAAATCAATGATCAACAGGCAAAGGACCTTCAACGTATTCAGATAGAAGAAATGATGAATGTTTCATAGCTGTAATCAGGTCCATAATGTCTTGTCAAGTTCTGATCAATGATAAACGCCAGTGCATGGCGATCGTATGAATCAATGATGATAGCATAAGCGTTTCCATGTGAAGCATATGAAAGCTTCCCCATGCAGCATGGTATCCCAATGATGAAGCTGAGACTTCCTCCTTGCAACCCCAATGAATATCCACAGGGATCAAAGCAGCCAGAGACCATTAGTCTCAGGCTGTGAGTGCAAATTGTGCAAACAGTATCACTCTCAAGTGTCTCTCACCGAGAAACTAGACGCGACTTAACAGTCTGTGTTCGAATGTATCCAGCACTACTTTGACCCTTGAGCTTAGTATAGAGTAGAAATCCATCTAGAAACAACTTTTCAAAATGTCCTGCGATGCGAAAGAAATTTCGAAGAAACTCGGACAGAAGTCCGACTGGCGAGCGTGGCAACTTGCCATACGTCAGGAAGCTAGCCGTCTCGGCCTGCTTCAAAACTACACGAATGTAGTCGGCATTCCGGCAGCTCCTCATGGTATTCCTAACGGGGTTACCAATCGGGAGGAAACAATTCGGCAGAAGTGGCGCAACCTGAAAGATGCGATCACTCGTAGTCTGAAAGGTGCCGCTGCGTCGTTCATCAACAACCAGAACGATAATGGGCAGGTGGATGCGATGGATGCAGGTGAGGTTGTTGTGCTCCTTCGTGATGTAGGACACTTCGATCAAAACAACCGTCAGGAACAACGGATGAAAGTAAAACCGCTTACGGATGGTGTGTTGAAGTTCCACAACGCGGATCAGCCTGCAGATGTCACGGGATTCTTGTCGAAAGTCCGAGACATCATGAACCAGTCGCCCACCGTGTACCCGCCGGAAGCAGGAGTGCCAGAAAGTGACCAGCAAAATGGTGCACTGCTACAGAAGTTGCCCGAGCTGTTCTGCAAGAACTTCAAGGCAACGATCGAACGCATGCAGGAAGAAGATGGTCTGACATTTGACCAGATTGGTGACCGACTTGAAAAGCGTCTTGCGACGTTGATCGAGGAGGGAACCTACAAAGTTGAGAACGATTCCTTCGGGAAGGCGTTCCCGGTCAATGTTCAGGAGACCTCGAATAAACGTTCTCGTGAAGAGGAGGATGACGAGGAAAAGGCCAATGAAGGTGGTAAGATCTTTCTGTCTAAAAGTGCTCTCAAGCGCTTCAAGGCAAACACAAAGAAGAAGATCGCCGCCGAGGTCTATGCCTCCAATTCGAACGGCAAAGGAAAGCCGCAGAACAAAAATAATAAAGGTTCTGGAAAACAAGATACCCGCCCAGTCTGTTGGATCTGCAACAAACCGGGTCACAAATCCGCGTCTTGTTGGAAGAATCCACAGAACCAGGCAAACTGGAACTGGAACACCAATTCCCAATCTAGTAGTGCTATGGGTAAAGGTGGAAAGGGTAATGGCATGGTTCACATGTCTGCAGTTGCGGAGCTGTGGCAAGCTCTCAACGGCGGAAAGCAGAGCTGAGTTGCGGAACCAGTGGAAAGCGGATTTTGCTCGCTGAACTTGGATGAAGATGAGGGTGAAGAAATGAATATAAATAACATTGGGGAGGTAAAACTTGTGGGACATAGTCTTTCAACTAGTTCCATTTTTACTGCAAGAGAAGAAGTTAGTCTGGTTGATAGTTGCGCAAACAAATATCCTTCAAGACACAAAGATGATTTTAGTGAAATAACTATGAAAATTTGTAGGATTACTGGTAGCGCTGGAAGTAAAGACGGAAGAGTAGGAAAACTAAAGTCAAACCCCCTAGGGCTCCAGTATGGTGCTTATTATGATTCACTACCAAAGGGCTTAGATCGTATTATACCTTGGTTAGGTGAAGGGAACTGCTCGCAATTAGGATGGGAATTCAACTTCAAAGGCACAGGGGGTTGTCTCGTACATACGGACACCGGCCAGGCCATACCCATAAGAAGTCATCCACGCTTGCAGCTTCCCATACTTGCATACAACTTATTTAAAGAAGAGACTGATAAAGGTTATATTTGTTCAACAGTAGAAGAAGGAGTCAGTAGTTGCTATCTTACAAGACTCGAACTTCATAGAAGATGTGGGCACTTTCATATAGATGGCCTCCAGGTAAATTGCCCTGAGTGTGATCTACATAAAGGCCAACGCGCACCACATGCAAAAGCTAGAGATGCTTCAAACTATAAACCTGAACCATTGAAGTTACTAGCAATCGACTTTGCTGTTGGAATCAAACCCGTATCAGTCAGGTCAAAGAGATGTGTACTAGTGACCATCTGTGATGTAATTAAGAAGGTGATCTGTCGACCGCTTAAGCTGAAAAGTGACTGCGTGGAGGAAATAGAAGAAGTTATCAAAGGCATTCGCCAGGACTACTCCTTATCACTTGATGACAAGGTAGTGTGGTTCCTCCGGAGGGATGGAGAACCTGTCCTGAGCAGTGATGACATGACCAAAGTTATGCAATCGCTGCGAGTCTCAGACAGTCCGGCTGTTCCTTATAATCCGGAGATGAATGGGACCTGCGAGCGTTTTATGCGGACTCTGTTCGGCAGTGTGCGCACAATGCTGACTAAAGTTGATAAACGCCTCTGGTGTTACTGCGTCGAGTACGCTGGTGACTGCTGGGATCGTTTACCGCATAACTATGCAAAAATGCCTCAACATGATGGAAAGAGTCCAATTGAAATCTTAGAAGAAAAGACTGGTAGAAACTCATCGAAGAGCTCAATCGGCATGCTCCGCCGATTTGGTTGTCTAGTTTACTTTCGTGAACAAATTCAAGCCAACACTCCTGAACCCAAGCTCTCGGCCAAGTACCGCCGTGGCGTCTTCCTTGGACTCTGTCCGAAGTCGTCTGGTTGGTTGGTTGGAACTTTCGCTCATGACGATCGTTGCAAGCTTGGACATCGATGGGCGGAATACTCTACCCTAGATGTAAAGTTCAGAGAGGACTACCTCACTAAGAATATTGATTGGCTTTTGCCAGATCAGAAGGGCATCTACATTGAGTATGACCAACTGGAAAATCTGCAGAGTGGCGCGTCGTCGCTGGGCTCCCCCTTGCTTGGGCAGTCAGTGCAAAGGCTGGATCATCAATCGGGGTTCTCTGGCACGGAGCACATTCCAGGTGGACCGACCGCGATTTCCGACGAATTATTTACTGAGGCACTGGATAAAGTAGAGGAATCCAACGCAGCTGACACTCCTAAAAGTGTTCCACTTGAGGAGGGGAATGCTGAAGCGAAGGATAGCGAGACATCTGCTCCGCTAAGTCCGTCTAAGTCGAAAGCGCCTTCTCCAGCACGTGTTGTGGCAGGCGAACGCCATACACACGTCAAGAAGCGTGGCCGACCAAAAGGAGCGAAGGACAAAGCAGGTAGCAGGGTTCGAAGAACAAAGAAACAGTTAGAAGAACTGAGGAAGAGTGCGGCGCTGTTCGCTAGTGCTGTAGGTGGCATGTGTGAATTAGACGAAGATGAGGAATTCGTCGAATCATATGTGATTTTGTCCGTTGCTCAAGCACTCAAGTCTCCTGATGCCGACAAGTGGCGGGAGGTCATTGACAAAGAGCATGCGAGACTACTAGCCTTCGAGACGTGGAAAGAAGCTTCTGACGAGGAGCTTGCGACCGCGCGACAGGCTCTACCAATTGCCATAATTCTAACTATTAAAAGATGTGGAAGATACAAGGCTCGCGCTTGTGTCCTCGGTAATCTAGATCGTTCAGGAGAGCTAAACACCTTCGCTCCCGTAGTTTCGCACGCCGCTAATAGGCTGCTCCTGACTTCTGCTGCGTCAGAACAGGACTATGTGATCCCGTTCGATTTAGATTCTGCGTTCCTCAATGCTGAACTCGATCGCGATGTCTTCTGCCGTCTCCCACCCATTTGGGCAGAGAAGCATGGGCGCGAGATCGTGAAGCTCAAGAAGGCCTTATACGGCTTGAAGGACGCACCACGAGCATGGTTCAAGAAATGTCACGACATACTAGCCACCATTGGCTGGGAGCCGTGTGATTCTGCGCCAGGCTTATGGAGAAAGCCGAGTGCGAAGGTACCAGGGAAGTTCCTCAGGATGTCAGTCTATGTTGATGACAATCTTGCAACGGGTCCTGATCTTGATGAACTCAAGACCGAACTAGAACTCATCTTCTCGCGTGCCCCTGGCCGTGCGATTGATGTGGAGTCCGTTCCAACCCCTTGGGGTCAAACGTGGCTTGGGTTCGACTTCTTAGGCGCCATCGTGTACTACTGCCGTGAAGCTCGAACGTTTCGGCTTAATATGGAGGAGTACATTGATAAAATCGCAAAGAAATTCGAAATTGATGTCGGAAAACCGGTTTACTCGCCCAATTTTGACGAGTCGGCTTTTCTTGAGGAGGGGATCAAGATAGTCGAAGGGTATCCCATTCGTGAGGTAGTTGGTGCCTTGCTATGGGTAGCTGTAACCGTGTGCCCGGACATTTCTGTACCGGTGGCAGCATTGGCTAGACATGTCAGCAAACCCGCGTCAACTAGAATGGTTAAAGCAGCCAGAAAAGTGCTGAAGTATCTGGTGACAACGAGAGACCAAGGACTGGAATACTCACCAGAACAAGAAGAAGAATTCGGTAGAATCTATTCAAAGTTACTACCTGAAGGCAGAGATATGCCAGAGGTGAATATCTTTAGTGATGCAGGTTTCGCCAACTGCGTAAAGACTATGAGAAGCACAAGTGGATCGATCATGTATTTCAAAGGCGTTCCAATCGCTTGGAGAAGTAACCGACAAACTGTCCGTGCTTATTCTACGGCTGAAAGTGAATATATTGCAGCTTCTGACACAATTGTGCTTAGTGAACTGCATGACTTTACAGACTTCTATAGGCCTCTACCAACTCAGTTGGTACACACGCAGAACGGCTTGTCTCCCTCTTTAGACAATGCTGTGCTCTGGATCGACAACCAATCCGCGATCACAACAGCTAAAGCAACTGACACACGCCCGAAGAGTCGCCATTATGCACTTCGCTACTTGCGTGTGCGTGATGCGGCCAGTAAGATAGTTTTCTGTCCAACTAACTTAATGGAGGCTGATGGCTTAACTAAGTTAGAATGTAGTTCGTCTCAGCGTAGACTACTACTTCACCATATAGATAATCCGATACATAAAGTTGAGTATGATGATTGTGATTCCTCAGACGATGAAACGAATGGGGATGATTTAGCTTACTATAGCGTAGTATATTCGGTTTATTTTGGTTTCTAGCCGAGTATACCGTAGCCATCGAAGAGTAGTTAGGAGATATGACTTCCGTGGTAGTCCAGAAGACTAGGGACTTCGACACGCAACGATTGAGGAGGGGTGTTGGTCAAGGTCATAACCCTAATGGATTCACAAAGATCACAAGGATAAAGATCAGCAAAATGACCAAGATCGCCAGGCAAAAGGTTACCGGAGCACCATCCAAACGCCCGACGGGTTTACCGTCGCGCGGGTGTCTCTGGCTTCTCCTCTCTCGTTGTTGTTGCAAGAGGTTACCGGAGCACTATCCAACGCCCGACGGGTTTACCGTCGCGCGGGTGTCTCTGGCTTCTCCTCTCTCTCTCGTTTGTGGCTCAAGCCTCCCAACACAGTCAAGGACAAAACAGCACCGGAATGATCTCAAAGATAACCTACAGACCTAAATGCATATGGTTCCAAAATCAATGATCAACAGGCAAAGGACCTTCAACGTATTCAGATAGAAGAAATGGTGAATGTTTCATAGCTGTAATCAGGTCCATAATGTCTTGTCAAGTTCTGACCAATGATAAACGCCAGTGCATGATGATCGTATGAATCAATGATGACAGCATAAGCGTTTCCATATGAAGCATATGAAAGCTTCCCCATGCAACATGGTATCCCAATGATGAAGCTGAGACTTCCTCCTTGCAACCCCAATGAATATCCACAGGGATCAAAGCAGCCAGAGATCATTAGTCTCAGGCTGTGAGTGCAAATTGTGCAAACAGTATCACTCTCAAGCGTCTCTCACCGAGAAACTAGACGCGACTTAACAGTCTGCGTTCGAATGTATCCAACACTAAGACAAGAGCTCCGATTTTTAAAAGCGGAGCTGCGGAAACACGAAACCAAATCGGCGGAACTGCAGCAAGGTGCGTAATGGAACGAAAAGTGGGCAGATTGTGAGTCACGTTTTCATCGTCAAGTGGATCTTTTGCTTTTGCTATGACGACGCTTTTATCGATTACAAACCCAGTATCGATTAGACGCGAGGAGAAAATCGAGGTTGCTTTCATCTGTTCTTGCAAGCATTGGTGTACAATTTTTTTCATGTTTTGTTCTTATATCGCCTCATGGGCCTCCGGCATCTTCTACACCTATAGCCAGGCGAAAGCGAAACTTACTAGGTCAACCCCAGTATCAACAATAAAGTTGATTATATGAGTCCAGCATGAGCATTAAAGTTGATCTCGCCCTCACCAGTTATGCTGCCCCGCATGATCTGTATTATATGAAAAATTAGTGGTCTTGCTGCCGCTTTCCTGTGATTGGGTAAAAATCATGAACCTTCGTGCTGGCATATATCGTAATTACCGCTAATACTAATAGATTCAGTTTCAGAAAATAAAAGAAAGAAACACTAACCTAAATCTGTACAACCCAGTAGCAGTATCCCCGAAATCCGATTCCCTGGAACATGTGTCGCCAACGCATGCATATAAAAGTAGAGGCAAACTACAAGCCGCCAGTGCTACTAAGCACTTTTCAGTTGCAGCGGGGGTTGGTCCTCGCGCGAACCCTCACTGTAATGCCCCTGTTGAGTTGTGTCTAGTATGATCGGTTTCCGCGGTGTGCTAAGCTACTTAGCTATTTCACGACAAGACGACGGTGGTGCCTGTAGTTGTCATCTAGGAAGCTGCTCTATGATTTCGTTGTACGAAAACTATGTAGTACTATCTTCACTATGATCTAGTTGGTGATGTCAATTTCCGCGTAAGATAGAGTGCAGCTTCAGCCCCTTCGTTTTGTGTTTGGACGTTTTTGTGGTCCCGTCTTGGTAAATTGTCGGACCAAAAAGAAGTTGAAGGATCCTAGGTTTTGAAAAAGGAAAAAAGAAGTACGAAAAGATGATAGAAAGTTATCGAGCTTCTTTGGCTTCCCCGTCCCGAGTGGTACCCAGCCAGGATGTTCTATTGGTTAAGCTTTAGCAGCTTTTTACCTAGTAAATAGAGAACGATGTTTTCAGTGTACCTGTACTCGCAAGTAGAACAGGTGCAGCTAAAAAGTCAGAGTACTTCCACCTTGCTTGGTCATTTTGGCAACGGTACTGTAGCTACCAGTATTCTCGATCCTCAGTAGACACATTGAGATACACACATCCAATTGTTCCATACAAGCTGCTTCAAATTTTTCTTACTTGCTTCGTCGACGATGATGTTTTTCATTTAGAAGAGCTTTGTTCTTGCAAAAAATGTTCCTTTGCTTAAATTCGTTGCCGGTACCGGACGGCGTTCAATGCAGCACGACACATTCGACGTCGTGCACTGCACTTGCCCAAGACTCGCTATTCCAGTTCCTGATGCCGACTCGCTGTTCCGATGTTGCAGGAGTAAGTACTACGCTTCTGCTATCCATCGGGGGGGAACGTTGGTAGCACGGCCTGAGAAGTTAGGGTCCGACCTCTGGTGCACCTGCTGATGGGCCGTTCGCAGATTTTGAGAGGGGCAGCGATTTGCTCTTCCAGTTCTAAATATAGCCGCCAGCAACAGTGAAGAGTTCTAAGTACTTATACAGAAGGCGAAGGACATGATTAGGTGTCTGTAAAGCAGGACAAAAATAGAAGGAACAAGATGCCACCGCGAAAAGTGATGAATATAGCTGAGAAGCCGTCGGTGCAGCGCGGAATCACGCAGCACCTGGCTCGAGGCGTAAACATCAATCGGCGCCGCGTAGGCCAGGGAAATAATGGCGTGAATGTGGACGAATTCATGTACACTATCAACGGCGAGCAGGTTGAGATGAAGGTTTCAGCTGTGCGAGGACACCTGATGCAGATCGTACTTGTTCTTGATGATAGTAGAAAAATGACGAGGTCGCGGCGTCAGCCTCATGAGGTTCTTGCCATTTTCTTAGAAACGTCAACAATACTACAGAAAAATGTACTTACATGATTTTGCCATTGTTTATCTGTTAAACCGTTCTTGCTGTACTAGAAGGTCATCTCATTATTGTTCTTGTTGTTTCACGACGACGACCTTGTCGTAATCTACTCTACCAGGATTTTCCAGAGAACTGTCGTAGTTGGCAAGGGGTTCCTCCGGAGACGCTTTACTCACAGCCGATACGAAAATTCGTGCCGAACGACATGTTGCCCTTGAAGCGCATGATTGAGACGCTGGCTGGAGAATGCCAGGTCATCGTCCTGTGGTTAGATTGCGACAGAGAAGGCGAAGCGATTGGATTCGAAGTCTTAGAGGTCGCACTAGGTAGAAATCCTCGCTTGATGGTGAAGAGAGCGGTGTTTTCCGCGTTAACGCACCAAGACATCACACGGGCAGTACAGAACCTTCGGGATCCGAACAGAAACTTTATGTTGGGCTTTGGTGGCACTTGGCAATAATTTTTACAACAATCAAAATTAAAGATAGATTGTTCGAACGTCGTGATTGTGAACGCCAAGGGTGTGATGAGATTCACTTTCCCATACAACTACTGATAACCTTTTGTCCTCTCCTAAAAATCCTCCCTGCTTAACTTTTTGATTTTGTCCTCTTCTTTCGATCATCTTCATGTTTCATTTGCATATCGGACGCCGTGGAGGCGCGGACAGAGGTGGACTTGCGGATCGGCGCAAGCTTTACGCGCTTCATGTGCCTTAGATACCAGAGACGTTTTCCCGATCTCGCGCGCCAGCTGTTGAGCTACGGACCTTGCCAGTTTCCTACACTGGGCTTTGTCGTCAAGCGGTACCAGGAGATTCGGAATTTCATTCCCGAACCTTTTTGGGGAATCAAACTGCAAGTGGATGCGAGTACAGTGTTACAGCAGCAGCCTGGAGGAGGTAGAGGAATTTTCGTTCCTGCGCCCGGTTTTTCTGGAGGACCAGGTGGACTCTATGGCGGGCTTCATCATGGTGCTTCTACGAATACGTCGTATGGAGGACAAACTGCTGGTGGAGCGACAGCAATGACGCCAGCAGCCACAACTACGCCACCTCTAGTGGTGGACTTCACCTGGCAGCGAGGACGGCTTTTCGATCGCTTGGCGGTGTTGAATTTTTTCGAAGAGTGCGTTGCGAATCGAGAGAATGTTGTGGTCACATCAACAGATACGCGCGAAGTGTCACATTGGCGGCCCATTCCTCTAGCAACTATCGAGCTGACGAAAAAGTGTTCGACCTACTTCGGCATCCCTTCGTCACAGACCATGAAACTCGCCGAAGAGCTGTACCAGGCGGGCTTCATCTCCTATCCCCGCACAGAGACGGAAAAATTTCATCCTAGTATCAACTTGCGAGATTTAGCGCAGGAACACATGAACCATGCTGCGTGGGGTGGTTACGTGCAGAATGTGCTGTTTGGCGCTGGAGGTGGCGGTGGAACTTTTCATTATGAAAGGACTATCTACTACCTGTAATGAAATTTCTGTCGAAGCTGTATGTTGTTAAAAAATGATGTAGTGGATTTGTATTTGAGTTACAAGTTCTGAAGAGGCAGAGGCAGAGCGTCGCCGGGTGATTTACTAGTACTGCTTATGAATGAATCGCTTCAACATCTTCTCAAGCTCAACATGCTTGTTGAAGATGTCACAACCAGCAACAACAGAAAGAACCGCTCAGCTCTTCTCTAACTTTTGAATGCACGACAAGGCCAGAAGGACGACCAGGCACATCCTCCAATCCATCCGGTGAAGAGCCTTTCGGAAGGCGAACAAGGAGTGGCTGGGCGAAAATGGAGTGTCTACGAACTGATCGCTCGGCATTTTTTAGCCTGCGTCTCAGCAGATGCGAAAGGCGAGAAGAATGAAGTTCAAGTCAATTGCGGGGACGAAATTTTTACTGCAAGCGGTCTGCGCGTAACCCAGAGAGGGTTCCTGGAAGTCTACCCGTAGTATGGCGAATGTTTGCTTTCTTTCGTGTTGCAGATTCACATTTAGTGATCCATCTTCATATTAATGACTCCGCTTAGTTTTGATATAATAACAACCATCTTCTGCATCTCCTGATCATCATAATCTAGTACTGCAGCTTTCTCTCCCCTGTACTGGTGCTCCACCTCTATTGATCTCCTGTCTACTCCAACAGTTGGTAGCTATCAGTATCACAGGCGTTCATATTTTCGATCGTTGGGGTCGCAACGATACGATGCTACCGCCGTTTGCGGTTGGCGAGGTTCGGAGGGCGTCGCAGTTAGAAATGACAAGCGGAACGACGCAGCCACCGGAACTACTAACTGAGGCCGAGCTCATCGGCTTGATGGACAAGAACGAAATCGGTACAGATGCTACTATGGCCACGCATATTCAAACGATCCAAGACCGAAGCTACTCCACGCTTAACGCAGACCGCCGCTTCGCTCCCACCACACTGGGACTAGCACTCGTCGAAGGTTACCAGGATTAAGGCCTCAGAAGTTAATCCACCATCTTTATCTTATTTATTTGGCTCATCATCTTCATCTTCATCTGTAACAAGAGTTGTGGACACAGCAGGTGGTGAGGCATAAGAAGATGTTGTTGGATTGTAGTGAGTTCTTCTAAAAGGATTTTGCGACGCTCGTTTCTGGTTACGACATATCGCGACCCCAGCTGCGTGCAACGATGGAGAGCGAGATGGACCAGATAGCCAGAGGAAACAAGGCGAAAGCTGACTTTCTTCAGCAGTGCTTGGCGCATATGCATCGACTATTTGTGCAAGTGAACCAGCAACCGCAAACGCTCGACTCGCGGTTAGGCAGCTATTTTCCAGATGTCATGGGTAACTACGCTGCCGGAGGAGGAGGTCCAAATGGACCAGGTGGAGGTGCACCAGGTGGACCAGGTGGAGGTGGACCAGGTGGAGGTGGACCAGGTGGAGGTGGACCAGGTGGAGGTGGACCAGGTGGAGGTGGACCAGGTGGAGGTGGACCAGGTGGAGGTGGACCAGGTGGAGGTGGACCAGGTGGAGGTGGACCAGGTGGAGGTGGACCAGGTGGAGGTGGAGGAGGTGCACCAGGTGGAGCAAATCCTGGTGAACCAGGTGGAGGTGGTGGAAACTTTCCTCCTGGTGGCGGAGGACCTGGCAATATGCCTGGAATGCCTCCGGGAGGAGGCGGCGGCATGCCACCAGGGAGCAGCGCGGCTGGATTTCCTCCAGGCGGTGGTGGAGGTTTGATCAATGCGTTTCAGAATTTTCACGCGGCAGCTGGATCGAGTTCATCTTCTGGCGGTCCGTCAAATGTGCGCGTCATTTCCTCAGGCTTGCTCCCATGTCGTTGTGGATCACGCTTGGACCTACTCGCGCAAGAGGAGATGTCGTTTCCTGCTGGAACTTTTTCGGACAAGATCCAAATTGCCGAGGGCGCAGAGGGAGGTGGGCGTGCGAACAAAAAAGGCGGTAAAGGCGGTGCCGCTAAGAGTAAGAAGACCGCAAACCCAAAAAAGAAAGCTACAGGCGCGGGTGGTAGTCGAGGAGGTGGAGGGAGAGCAGCTCAACAGCAAATGGTAGTCGCAAACTACATCTTTCGTTGTCAAAATGCGAGTTGTAATCTCAGCAACAGCGTTCTTATGCTGCCGTCGCGCGTGGCATCAACAGCACGGACTTTGCAGAGCAAAAACAACGACTTTCGGTGTCCCATTTGCGACACGGGAGTGGTGAATGTCAAGAACAATGAGACTCGAACGGAGCATGCTGTGTGTCCCTTCTGCTTCACCCACCCACCTGACTTTGCTGACAATGGACCCGTCGTCAATCAAATGCGGTGCTTCCAGTGTCGACACACCTCCTGTCCCCTTGCCGGTGGACGACCTCAAAAGACGATCAAAACGTGTCCGAAGTGCCGGAAAGGCAGTCTAGTGGTAAAAAGCAAGGACAATAGCTTTCGAATATCCTGCGACGCTTTTCCAAAATGCAATTAAGGGCGCCATCAACCCATCTCTCATAGCGTCTTTTGCCCCAACAATGCTCTTGCTGCTTATGTAATTATAGTGCTAAAAGACCTTGCTCCGAGAGATGGGTTGTTGGTACCTCTAATGCAAGGAAGTCATTTGGCTTCCACGAGCAGTCAAAAACGCAGAAGCAATGGAGTCAAATCCTTGTCCGACGTGTGGTGCTGCAAAGTTAGCGCTGCGCCTGCACTTGGGAGGAGCATTAAACTTTGTGCCCGATGCCGGAGTCACAATGGAGAGAGGTGGCCAAGAGGGAACCCTAGAGCTCTGCATCTTCTGCGAGAAAGAAAGGATAGGCATGACAACTTGAAGAGTTTCAATCAGCTGGTTTTACTAAAACATCATCTTTTGTTTCTTCTGCTGTGGTGTCTTCATCTTGATCATCTTATTCAAGAAAGAATTTAAGCTGATTGAAGAGAAGTCGGCGGTTTCTGTTCTGCCACCAAACAAGGAAGCGATCATGAGCGACTCGCAAGATGATGTGGTGAAGGAGGAGAGGATGGACACCAGATTCTTGGTCAACCCTTTCCTGGAAGGTGAGTGTGAGATTGAACACGGTTCGATGGCTACGCTTCTTGTGTTATGTTCAAATTTTTACTAGAAGAGCAAATTACAATAAGCATAGGCGACGATTACATAGTCTCATGTGCTTGATGTCGTAGGAAATTGTCGAGGAGGCGGAGACACGACTAGTAGAATACTGCGAGAAAGATGACGGAAGTCGAGTGTCCTCTTATCTGCTGAACCACAAAAGATGTCTTTCTTCACTGGCAAGAACGGTCCCGAGAAAGACCGTTGCAGCTGCAAGTTCTTGCACGCTCTGAACAAAATGTCAGTCCCGGTTCTTTTCGAGTCAGGGATTTGAGCAGGGCTACAGCTGCTAGCTACAAAATGCTGTGGAGGATATTACGGCGAAGAGACGGCGCGGCACCGGCCCCGACATCATCAGGAGTCCTCCTTACTTTTCGCCGATACTGGATGCTCATGCTCTTGAGGACTTGTTTTGTCGTGGTCTTGGCAGTAGGCAGCGAAACAACGCGCCTGGCCGCTGCCTCCGAGTTCACTACGCCTTTTCGGGAAGAGTTGATCCTGAAATCTCAGCACGTAGCACAATTCGACATATCACGGCCCTTTCCTGATTGGGATTGTAGGCGTGTTGAGCATCCTCTCGTAGACTGGCAGCGCCTCCGCACTCTTTTCAAACCTGGCTGTGCGGACTCAGTGACCAAATATACATGGTCGTTGAAATGCTCAACGCAGGTACGGAACTGGGCAGACGGCTTGGAGTTCCTCGAAGACTTCACGGATTTTCCGATTGATAAGTTGAGGCTTCTCTCGAGGATGATCCAGCTCGTTGACGTTGTTTTTGTTTAAGTATGAAGGCCTGACCGAATTGTAGATGTGAAACTACTATGTATAATTAATAGTAGTTTCATCCCTTTGCCTTTCATCTAAGTCAAGGCCCTCGACATGACGCTTTCCGCGAAGCCGCGCAGCAGCAGTGTCCCCTGGGTTACCTAGTACTGCAGATCTTGCGTCTCATGCAGTGTGTCTTGAAAGAAGCTATGGGGGACTGCTACTTGCCTTATTCGGTTCACGTTCGGGAGGTGATGCGTACCATCGATTTCAAAGTGTTTCTGGGTTCCGACTGGCCAGTTTTTGCTTTGTTGAATACATTGCCTTGGACGTGGCCTGGATTCGACCGCGATCGCATGGACTTCGACTGCGAGCGCTGGGATGTGTTTAATTTGCCGTCAGCTAACGAACACGTTGGACGAGGAGATGAACAGGAGACGAGGTTATCAAGAACGCATATAATTAGTGAATCACGACATCAACTACTTCCACCCGGCAGTGCCCGCGAACCAGAAAGTGATCGAGGCTTGGTCAATTGGAGTGCATTTCGTGATCTTTTCGTCTGGCCCGGTGACTGGCGCCATCACTATTTCGAGAGTTCGATCCACAGTTATCATGATCCTGGAGCTCGGGAGGCCCTAGAAAGTGAGGATGCAGAACACGAGGCCTATGAGCGCAGCATATTTGCTCGTAAACTCTCAGGTGGAGTGGAGCCTAGGCCATTGGAAATCGCGGCCCACCTATGTTGCAATCACGAAGATGTTGTTGCTTCTGCGGGTGGCTCTACAACTGCGACTGCGACTGTTACTAGCAGTGGTGGAGGTGAGACTTCTATGTTGGATGCCGTTCATTCCTCAGACGAGTCTCAACAAATCAAGACTGAAACGTACAACTGCGTCGCCATGAGTGAAGAGGCACTTGCTGCGTGGTTGAAAACAAGCAAAAGAGCGGAACGAAATATAAGGGTTGGCGTTGGAGTTGATGACAAACGCAAATCGGAGAAACCTGATGAGGTGGAACAACTGGCAGGAGAGTCACAAGCAACGAACCCAGGTGGAACTGGAGCAGATGAAGATCACAAACTTCCAAACGACAATCTGTCATGCAATGAGGTGCACCCACAGTACGTTTTTCCTCCGAACCACGTATCGCCCACACCAGACGACGAAGAACACATCTCTGAACATAGCTATGTGCGGGAAATAGATCCGATAAGCGAGCACGCGATATTTTTCAGCATGGGGCCAGAGGGCATGTCAACAGAAGCCTACAAAAGCGCAGCCGATGCTCACTACTACGCGCGATATCGGAGTTGGTGGCTTGACAGCATCAAATTCGTCTACTCAACAGATATCTCTGCCAACACTCCCAGAGCAAGCAAAGAATGTCTCTACTATGATTGGTGTCTACTCATTGATCAAGATCATGTTGAAGTTGAATTTGAAGATGAACCTGGTTCATGACGTAGTAATACTAAAAAAGGTATGTTGAACTACTTTTCGAATCTTGTAAAAAAAATGTTCGGAGTAGATGAGTTTTGCGAGCAGCTGTAAAACTACTTCTCCCAGGTTAGTACGATTGTAGTTTCATTCCTTTTCTTCTGCTGGGTACAACATCCATCATGATATTAGAAGTAGTACAACTTAAGACAAGTATAATTTGAAGATGTTCATCTACCGACTTGTTATTTCATATCACTGGCCTGTATACGGCGAACGTCATCAAGGGTTTGTGGGCAGCAGACACCGAGAGTTCTGCGTTCCAAGCCTACGCAGAGCATATCCAAGGCATGTTCTATGAGAGCTTGCAGTTTTTAGCGGGAAGCCGTTGGCCGATCTTCTCCCTTCTGGAGCATGGAAAGTCTTTACGGCGTCACGGTTTCAATTTGGACTACACTGAGGCCGAATTGCAGTTACCTTGGCGCGACAGTGGGCCTTACTTGCAGTCGTTATCGCCAGAAGCACACGCAGCGAAGGTACTCAGCGCTTTTGGGTTGACAATAGAGGATGCGAAGGATCCGCGTGCGAGAGCGTACTGGCGAAGAAAGAGGAGAGATGTTCAAAAGAAGTGTAGCGCAACATTGCCCATTTCACCTGAACAACCAGCAAGTGGTCCTCCAAATCTTGTTACGCATCAAGCGTCATCATCCGTCATACAACGAGCCGCGTGTGGAGGAGATGAAAAGAAGCTTCAGCAGCGGGAGCATGTCTTGTTGCTTGATTACATACTCACCGAAGTAACTATTGAAAAAAGAGATCATGAGACAACTCGCAGCCTGCTCGAGACAAGAAAACAAAAAGCCAGAAGCAAGTTCTTTGCGGGACATCGATTTTCGCTCAAACACGAACACTATGGGTGGCGACCAGTTTTCGTAGAGCAAGTCAGGCAGATCGTTGGCATTGGCATGCAGAACCGACGCTTCGCCTACATGTCGTTCGTATATGTTACGGTTGGAGGCACAATTGCTCAAGAACAACGTCCTCTTCATTAAACATTCATACGACGTTCGTGATGCTTTCCAATTGAAAGTATGTACTACTTCGAACGCAACTGATCATGTTGAGTGACGATGTAATGTATGTTGTCCCCTCTCGTGGTCAGTCCCAACTAGTACCTTGACTTGTTCACGTCGTACCTTTCATCCATTGCAAGTACCGTAAGTATCTGCGAGGTTGGGTGAAGCGGTTACACTTTTTGGGGATGCAGGACGCGATGCTTTTTCTGTGTCTCGATCGCGACACCTTGCTTGAGTGTGAGAAGCAGAACGCGGAGTTAGGCTATCCCGGAAGATGTGCGGAGGGTGAGTCGATTTCAAGCCTGAACAAGTTCACGATCGTGCTTCTGGCCCTGCAGTTGGGCATTGACGTCTTTTGGCTTGATCTCGATTTGTTTCTCGTACAAGACCCGTCCGATTCGGTGCTAGCGCTGACGCGTGGAGGAGGTGACGGGGATATTGATGACAAATGGGATTTCTCGATAAAGTATGCGGACTGGAAACAAAGGACCGACGTTGGACTTTACCCACTCCACGGGGACGCCTTGTCGGCGCTGACGGAAGAAGGACGTCGATCTGGATGGTATCAGTCCGCTTGGAAAGAGCTGCGTCAGAAGAATTCTGGTATGGAAATGTTGGTGCACCACAACCACAAGGACGCTGCAGCACCATCGCGAGATCCTCCATACGAAATGTTGATTAGTTACGCATTCGAATCCGACTGTATCTGCAACGGATTTTTCTTCCTGAAGAGCACTCCTACAATGACCCGGTGGCTGTGGGAGCTGCTCGTGTGGCTATACCAGCACCCCTACGAGCACGACCAACGCGCAATGTCCGCTTTTTTGAATTACACAGAAAAAGTTTCCTTTCCAGCTCACAATCCAAACCTCGGAGGTGAGCGTGAAAATGGTAATGGTTATGCTGCTCCTGGTGACGAAAGTCAAAGTGGGGAACAAGGACAAGGAGCACAAGAAGGAAAGCCAAAAAATCATGTTTCCGAGGTGGATCATGTCTGGCACCCTCCACCTGTCCCCCGTTGGTTCGTGTTTGAGCCACACAATCACTTTGTCAACTGGCCAGGATGGACCGGTAGTCTAGACGAAATCAATTAAGGCTTGATGCAATTCATTTGCAACGCTCATGTACATATTTTTCTTCGGTTTTCCACTTAAGAAGATTCTGAAGAAATGAAGCCAAGAAAAGATAATTGTTTCGCGCTCTAAATCAAACTGATCCATTTCTTAGATGGCGCTGCTTACTCACTCTATGGACGTGGCGACTGGGACGCCTCAATTCCGGAAAATCGCAGATCAATCGCGGAAGAAATTTCTGCTGCTGCATCTTCTGCCACTGCTTCGACTAAACAAGACAAGGGGACGGTGGTGCGAGATGATGAACTACCCCAAAAGCTACCTCAAGTACTAGTAGAAACACAAGACGCTTCTGCGTCGGTGCTCGACATCTTCTACCAGGAGGAAGTGGAGCGAGAGGAAGGAAGTTCATCTCTAACCAAGTTGCAGAAGACAATGATCATGGAGCAGCGACGAGAAAGTGTGCCTTTGGAGCGACAAAAATGCGGTATATTGCCCAATGTAGACTCAGCCCACAAAGGGATCGGGTGGGTCGATGCGGAGGTTCGGAAAAGATATCCAATTTTTTCATCACCATGAAGATGAACAAATAGAAGAACAAGAATTTTTAGGAGTAGGTGTAGAAAGCACAACAGTTTTGTGTATTTCGACACTGATAAAAACACATCCAAAAATCTAGCGATCTAATTGCCCGTTCTTGACGTACTAGACCTAGTCCTAGATTATTTTCAACGAGATCAATCACAACGATGGCAGTTGTAACCAAGCAGATTCAACAATCAAAAGAAAAGAAGACTTTTCCATCACATTCAGTCAAGAAGCGACGAAGCATCACGACGCATTATTTTTATGATGCTGTCTGCAGAACGAAGCAACAATTGAAGAACAGCAATGACAAGTCATCATCTTCTGCAGTACATATACGACGCACCAGCTTCTGCGTGTGATAGAAGACACACAAGAACATACCACAGCATGATCAGGAAGTGCTTCAGTTGTATCATGATACACTGCAGATCGATGTTCTCATTTTCTGAACTTGTTTCATGGAAATTAGCTGATTAAATTGAGATTGATATGAAAAAAATGCGCCAAGAAATGCTCTTGTCAGGAAATGAATTGCACTAAAAATGGTTAGAATCAATAATTTTCGACTATTGATTCATCGGATTCGTGGATTTGATTTTTTTGAAATTTTTCACTTGAGTACTAGATTACTTAGACGCGTAGAAGTTCGTACAACGCTCTTGAGTTAGATGATAGGAATAAAGTTGTTCCTCTCAGACTCAGTGATTTTGCTTGTGAGGACAGTAAAATAAATGAAGTAAGTACTTAAATGTGTTGGTATGTCTTAGTGACATCATGTTGCCGAATGAAATCGCCACTATCCACCTAACGCCTACGCGCCGTTGAAAAAATCCCAGAAGGATGGCCGCTTCAACAACCTCGATTTGTGGCAAGACCGATGCCCTGTTCCACACCGACCAGTACGTGCGTGTGGTGAATTTGAAGTCGGACAAACTCCATTTCCTTAATGGATGCGTCGGGCGCGTGGACGGGAAACTTGGCGATCATGCAGCGGGCCGGTACCTGGTTGTGTGCGCGTTGGCAACGCCTGGTCGCGGCATTTTGAACGCAGAACAGTTTCGCAAGGCTTTCAAACCGGAGAATTTGGAGCCATTATCTCCCGATGAGTTTGAAGATGACGAGGCGCGACGAGGAGCAAAGGAGGTGACTTCAGTCTTGCAAAAGACAGACTTCTCCATGATGTTCCAGGACGGAGACTATGTGGAGATCCACGGGTTGCAGGGCGCGAGAGAATTGAATGGAAACTTCGGGCAAGTGGTCATCAGTGGCTCGTCAATATCTTCTGCCTCAGCAGGTGATGAAACCTCTAAAGCCGAAGCTACTTCTACGCGGCGACAAGAAACGGTGTTGAATGCCCAACCGGAACGGGTTGCCGTTGCGGTTGGATTTTTGAAGCCGCGTAGTTCAGCCGAAGAGAAAAAAAACTACAAAAATGCCAGCTACCTTCACGTGAAGAAAATAAAACCTGAGAATCTCCGTCGCGTCCCGAAATGTGCGGTGCCGCGTATCGACTTTCAGCAGTTTGCAGCTGAGGCAACGGCTGAGCTCCTCTACGTGTGGCGCCCGACTTTGCAAAACCGGGAAGTAGAGTACGATAGAAATTTGTGCACGACGCAGAAGCAGATCCTCGACGTCGACGAGGTTTCGTACGAGAAAAAAACCGAGCTCGTGAGGTTACAAGTGCGGCTTTGGCAAGATCGCAGGGGGAAAGTTCGACAATGGCAAGAGAAGACATTGAAGTTCGGAGGAACGAAGACGAAATTCGCGGGAGTGGAAGCGGAGAGACCCTTTTACCACTTGGATCTGTTTTTGCATAATTTGCTACTGGTCAAAGCGACTGGAAAAGACACAATGAAAGACCTGATACCGACGTTTTCTGAAGATTCTACTTCCACTTCTCTGATGTTCCAGCAAGCGACAGGGCTGCGGGCAATGTCGAAAGTGATCGCCCTAGTTACGGAGCAAGGCCAGCCGCTAGACCTCCCAGAAGAGCAACTGAAGAATGCTGGACCGCAAGCGCTACAGCAACTTTTGTCTCGGGAGTTCGCCGGCGTGCCTAGACAGACAACCCGCGGCGGGCAAGAAGTTTTCAACCCCGCAACCCGTGCAGCGAACGAGAAGCCGGAGACGCTGCACCTGTGCTTCCACAACCCGCTGCCGCTCGATTATGATCAAGCAGAAAGCAGTTTCAACCAGGATTTTTACCCGTGGGAATTCGACGTGCGGAAGATCAGGAAAGTGGTGGGAAAAACCATTCCCGCAGCCGCGGGGGAGACGGTGGAGTCCTACTCTCTTCGCGAAGTCTATGCCTCGGAGACGGAAGTCATTTCTTGCAGTGGAGTCGCAGTGGAGGATTACGATGTTCCCCCTCCTGCAGGTCCTCGACGACCACGTCGTCTTCATGCCGAAGTCGATGGAACAAGTGATCATCAGAGTGGAACTGAAGCCGAGGGAGAAGGACACCGACAAGAAGAGGAAACGTCTTCGCAAAGAGGCTCTGAAACAAGACATTACACACCTAGACCTAGTCGAAGCAGCTCTTCCTTCTCCTTAACTACCTCGAAACAGCTCGAGCAATCCATTGGCGGGTACGAGGAAGCGCACAAGCTTTTGTCAACGGTGCTCTCTCTTCGGAAGTGCAACGAGGTCTGCTTCGCGTTGTGCGATTTACTGAACCAGTTTGAGCCGCAGATCGTCTTTACTTTTCGCGACAAACTCGTCTACAACGTCCGGATCGTTTCTGGCGGCCATTGCTTCGTGCCGGAGACCCTGTGGGGAAAAGTGGAACTCTGCACGCACTTCAGCTCGGGAGCGGAAAGTTTTGTCAGCCAGGATGGCATGGCGAAGGAAATAAGGTCGGATCTGACGTCGGACGCTGATTTATCCAAGGTTATGGTCAACATGTAGTTGTGTCCATCTTTCTCGGCATCATGGCCCCCTTTTGCCTTGTATTCTCGTGGCCTATACAAGGGGAAACAAGGGGTCCAGAAGATGAGGGGACCAAGATCATGGAGAAAAGCTCCTGACGAGGCTAACAAGGGTTCGAATAATTGGAGCACGGTCCATACCTGGCTCACCTTCCAGATTTTTGCAGACGGGCGGGAGAAAACATTTGTGCTGGACATGACGGCTCCGCAATTCGGCATCTTCGGCGAAAAAATTTCTGTATTTGAAAGGATTGTTGGAAGTAGGGAAGATCATGAAGTAGAAACAACAGCGATTCCTTCTTGCCCTGAAATTTGGAGTTTCATTCAGGAGCAAAGAACCTCCAGGACTACCGTATTTCATCCGTGTTGCAAAGAGCTGGAACACCAAGATCAGCTACTCGAGAAAATTCCAGATAATGAAGAAAATCCTGAACGTGATGCGAAGCCTAGCACAAAAACCCCTACTCCCCTCTATGACCCCACCCCTGGGTACAATCTTCCGGTGAATTTTTCCCCAGGCTTATTTCAGGAGTGGATCTACGGCAAGACGAACCACAGCAGCGTGGCGTGCAAGAAGATCAAGGACGTATCCAACACTTTTCTGGAGCGGCGCTACCCGCCCTCGGTCCGCAGCCTACCCCGGCCGTACAACGTACCGGAACTGCCGGACAGATCTAAATTCTTCGGTATTGGCGTGACGGACTCTGACGACGGACAGTCGATTGATTTATTGACGAACATGGAGCGTGGGATTGCCGCTCTCCAGGACCCTAACTCGACCTCTAACATCGTTTCGCAACACGAGGTGCGGCGCCGTTTACAAACTCTGGCTTACTGTCAGCGTATTGAACAGATAACGGGAGTGAAAATGAGGGATTTTCTCAAAATGGAACAAGGCGCGGACGATTATGTTGCGCGAAAGGGGGGTAGACAGTGTAGACATCCGGAACTCGCGAAGACAGAGTACGTGTGGGAGTAAGCAAGATGAAAAATTAAAACATGTATTGTCCCTTAAAAAATGGCCGTTTTAGACACTAACCACGTTGCTGCAACTGTTTTTTCCAGGCACGTGAAATATAATCGTCCTTAAGCTTATAATCTTCAGCGTCTAGTCCTCCCTCATCATGCGTCTTGGCCAAATTTCCTTCACAAGTACAAGGGAGAACAACTACGAAGAGACCGCGCAAATGAGTAGATTATTGTATCCCCTTATATATACATAGATATATTGTTTTTCTTTCTACTCTGGAGATGAAGTGAAGAAGATCTGAGACGAACAAGCTGTTCTCAATGCCTTCAATCAGTAGATCGAACAGAAGACAAAGACTTTCACTTTCTGGTAGTGGTACTGGTTGGCAGGGACGTCGTGTAAAAGAAAAGTTGGAATAAACGAGATAACATCAAGAAAGGAACTAGGCAAAACAGTAAGCGCTCGCTCTAATCAAAAACCAGGAAAGCCGAAGTGATTATGATATAGTTTTGGAGAAAGCAGCCAGTTGTATTTTAGTTTTGGAATATTAAGGCGGGGCATTCTTCATCATTGTATAATATTACTTGTTGTCTTGCGAAGAAAATCCACTGCCAACATAAAACGATGTAGTCGTGAAGAATACCAGCACTATATTAGCGAAAGCGAAGCAGAATCTGGCGACGCCATTGACGAACTTGATCTTGATGTGCACGGAGCAACGTTCGCCAATACGCACGATGTTGTTCTTAGATAGAAGGACACATTCTACTAACAGCGCGTCTTTTGTTCGGTCGTTGACTGATATGGGTCTGCTGACCTTGATTTCGTATGTAGAAGTTGTAGATCTAGATTTTATGCTGATATACTTTTTCCAGATCGACGTCCTTGGGCATGGTCTCTAAAAGCGTATAAATGATCACTCTCATCATGTTGACTGAGGCTGCTTCGGTCCCTCTCCCTTCTGGACGATGTTTTTCTCTGACCTTATGTGTCTATAACTTATGTCGGACCCGTCAGGATCAACATTTCTCAGCCATTCATTATTTTCAAGATTAGCATTGACTGATATCAAAATACTCGTGTCTGGAAATGAATTGCGTTCAAAGTGCTTATAATCAATAATATTCGAGAATTCATGAAATTTTGAGATTCGAAATTTGAACTTCTTCTTGAGTTTTGACATTCTTGATGAAGAATTTGTTGCGCAAATCCTCCACTAGGTGTGAGACTATTACGTACTAGTTGTAGATGACAACTCACTTATCTTCATGGTACAACTATGGTCCACGTGCAAGTCAATCAATTACAATCGCAACTCCCCGAAATCCTTACTCAGTGTGCAGATCATTAGTGTAAGATGAGAAGGCTAAGATTGTGCCTGGCCCTTGTGCTTCAGGCTTCCCGCGGGGTAATTGAGTGGAACTATCGCGGGAAATTGTAGACCCAGGCAACAACAAAAAAGTGCCAGGGTCGATCATATGAATGAATAGTGTAACCATTGCAGTGGATAGATGACTCTTCACCTTCAGTCTCTTGCCGTGGCTACTTTTGGTTATACTTGATAGTCTATCTCAACAACAGAAGCCAGGTACAGGGTGGCTGAACGGCCTCAATAACGTTAGTCAAGACGTCGCACTAGGTATCTTCATGACATGACGCCATGAACATGATATGCGTCTGCAAGACAAGGACGCGCTCTTGTTGTAGTTTTGTCTGTGAGTATCTATAAGTAGTGCACATTTTTTGCTTCGGTGCTCCTTGTGCTTTCGTCTTTCTATCATCAATAAGTCTTCACGACTTCATCAAAAGTCTTTATCTGGATTTCGATATAATTAATACCATAGCAAGATGAGAAGGGCAGGAAGAAGCGAAGGTCGACGAAGACCACTGCATACCGTAGTTCGGCGTGTAAAAGCCGTTGCTGGTGGTCTACTTTGTTCGGGTCCTGCTCGTGTCGTCTTCGGAGCCAGAACGAAGGGCTGCAGCGTAACCAGGGACGAACAGCAGCCGATTTTGGCAGACACGACCTCCCAGGATGAAGATAGACATGAAGAAGATAGACATGAAGAAGATAGACATGAAGAAGATAGATGGACATCATCGTCGCCGTCGCAGCTTCAGCGACATCCGCATGGTATTCTCCCGCTCTCGCCAATATTGGAGCAAAGATCTGATGCAAAACAGGAACCCGCATTATTGAGTAGGTTGAAATACAGAATGGAGTTGCTGATTGGCACGCCGTGGCCATGTAGTAGTGATGTTGTAGCTGACCAGGGGGAGGACGATAGAAGTGGTGGAACAAGTGGTGCTCCTCTGCTACGAGATGATCAGCAGATAAGAAAAAGTGGTGCTGTGCAAGATGACCAGCAGATAGGTGGTGGAAAAGCAGAGGACATTGACGTGATGGTTCCTCGACCTCTCTCAACGGGATGGCAACAAGAGTTTCTTCGCTGTACATCTTCAAGTAGCTCGTGCTCGTCTAGAAGTAGTTCTCGAACAAATTCCAAAAATCACGACTCACCACATACTCCTACCATCAAAAAACATGTTGTAACTCCTGCGAGTCGTGTAGGTACAAGGTTTTCACGCCGCTATATTTCCTTGCCGAAGTGGCCCTTGCAGCTCTCGTTGGCAGGAAGTAGAAACAGACGTAAGGCACGAACACGAGTAAGACCCACTATACTTCAAGATAATCAACCTGCGGATGCTCCTGCTGCAGCAGAAGCAGAGCAGATGAACAGGAAGAACGACCACAACATGCACGAAGAGGAGATTAAGAACGATAACACGCAAGAGGGCCAAGTGAGTGCTCATTATTTGACCATGAATGCGTATGGTAATCGGCATAACGTGGCGTCAAGACGTGACACACTACAAGAAGATGCAAAATATGCTGTAAGGATGATGAACTTGAAGAACGTAACCAAGAATCACCAAGAAGAGGACGACACATCTTCAGGAGGCGAAGCTACGATGACGATGGAAAAGACTTCTGAGGCCCAGCACGAACAGGACCACGAGGAGAGTAGTTGCCAAGGCATATTTCCACTGAGTGTCTTATTGGCGAATATCGTTTATTTACCTGGAGGCGGAAAGTCGCCTGATGCGTGTACTTTTGATGTTTGCCAGGAATTATATCAAGACGTGGAAAAAAGGGAGCATGCTCAAGAACATGCTGTAACCCCAACAAGCTCCTCCACCAGCACGACTAGTAGTTGTTGTACGACTTCTGGTGGTCGTGCGGTTCTTCATCGTAAAAATGTTGATCGCAAAAAATACTACCTTCTGAATGCCTTAGCTATTGGACATCTTGCCGCAACATGCTCGGAAGCGAGCGAAACGTTGACCCCTTTGCTCTGTGCTTTCCACGACATCTACCAGGAACAGCGAGAGCAGATCGATGCCTGCAGCAGGGCCATTGCTGAGCTGCTAAAGCGAATGGATCTAATCGGCAGAGGACGACGACCAGCAGGAAGAAGGGCGGAACTTGTCGTCAGAAATCATGCGAGAGTGCTCGACGAGCAGCCTAACCACGGTCGTTACGGAGGTCCTCGTAGTTCCCTTAGATTAAGGGTAGGTTAAAGGTGCTTTTCTTACCGCTTTTTATGCCTTTCCTAAGGGGGAAAGGCATAACAAGCGGGGTAAGCGAGCACCAAAAGCCTACCTCTAATTAGACGCGGGCTATTGTCTTCCGCAGACCACTACGTCAGGAGACGAGAAGTCAGAGATGGAGAAGAACATGAAGCCGCATCGCGATCGGAGTCCGCGGATATGTTGAATTCTTCGATCGAGTACCTCAGTAGTAGAGGACCGATTCAGTCTCAGAGAACTGAGGAACAAGAAGGTGGGATGATGACGCACGAAGGAACGGTAGAAGTAGAACCAGTACCAGCGTCGCTGGAGGTGGACGAGGACATCAATGCAGTTGAAGATGACGATAGTACTACAAGCAGCACTGGTGAATCATCTTCATCAGAATCCTCGAATATTGAGAGTATCGTCAGAGAAGAAACTGGACTTCTGCGGGTTCATATCCAAGCACTAAAAGCAGCCCAAGCTAAATCGGATAGACTCCGAGAATGGGTCATATCGTAATATAAAACACCGTAAAGTAGATAGATGCACTAGATGAACTTGAACTTGTTGAACTATTTGTATGCATCAATAGTACTTGTTCTTGTTTCTTTTACTACTTACACCAATCAAGTAGGACAAGAACATCGACACGGGGAAAATTACTCTCTCAACCTACATAAAAATTGTGCGACGTCTTCCAAACCCTTTGTGGTTCTTTCGCGCTATTCCTTATCTACGGAGTGGCTTACGCTTACCCAAGTATTGCAGTCAGAAGAAAACTGAAGACAAAAACGGTTAGTAAGTATCTAATGCTTTTTTGTAGAACGACGATTTTTACAACGGAGGAAATTTGAATCATATCGATGAAAGTTTCTGGCATAGGCATGCCTTTTTTTATACTAAATTATATAGTTGTTCTGGAACAGCATTTGTTCTTGTTGTAGAAGGACATAAAAAGAGCGTCGTGAGTGTGTAAAAAATGAAAATTATGATGGCTTGTATTTCATAACGACGTCGAAGCAAGAAGCTCCCAATTTCAGCTGCGTGATGCAATTACGACTGCAAAACAAATCGGAAGACTAAGCGCGACTTACAACAACCTCAAATAGAAATGCGATGTACTTCCACTTAGATGTTCTTCATAATAATTTAGATGTTCTTCATAATTTAGATGATGTTCAACTTCATAATTTAGATGTTCTTCATAATTTCGATCATGATATTCTTCATGATTTAGATGAAGTTTTTCCACGACGCCCATCTTCAATACAACCAAGGTGTGAAATAACAACGATTGTTGACCCTCAGTTGCTTTCGCAGCTATGCTAAAGCTAATGCCAGCACCTAAATTTGTGTGTTTCTGCGCATTTGTGTAGTATCCGCATACTACCAGACTACTAGAACAAAGTCGTGGGATGGATTGTTGAAGATTGATGTTTCTACGTTCTTCTCGCTCTACTCCAACGCTTATTCTCTCACAAAAAAGGAAAAATTGTTGCTTCGGCAGCGTGAATGACTGAATGAAAAATGACCACACTGAGACTTGATTTTTTTACAACGTCTTCGAAGGATGTTTTGATTGAAATGGTGACGAACTGATGCTGGCTTCTCATCTTCGATTCTCCATCCTTTTATGACGTCTTCTGTCGTGCGCCACGGTTCTCTTGTGACGTCGAGGTCTCGTGTTCTGAGAGAACAACAAGCCATGGAGACCAACAAGCCATGGAGACCGAAGTAGTGATTGCTGTCTCTTCTTCCTTAAGGTTGAACTAAAGTGATATTGAGTAATTACTTCCTTTTAGTTGTCTTCTTAGAGTGTTTACTTTTACTTCCTGAGCTTCCGCCCTACGGGGTGTCTGTTTGAAACATTAGCTTTCTTTCTAGTTGGCGAGCCTTTTTGCGATGAGGAAAAGGTTATCTGGGCTTGGCGGTGTTGGACCATCTGTGCGAGGGCAGCTCCTGATGGCATGCGTACGCAGTACCATGTCATTTGGCCAGCAAGCAAGGGCAACGCTACCGACAGAAGTGAGAGAGCTTGCAGAAGTTGAAGCACTGATGGCGGCAAAGCTATCCAGGCACCCCTTGTGGAGATATCACAGAGGTGAAGTGAGAAGGTCTGAAATCTTAAAAGAGATGCGGATCCCTCCTTTGTCCGCGTTCTTCAAATACATCAAGGTCAAACATTGGGGCCACGTACTGCGGGCGGAGTCCTCATCTTTGGAGCGCTCAGCAATACTAGGGCAGTTTTTTCCGGAGCAGTCGGCGATCTCTCCGGGGCGAGAAGCTTACCTAAGAACAATAGCTGACGAAAAAGATGTCCCCCCTTCTGAGCGGCTGGTATACTCGTTACAGGATCAGGTAGCGCGGCATCTGACTCGAGAATGCGGACTCTCGCCAGCTATGATAGAGTCTCTACTTCAGCCTTGCCAGCAAGAAGAAGAGGAAGCGCAGCAGGAAGAGTTGAGTGAAAGCGAACAAAAAGGCCATGAAGCGAAGGAACTAGAACGCTATGCGGAAAGAAAGCAGTTTTATTATCTAGCGACCCGCGCTGCCTTTATCTACAGCACAGTAGAGGAGTGGACTTCTCACGGGAGCGCACAGTGGGAAAAAGAGCAGCTCTGGGGCGAAATGCTGTGCAAACATCTCGAAGGAAAGTCGCGAAGCACAGCAGCGGCTGCACAGAAAGTAGAACATGTGGAAAAGCTTCAGGTTTGGCAAAACAACGAACAAGGAGTAGCTGACGCTTCGCTACATAAAAAGACAATAGAAGCTACATTTGTTCTCACCGGCGGCGCGTCGGCGACCTTAGAGTCGCTACAAGGAGGTGAGCAGCACAGTGCGGCGATTCCAGGGGTAGTCATAAATCCCCAATGTTTCGAATCGGGTGAGGTGGCCATAATTCACACAAAGCAGGGAAACGAAAAACAAAGAGGGACCGCCATAGTTAGCTTCTCAGGCCCAGTCTGGCTACATCAGGTGCGCGCGTTCAAGCAGGGCTCTACAGCTATGAAGTTCAAACACGTGGGCACGGTAGAAGAAGGCTGGGAAGCATACACGGGAGATGCGTTTACATGTGGTGGCTTTTGCTCGGAAATAAAGTCGCTGCGCAAGATGGTTCTGCCGGGGGAAAAAGGAACTCTTCTAGAATTTGCACGAGACTCACCATTATACATGGTCACTGCTGCTAGTTCGATCAGCACTAAAGCGATTAGGATAAGGAAAATGCCTCACGCAGCAGGTAACTGCCCTTCGTGCGACTGGAGATGGACGAAAAACTTCTCGCAAAATGAATGGGATCTGTCCAGTCCTGAGGTGAGAGCCGACGCATTAATGGCTCACTTTGAACATGAGCACCCTGTCGCAGAACCGAAAGTTGAGCCTTTAGCGCAGGCATTGAGGAAGGTAGCGAAGCAAGACGCGCAAGGGGATTACGCACTGAAGAAGCAAAAGCAAAGAAGAGGATCAGGCGTCTGCTTCTGGAGGTTAAAATCGGCAGGGCCGAAACTCAAGACAAGGAAGAAACATCCCGAGCGATATGAGTGTCGCATATGTGACATGCGTTTTGCTACCTCGTACGGATCGATGAAGCAACATGAACAAGCTCACCAAGCCAATGAACCAACCAAATCGTACAAGGTTGTGATCAAGTCCACCCCGACTCGCGCAGCAGTTGGAAGCGTTCAGAACTTATACAGACCTGAGCAGCACGCGATACATCCAACGACAGGAAAGTACTACCCTGGGCCAGGCGTCAAGCTGCACAAACTGTACATCCCGACAATTCTGCGCTGCAAAGAACGAACGAAGAAATGCCTGAGATGTCACAAGTGCGAAAAATGGAAAGTAGAGTTTGACGAAGAAGTGATGACGATGTTGGCAAGATCAAAAAGGATAGATCTACTCAAGAGACACATGAGGAAGTGCAAGAAAAAGTAGAGGTCAAAAAAGTAACGAAAAAGTGGAAAGAGTTTCTCTCTTTGTTAACCTAAAACTAAAACTTAACCTTCATATACATAAAAAAAAGCATTGAGAAGCCCCAACAAAAAACAAATCCTAATTAATCCCTCCAATGCAAACCCATGCACTAGACAACACCTCGCGAACAGGTACATGAATGAATGAATGAAAGTTAGTTCCTCAGTTATCTGCTTGCTGTGGTGGGTCCTTCATGCTGTCTCCAGCTTTTTTGTTGATTTGAGTTCTCGCGTTCTGAGAGACCAACACGCCATGGAGGCCCGAAGATGCTGGCATCATCATGTTGTATCATTGCAACGACGCGATGAAAGCACATCATCATGGATGGAAGTAATTTTTGATGCACTGGAGAAAAAGTTATTAAATATTAGGGTTGAACTTGAAAAAAAGTGCAGCTAGTCGACGGACAACTACAAAGCAAAGGTGTTTCCAAAGCACCTCCTCTGGCTGAAACGATGTACTAGTCGGGACGCAATGAATTTTGTGAGTCGATTGTACAGATGAAATTGAAAATCGAACTAGTTGTGGTCTTTCTGTATTTCTTCGTGAGGAGGTTCTTTGTTGATTTTATTTTTCAACTAGTGCGAATTGTATTGTATTTAAAAGAATTTGAAATTGAATTTGAAATAAGTAGAAAAATCTTTAATGTTTGTCACTGAAGAAAGTCCTTTCTTCTAAAATAAAGCCTTCCCTCCTGCTACCGCTTCATCCCATGCAAATAACAAGACATGCCGCGCACAGGAGCAAGAGGCGGACACCGCGTGTCTGTCGCGAGGCGTGGCGCACTCCAGCAACGGAACAACGCGATTTGCAGGGGTCATCTAATGAAATCGACCAATAAGCAGGTGAAAGGCAAAGGCATCTGCTCCAGAAATAAGGCTGGCGTCCTAACCGATTACCCGTTCTATCGCTTCACCGCATGGAGGGAAGGGCTTCGGTTGGTACAAAAAGCGGTTTCCCAACTACGGCAAAAGCGTGACAATTTCGGGGAAACGGTGTTCGCTGTACAAGAGCAACTAGCTCAAATCGACGAATTCGCGCGTAACGGCAAGTGGAGTGTTTTGGAGCGCGAATTGCGATCGGGGCTTCTGGCAAGCGATCGTGCACAACTTAGACCAAATGAATTCGCAAAGCTGGTGTATCTTCTTAGCTCTGCAGCAGGCGCTGCAAGTGCGCCTTTGTTGGGCAGCACAAGTATTGCAAATAGAGCTACCAGGCGGCTCAGAATATTGAAGAAGATGTTGAAGAAAGGAACCCTTCACCATTTTTCTGTTCCCGCTTCGGTTGTTCTTTCATCTGGAGGAAAGACAGGAAAAAGTAAGAGATCTCGTAAGCAGCTGGCCTTGCGAGCACCACGACCGAGCAACATTGTCCTCAAGGAACAACAAACGCCACGATTCCCCGCACAGCAAATAAATCCCGAGCTTGTTGAGCGCCTATGGAGAATGGCAGGCATACCATTCGAATATGCTTCCGGTGCAGATTTCGTGAAGATCGTGAGAGGCTTAGGCAATCTTGAACGGGCTAATCGGGTGGGCAGGTTGCGCGAAGCTGCGAACCGTGTTAGAAATAAGCCTATCATGTTGGAACTACACGGTACAACAAGTACTAGAAGTGGAGGTCCTCCTAAAGTAGAGGACCAAGAGCCGTCTCTTTCGACATTTTCGATGTCGGAACAACACGGTACGAAATCGGGTCCTCAGGAGCTGCTGCAAGAAGATGCCACCTACGAAGACCAAGAAGATGTGCATGTGGATCATGATCCTCAAGAAGGTGTACTAAATGTTGATCTCCAGACGCGTGGCCTCAACGTTCACCGTATTGCGAATATTAGAGTCTGTCAGCAATATCTGATAGAACTGGACCTAGAGCATTCAGCCGAAATCGCAGATCTAGTGGAAGGGCTGTTCGATCTGGACGCCCTAGACACATCTCTGCTCTGGCAAATTCTGAAGCGAAGCGGCTTTCCATGTTTCAGTGCAACAGGAAAGGGTTGTTCTGCTTCATCTGGCGTCGATGATGAAGTGGAGAGAACAAGGGGGAACCAAGATAATGAAGATTTAGGTCAACTACAACTACAGGAGCAGGGAAATCAAGATAGAGATGTCGGCGCAGGTGGTGCTGCTATCGTCAAGAAAAGTAAAGGTAACTTCTACTCCCCAAATCCGAAACTCGAGTCGCATGTCAGGTTGACTGAAATGGCAAAAAGAATTGCCGACGAGGAGACCAACACGGACCCACTAGAAATATCTGCCACATTCCAGAAGAGTATCCTGAGGTTTTGCGACATTCATAGGGTCTTACGCCCTGCTCTGCGACTCGTTTTGCGGCAAAAAGAAGCCTCAAGCTCAAGCAGTAGAGAGAAGTTAAAGAGAGCAGTCATCACGTCTTTGTCGTATTATATGCAAGCGCATAAAAGCAGAATCCCTCTTTCCGGACTGATTGACATTACCGAAGCGACGCTGGTGAACATGCGGGACTCATTGTTACTCCCACGTGAGGGTGAGGACGCTGACGCTGACGCAGGTAGTAAAGCTAAATATGGGAGCGTCGATTCCAACGAACAAAACGAAGTAGAACTTCCTTTCAAGCTAAATGAGTATTCGGAGGACCCAGGTTTGCAAATACGTAGGGTTCTCGTGGCTGAGATCGCGCGGCGAGTATCTACGGAACAAAGACTCCTGACCACTGACGGCCGCAGGCTCGACAAAAGGGTGGGACTACTTTTCGAAAAAAGAAATGGAGAATATATGCTCCAACGCCTCACAAATCTTACCCTACAGCATTACCTGCGCTTGCGTCAGTATTGTTTATCTGGAGGTGGTTCTGGTTCTTCTCGGGGACTAGACTCATATCATGTTGATAGTTATGGCAAGGGGTCGGACATGCTCGTCGAGGATATGCAAACCTTTCAAGAGATCGTGCCCTTCTTAGCAAGATCGCACTCGAGGGTACTTCGACGCGGTCAAGTCTTACATTCGCCAGGCCAACTGCTTAGTATGGTTCGACTGGCGCGATTAACGGGCTATCGAGATGAGTACTTCTACAAAATAGCGGCAAGAACTCAGCAGCTTGTAGTTGACAGCCGTGAAAGGCTTCAAGAAGAGCAAAAGCTGCAACTTCATAGGGTGGACGAACGAGGAGGGGATCATGGGTTGGTTCCTAAACAAGTGACGGATCGTCATAGGCTGGCTGGTGTGGGAGGTGACCTCCACCAAAAGTCCTTTCAAGGACCAAAGGCTAGTTTGTAGACTTGTCCCGACTTGTCCCCGAACTACAAGAGAATAAAGACGACCTCGTCTTCAAAAGAGATGGGAGGGAGTCTAGGTCTGCGTCTGGAAGGATCAGAAATAGCTGTAATTATGCTGGAGAAGGTCAATTTTGACATCAATGGGAAGGAGGTTACTTGTCCATCATCCTCAGTCTCAGTGGTGAAGCGACTGCGCATGCGCATCAAGTGTAAAATTGAGCGTTGAAGATCGTCAGAGTTGTACTACAACGTCTTTTGTGGATCTCTACTTCAACATCCAAAAATTGTTCCGGTTTTCTTATAGTTGTAGTGGTCTCCCTCTCCTCGTGCTCCACCTGTTATCAATCTAGTATCGTCTCTGTCTATGCAGATATCTTCTTCTATATTCTGTCCTCCATTCTCAAGTTACCATATGACGGACCAGAATCAACTTCGATGGTCCCCTTGTCCGGACCTTGTTTCGGTCGACTGAATCTGAAATTCACAGGTGCAGCAAAACCTGATGATCGTAAAGAATTTGAGTAGAGCAAAACGTGATGTTGTGAGTAAAAAAGTGACTATTCTTTATAGACACTTCTTTTGTGAAACAAAAACATCTGAAAAAATAATTAAGTAACCTCCTTCCACCATAACAGGACGCTTGAAGTTTTTTTACCTGAAGTTAGGCTGTGTGCCTGTGCTGCTAATCTTGATTGGCTTTTGCCTGTAAAAAGGCGAACAAGGTTTAGGTCGAGCGACGCTCAAAGCACTAGATAAAGCAACCGGTTTGCTTTTCCTCTTATTCTGACCTAGGTTTATCCCTTTGTGCAATCTATCTCGTTATAAGTTTTTGATGTTGAAATTGTAACTGAATAACAAGAAAATTTCAAGCACGACAAAAATGACGAGGACGCAATTTTGTCGCCGGCGCCGAGCGCTTTTTTCCATCACCAGTAACTTTTTTCTCGTTGTCTGGTGCGTGGTTCAACGTGCTATTTCGGCCCGTGCCACTACAGGTACTACAGGTGGTACAAATTCTCCATCGGGCGGGTTGGCGGAGCAAGAGAACGTTGTAGTCACGCACGACCTTACGGACAGCACAACCTCCTCTACATCATCCAGTGCCAGCAGTCGCCGCGGTCGTGGTCCGAAGAACCTGCTCAAGGATGCAAGGTTGTATGGACGTCGTCCAGATGAACCCATACGTGTCAAGCTGGTCCAAGGATTCCATGGAAAAGTACTCGTTGAGAATCTTCTGGTTCCCGCCTTGGTCTCTGGTGAACATTTTTTCTTTGCGTGTCAGGCTCAGGTCGCCCTCGTCCTCAATAAGAACAAGATGAATAATGTTGACGATGTTGGAGGTTATGCTTATGGTCGTGGTGGCACTGAAGCATGAGATTGAGAAGATGAAGGAAAAGGGAATGTCGTGGTCGTCTCCGTCTTAGAGTTATTCACGCCTTCTTCTGAAAACGACATTCCCTAGTCGCCTATATTAGTACTTTTCTCAATCTTCAGGAGTGGCGTGATTCATGTTGCTCAGGAGCAGCACGACCAGGAGGAGCCTTTCCTGATAGATGGCGCCACCCAGTTCGTGGTTGGCGATCGCGTCTTGGATCTCTCGAAAGGCCCCTTTTATCAAATCCTAAAGGGTGAACGTCGTGAGGACGATCATCTTCATAACAATGTTGATGTGGTGATCATTCAACTTGTGAAACCTTCGTCTGCGGTACTTACACCGGATATGACGGCATCACTTCCAGTTCCAGCCAGAGTTCTCGGTTGTAACAAACACGTGGACCTCCAATCCGCTTTAATGTGCCACAAAAATGTTGATGGAAGCAGGGGTCCTCGGCAGCTGCGACCAGGAATCGAATTGTATCTCGGTGCCCGTTCGACACAACGTCCGCAACCAATGCGGACGGACGGCTTTCTTCATGAGGAGGAGCTACCCATAACAAAAGTGACGCCGGAAATTTGGGACGGCAAATATTTTTTGTCGATCGCAGTAAGAGAACTGGAACAACCTTAAGGCAGCGAGGTGGTCGCTAAAGGTGCTGTTGGGTGTTCCTGTTAATACCGTTTGTACTCGTACTGCCTTGATTGTGTTTCCTCAACAGGGAGAATGAGAAAGGCAGATGAACAAACGGGTGGAAACAGAAACACCTAAGGGCACCACCATCTTCATCAATTGGAACAAAGGTTCTGGTACATGTTCCGCGATCACCCAAAGGACTTGCCCTCAGCACACGACCGTCAACATCGTGCTTTCCTGGGAAGCGATGAAGGAGTAGATCATGCCATCACCACAACAACAAGCAGGATTGAAGTTGATTCACCCGGCTTTTCAGAAATTTCGAGGGTGGACGAGCATGATCAGAAATTTTTGGAACAAGAACAAGAGGTTCCACCTCATCATTGGTTGCCTGGAATGGCTTCTGTGAGCCCGCGATACGCAGCCCTTCTCTCGTCTTTCTCAAAAGGAACGCTGGGACGGATGAAGTTCAAGTCTCCTGCCGACTTCCTGCGAAAGTATTTTCCGCCTACTGCCTACGAGGGCTACATTCGCGTCGGCGTGCCGGATCTGCTTGTTTCTCCTGAGATTAAGGCTGTGGTCCAAAGAACCTTGTTACCAACCCACGTGGATCCCGTTATGAAGGACTGCGCTGCTGGTAGTACCTGGCGGATTCTCGGGCTGTTGTTTTGAGGCCAGTTGTACTTCTGGGGCGAGTATTTTTTTTAACGAGATCATCCAGCATTCACGGGATCATGGGTTTTTATAAATATTAGAGGTTCGTACTCGTAGCTCTAATGAGAGTCCTTACCAAATTCCACCTGAGGCGCGATGGAGAGTGATGCGCGTCGTCTTGGACCTTACGGAGGCAGGAGTCCCACCTGCTTACCTGGGACCACCCACAGATTTTTACCACTTTTCCATTCGTATCACTATGGAGGTACTTGACTCGTCTGAGCACGTGGTCCAGGGCGGCACGACCAGTGCTGGGAAAAGTCACTCCTCCTCTAGTACCAGTACTACAAGATCTTCTACTTCGCAACACCACGAAGATGGCCAACATTTAGCAGTGATCTTAACTTTCCACTACGAGAGCATTCCGATTGAAGAAGGAGGTCGTCTTCAACAAGGTCCTTGGCAAAGGGGGTCTATGGGTATGGGAAGAAGCGCATGATGATGACGCGATGAATCCTGGTGAGCCTGAGTCTGAGGAGCCCTCCTGCTCCTCGGAGGAAGATAAATTATGGTCAACATTTAGTGTCCATCATTCTCGGCATCTTGGTCCCCTTTTCCCTTGTATTCTCATGAAATACAAGGTAAAAGGGGTCAAGATGAGGGGACCGAGATGCATTCTAGCACACGCTAAATAAAGGTAATATCGAGCTTCCGCTTTCTGCTCTGGAGGTGGATCTGGTGCTTAACGACAGTACTACGCAGAAGCCCGTCCGATCCTTCTGCGTTAACATAGACCTTGGGGTTATTGAAGACGAACAAGAAAGATGGACCGAGAAGATATCCACCTCGCAGGTGCAATTAAGGCTCTCACTAATTCATCCTCGGAAGGCAGCATCCTGAAGAGGCTTTTCAATGGGAAAAAGAGCCTACCTAGGATGCATTCCGAGATGGATTAGGGTGCGCTCTAATGCTAGCCGGCGCGTCTTTTGTCTTCGCGAGTCGTCCTGAAATGTACGTTGCCGACGAGGGAGAGCAACCGGAATATGAACAAACAACCGCGGGAGAGGTGCTAGTTCAATTACGCCGCAAGGATAAAAGTAAAACTCGTCATTTCTTGTTATACGATGCATCGGGTTTCTTTTCTTCTGGTGATCCATTGTAAGGGAACACTCCGTATCGGTATACTGTTCTCTCATAATGAATCTGGAGAAGATGAAAGAAACTCCTCGACGAAGACGAAGTAGAAGTAAAGAAAAATAAGAGTAAGAGGAACTATCTTTACCACGACAATGAGTGGCAATCTCTAAATCCCAGCGGTCCAATTGTCAGTGCACCCTAGTAACATTGCTCTTCGCCAAGGAGTGGAGGAGGGAGTACATCAGGGGTCGACATCTAGTAACATTGTTCTTCGCCAATACCCAGGAGATGCGGATGCTGTACATCAGGGGTCGACATCACACCAGGACTACAGTCAAACAGGAGTCCTTTCTGGGAGGTTCTTAACTGAAAAACACGTTTGAGTTTCCAGTAGTTCATCTTGGAGGAGTATTACCTCCTTCAGAAGTAATGCAAGAAGACGAGCAGTGCTGTCGGGTGTGGCGTCTACGGTCATCAATAAATGAACAAACCGGACTACTAACTAAGAACAACTGGTGGAGGTGGCGCTGGATGCACGGTTCCACTCTGGCTATCCATGTAAAAAATGTAACCGGGCAGGGACGGTCTTCACATAAAAATGTAACTTAGGTGACAAGTTGTAGGTGGACAAGTTGTAGTTCTGAAAGCGTACAACAACAGATCACGTTGACGATTACTTCTCGCTGTGTGAGCATTAATATGGTACTTTCACAAGTCATAGCTCCTGCTCCGCTGCGAGAATTTGTGCTTGAATGAAAAATAGTTCCCATGATCCAATGCAGTCTTCATGTTAATCATTTATGGACTCGAATTTTCCTGGAGGTTCGTCGTTGTCTTATCAAGTTGAAGGTAGTGGAAAATGGCGAATGAAATGATGAAGAATCTGGTGCTGTCTTCTTTTCTGGTCGTTGGGGATGTCAAAGATGAATTTCTTCTGCTTCTTCTGCAATACCCTCATGCAGAAGTTCTAGAGAATAGAGATCTACCCTACTAAAAATAAAAAAGTAAAAAACAATATAAAGCCTAAAAAAGAAATAAATAAAAATATGTATAACGCGATAAATAAAGATATATATAAACTGCCGAAAAAGGTGCCTGATTTTTAATCTTGATGGTCTATTTGCTGATGCTCCTACTTCTATTTGGGTCAAAAAACTTCCTTCATTTGATGACGCACTTCAAACCAAAAAGCAGTAGGGTTATAGGCTAAGAGCTGTGCAGGCTCAGAGGAGATAGGTGGCAACACTGGAAGCACGGAGCGCGTTTCCTATTTTTCTTGTTATTTCCTTGTGATTGTGTTCGGCCTGAATTTGAGTCGGTTTTTGAGTCTGTACTTGTTGAAGGTTGACCAAGGGAGAAATTATAAAAGAGAGCTACTGGATTCCGACAAAAAATAAGATCAGTACCATTCGGTCTACTCTCTGAGATCACTAAGTAGAACAACGTTCTGATGCTAGCTGTTGATGATAATTTTTACCTCATTTGGTCGTGATTTTGTTTTATTAATGTTAATTTTTCGTTGATCTTCGTGATCCATAATTGAGGAACATCTACCTCCTGGTAAGGATTTGTAGGTAGATCACAATGTTGATCATGATTTAGTTTCATTCATCTTTAACGAGTAATTGACCCCTCAAGAAATCATCAGACTTGAACGAAAAAGCTAGAGATTGCGCTAGTTGTACCGTTATTGTTTTTCCACACTGATAACGGTGAAAGAATGGAATTTTTGCCATCGCGCAACGGCAAACCTACTTGCACCAAATAAAAATCGAGAAGGCTGTTTTCACTGAAACCTCCTATGGTGCAGTGGGTCAATGAACCTGCAGGGTGAAATAATAGTTACTAAACTACAGTAGTAAAATTTCATCTATTAACGCTCATGATCAGGAGCTCGTTGCTTTTGCATACGCATTTGCAATAATACAAGCAGTATTTTTTAAAAACAGACTCATTCCTAATATGAATCAAGAACATATCTTCACTTCTCAAATTGCTTGTTGGGAGTCTCATTTCACGATCAGTTATACTGGCGCTCAAACTCAATCCATTGTTTCCCGTCGGGATCGTGTAGTGATGTAATAGAAATATGATTGTCGCCTACAGAAGTGGTACTCACTGTTGCTGCTGCTCAACGCGGCGGGTCGTGTTCACCTTCAATTTACAGAGTACTTAGTTGTTAGGCCGCACTGTTGTCTGCTTTCTGCATGGATGCTTCCGGTATTTGGTAACCTGAATTTGATCATAAGGGAAAAGGAAAACAAGAAGAGGACCCTTGTGATCAAATTCAGGTTACCAAATACCGGAACCATTCACTGCAGTAGAAGAAGTTGTAAGCGAAAATCTGTCAAGAGCAAGGTGATGGACCTATACGAGAGTCACAACTGATTTATTAATGTTCACGAGGGTGATTCTGACTGGTGGCTCCACGAAGTCCTTCTGTACTATTGTGAGAGTCTGATTCTGTTGTGAGAGTGAGAGCTTATAATTTGATGCTGCAATGAGTTGACAGTGAAAAATGTTCTGATGCTCCTTAGTGCGAGATCAACGAGTCATCTGTTTGAGAGATTTAATTATATGATCACAATCACTTCTGTTGCTGGTGCTAGTGTGAGTGTGCGACATCTTCTACTTAGTGAGAGAGAGAGAACCCCTCGACGTCGACGTTGTTTTGCATGATGAACGAAAGAGCCTAGTTCTGTATTACAACATATTTTGCGTTGACAATCATAGAAGTATCGTCATTATAATTCCTATTCCCTAAACAACAGTGACAGTCACTTCATGCAATTCTCCCTCCGAACACTACCCCACCCCTTCGGGATAGCAATTTTCATCTTCTATACATATTTCAAGTGAAAGAATCCACTTTTACCTTGACCTCCTCCTCTCTTTTGTCGTCGTCTCCCTTGAAGGTACATCCAGCTTAAATCACTACGACTACTTTGTTGATTTTTTTCACCTAAAAGAGTCAGACCTCCAACAAGAACATCAAGATGCCGATTGGCCAGTTCGACATCACGGAGTATTTCACCGACGGTGAACTTGCTCGATTCAAAGCGAAGTTCGACGAGTATGACCGAACGGGCGCCGGTTACATTGAGGATGTGGACTGCCCGGAACTTATCGGGATATGGTTCCCGAAGCACTTGTCAAAAACCGCCTTCAAAAAGGCGTTTCAGTCGGTGAACACGGAACGACCAGGCATGTTCGACTTTGAAGAATTCGTCGTGATCATGATCAAGGTAGTAACTTTTATTTCTTGGTGTTTGTTTTTACAACGTCGAAGAATTTGTCGAGTTGTTCTTACGTTTTTAGACTTGGATATTATAAATTATTGTTCTTCGCTATTGCTGCTGGTGTTGAAGTTGATCATGTAAAGTAGATCATAACGATATAATCTTACGACTCAATCTAATATTTCATTTCTACAAGTCATGTCTCCCTATCTCTTTCTTAGGATTGGGAGAAATATAGGCAAGAAATGAATTGATTTTAGCTCTAATAATCCCTGAACCTGCAGCACCTTAATTTTTTATGATGCCAAGACGATATAATCAAGGTAACCAACGCTCGTAAACGTAGCGATTGCATAGACTACGCGGACTACTTGAAGTAGATCATGTGAAGCAGATCATAACGATATAATCTTAAGGCTCAATATTTAATATTTGTATTCCATTTCTACAAGTCATTTGCATTTCTCCCTATTTCCTTCTTAGGATTGGGAGAAATATAGGCAAGAAATGATATCAGAAATGTTCTACCACCACTTTACATCAAGGTAACCAACGCTCGTAAACGTAGCGACTGCATAGACTACGCGGACTACTTGGAGTCCTACCAGCTGCGTGAGTTGAATAAGCTCTACGCGCAGTACGTCAACGATCATGGAACCATTTCTGCGAAAACATTTGAGACCTTGTTTGCCGATCTAGGCATGAAGGATTTGGACCAAGCCGCGCTCTATAAGCTCGTTGACGAAGTCGATAAAGACAAGAGCGGAGAAATCGAATTCGATGAGTACTTATTTCTACTTTGGAGGTTCCTCTCTATAGAATGCTTGCATGGGTGGAAGTCCTCGTGTACAAGCAATAACATGAACATAAGGAGCAGTCCTCCCTGTAAGTCGAGTAAAAAGACTTTATGTACGCTTTCATCAAAATCATTATCTTCGATGAGAAGTCCTCCCGCTCAGTTTTGCTGAATCTTCATCTTCTTTTGACTGTTGTAGCTCATGCTCGATCATATCTTCCTCCACCATGGCTGTTACATCACATCAACCTTACTGAAATAAACGTAACCCACTCAGATTCGCAAACCTTTGGTGCGTGCTCACAGGCGCGGTTAAGCGTATCAACTACCGAGAATTTCTGACGAACGACCAAATCCGCATGTACAAGCGGACCTTTGAGGTAGCGGACACCGATGGCAGTGGCTACATTGATATTCGAGAGCTGCTTCAATTGTTTAAGAAATTGGGCATGTCGCATACTCCAGAACAGGTGCAGGAAGAATTGAGGAAGGTGGACGTAGACAACAGTGGAGAGCTTAGCTTTGATGAATTTTGCGTGCTCATGGTCGGCATCGGCAGCGAGAAGAAGAAGCGAACCATCAACAGGGACACCTACACAATGAAGCAAGTCGAGGACGAGGAATTCACAGTACTACAACTGATACTATTTTCATAATTTTGGGATTATAGAAGCTTGTCGGGGCAATATGTGAGATTGAGAAGTTAGTGTTGATTAAGCAGTAGGTCTAAAGAAAGTTGTTGCAGAAGTATCCTCGCTAAGGAGTTGTACTAGATATCAATGAATATTATCTTGATCTTCAACTAGTTCATCAACCACGAATATTTTAAACATAAAGCATGAATGGGTGTGTGTGTGAAAATATTTTCTAAATTTGGCGTTGATCCTCGACTCTATCATTCATAACTGTAACCTTGTTCAGATCATGGACATCCGTCGTGCTGGGTTTCCTCTTTCGAAGTTGAGGGGTCGTTACGGTGCCCGTGCGCTGATGGACGAGGGTGGCTGGACTGTGATCGAGTTTCGTCTCGGCGGCTTCTCCGCACGTGAAATGCTGGACGCTGGCGCTTCGCCTTCCGACCTGAAAAAAGCCGGCTATTCGACCGCCGAGCTCCGTACTTGCGGAGTTCAAACCGCATTGCTGGAAAAAATGAACTTGAATCTGAATGAGCAACTGAAGACTCAGGAACCCGAAGCCGTCTTGAAAGTAAGCAATCTCGGAGAAATCGATACTAGTCTTCTCCCCGAACACAGCACTCCTCGCATTCACTTCCATACGAATTACCGGCCACCAATGAGCCAAGCAGCAAAAGACAAACTCAATGAAGAGGTGGAGCGAAAGTTTCAAGCGGAAAAGAAAAAAGGAGCCGTGGAAAAGAGGGTGGAAGCAGCGGACGAAGCATTCGGGGCGGCGCTGAAGGAGGCCGTCTAGATGAACCAAGAATTTCCTAGAAAGAGGTGCTGGACGACGAGGTACTGATGGTGCACCATCATAAGTGACTTGTTCTCCATAAGCATAAGTATTGTTGTACAAGAATATAATAATGAACACAATTAGTGACCTCAAATTCATACCAATGATCAAATGACCCTGTTGCCACGTCTGATAACATAACCCCGATAATTAAAGAGCAGAAGTTCCAACTACCTAAAGATGAAGCTGAGAAGACACATTCCCGGTTAATTACTTCGAAAAACACGCAGATAAGTAGAACATTGCATGAAGCATGAAGGACGCATTCAGGATTGTAGAATTTCTTAGACAAAAATCTTCAACATACTTGAACTTGATAGATAGATAAATAGCCAGATGATTCTTTTGATTGATTTGATAGATACGACTAATAAAAAGTGAAAAAGACGCGAGATAGACACGTAGAATGTATTTCAATAACATTGAGAATAATGAAAACTAATTTACTTTCTAAGATGAGTCACAGCCAACATGTTTTTGAAAGTGCTGGTGGAGGACGAGCACATCATGGCTTCATCTTTTAGCTTCTCAGTCCTCGTGAGTAGCACTAGTACTAGCATGTCGAGGCGGTAGGCATGATGATGTAAGAGGTGGATCATTCGAAAGTAATCTTACTCTTCAATGAGGAGGTTTACAACATATGTTGATGAGAAATGTGGTATCAGTGGTGGCGCCAGGAGGATGATCCTACGTCACAATCAAACGTGTTCGGACAGGTTTGGGGAAAGATGAAAGTGGAAGTGGATAAGAAATGCAAAAAATGGCTCCGCTTTAATACCAAAATGCCAGCACCTTCATCATTGCACAAGAGGAGCGAAAAGTTGTAACGATATAAATATGAATTCAAAGAGCTCGCTCATCTGTCGCAGGAGCTGTTGGCTCTAACAACTTGTAGAAGACACCGTTGTTGACTGCATTGTTTAATCATCAACCTATAGCAAGTACTCAAAGCGAAGCAGCAGCACCTCAGCAGGTGGGTCGCCAACGGAGAAGGCCAGGCGGCTTTGTCGTCGCTCTATTCGACGACAGAATAGTGGAAGGAAATAGAGCAACTCCAGTTCAGCCGTGAAGAGGTAGCTGCCATTACTCACGCCGTGAACGAAAGTACAGACTCAACTGAGGGCGGTGCGCAGAAACGACCACATTGCCGAAATTAGAAGTGGCAGCAGCAATTTCGGCAAGCAGAACGGGAAGGAGACGTTCGCTTATCCTCGTTCGCTTATCCTGAAAGGAGTGACCAGCAGGTGCGACCGGCGGCGGGGTTCAGTGCCGCGGTGTCAGATCATTAGGAGGCTACAAAACCTACAACGAGATTCCGGCACCTTCCGGAAGTAGAGGGACTACTAAACTTCTCGAAGTAGAGGGACTACTAAATCCAACTCCTGCTGCCCAAAAATCCAAAATTTTTATTCGACCCGAACTTACAACGGAAGTGGCGCGACTACCTACGAATCACCTGCTGCACAGCTCAGGCGCTTTGCGGCAGCTGTTGTTAACATCCGCGGCTGAGCCTTTTCTTGCTGTGGCTCCTTGAGAGGAGGAATCAACAACAGCAACTTCCACTTGTAGAAGTTACAAATCCCAAGAACGACTGCAACTCTTTGTGCTCGTCTTTGGCGAGGACGACAAACGAAGGACAAGAAAGATGGCGCATTCGTTGTCGCTCGCTGGGAGCGACAGAGGTTTGCACATTGTCTTCCTGGGTGATGCAGATATAGGACAGAGCGAGCTGCTGAAATATTTCCGATATGAAGAAAAAGGAACGAGTAGTCCGAGTCTTATGGCCTCTTATTATATAAGTAAGCAAAAACAGTGTGTCGTTAGAACAATCGTGAACACAATGGCAATGTTGAATGCTGGGTGAAAGTGGTGTGTTCATCTTGTTTCTAAGTTCTTGTGAAAACGTAGAGAACATCAGAGCTACAGAAGGAAGCTATGTATTTTTAGGCTATTTCTTCTTGCAAACGAGTTGTCTCTACTTCATCTTCTTCATCGGCGGTGCTCATTCTAGACGACGGTAACTTCTACGAGAGCATCCTTCTACACGAGAACTCTTCTGAGAAAGTTCTTGTGAAAACGTAGAGAACATCAGAGCTACAGAATGAAGCTAATCGTCATCTAATTCACAATCGTCGAGCCTCTTTCCAGAACATCAGAGCTACATATTGGACCAGGTGATAGAAGCAGAGCCTTTCCGCGTCCGTGTTACCGACTCAGCAGGCTTGAAGCTCTACGACAAGGTACGCCTTAGTACTTGCATAGAAGTAGAACCAAAGGTAGTACTTAAATTTAGACAAAAGGAGCGGTGCATTATAAGTAGATTCTTGAGGAACAGGCTGCTGTTCTCGTCGACACCTTTGGTTCTAAGACAAAGACGAGCCAAAAGTACTTATTTAAAAAAAAGGAGGAGTACTAGCAAAAATAGCTTCACCAACAATTTGACACTCAAGGCCTTTATTGGGTTGTAGATCTACTCTGTCATTCGCTACTAACACCAGGTTCGCAAGCCTATGCTGAGGACGGCGCATCTTGTAGTTCTATGCTTCTCGACCGCAAGAAGAGCAACACTGGAAAGCCTAGAAAGGGAGTGGATTCCTCTGATAAAAAGCATATCCTTCACAAAAAATCAAGAAGATGCATACTTTCTCAAGCCGTACATCATCCTCGGTCTCCAGACCGACATCCGTATACTTAGATACTACACTTTGACTTCTCTGCTGATCATGCGTAGTTGAAGTTGTATGTCTTGCTTGTATATTTTGGTATGGTTTAGTCTCCAAAATAGTAGATGGATGACTATGCGACTGCGAGACTCGTGCCATGCCATGTACGAAGATGCCAAGGTCAAATGAAGCACGCATGGAGTACGCTCGAGTACGGAAGAGATACATTTTCCCTTCTGTGTACAAGTGCTGGACATCTAGGACAACTCTAATTCAACCTTTATTTTAGCTTCGTCGTACTAAAACATCACCAGGTGCTTCATCAAGAGCATCGGTATCGACGGAAGAGGGGCAGGAATTTGCGAGAAGTGTGGACGCAATATCCTACCTGGAATGCGGTATGAGGGATGCGGCGGAAACACTAGAGGCCTTGCGCATGAAAATACTCACAACCGCAAAAGAGTAAATTTCTATTTCAATTTTCGCAGAATAGATATAGATTTAGAACTAGAAGATAAGACAATTCTTAGTTCAACTTCAATCAGTTCAGGATCAGCTTCAGCTACAAATTAATACGTACATCTACATTTCCAGACACGAAAACAACTTCCTTTCCACACGATCTACTAGAAGAAAACTTCTCCGGAACATCAGCATCAAAACCACAACAGATCATACCTTTTCCGATGGCAGCAGCGTAGAGTGAAGAGGTCGCTGCGGGCACAGAGCGATGTCGACAGAGATTAAGGGTAGGTTAAAGGTGCTTTTCTTACCGCTTTTTATGCCTCTCCTAAGGGAGAAAGGCATAACAAGCGGGGTAAGCGAGCACCAAAAACCTACCTCTAAAGAGAGGAGATTGCAGCTTCAGTAGACCGCTATATGGATGAGGCGTTGACCGTAGAGGAAGACGTCGAGCCACTCAGTCGAGAAGTGATAAAACAAAACCTTTCCTGCCTGGGCGTCACGCCCTATATGGCACACGCGTACTGTTTTTGTTTGGAGTTGGACCAATCTACTATGTTATTTAGAGAGAGAGAAAGTTGTCCAGTCGTTGTCCCTGATATAATTTATGTTATTTAATATTCTAGAAGAGGTGGAACTTACTACTACTTCTGCTTGTAGTTGTTGACCTAGAACAACAAATTAATAAATACCATGGATGTAAAAAGCTATGAGATGAAAAAGTGGTCTTGTAAGAAAGTGCTTCTCATATGATAGATGATTATAGAGTGGACGAAGGGCCCTACAAACACTAGTACTACCTCTACTACCACTAGAGGCACGACCGTCTGTAGTGCTACAACTCCTCTACTACCACTAGAGGCACGACCTTCTTTAGTGCTACTACAACAAAAGTAAAAAAGCAGCATAAAATGCCGATAGGTACTTGCAGCTTGATGTTCCGGACTTAGGCCTGACAAGTTGCGACGCCCTAAGAGGCTATCCGAACTTGCAGTATCTAGACCTCTCGAACAACCATCTGCGCTCCCTAGAACCATTGGGTACTTTTCACTATTTTGGACCTTTTGTGTTGAAGTATGTGTTTTCACGCCAAGGCTTATTTGATGTCTTTCTAGTAATAAACCCAATAGAAGCAGAGACTACGAGGAGTTGTACATACAAGTACAACATTAACTCATTCCTGTTCCGCCCGATGAAACAGCATCATTCTTGATAAGTGCCCTTTACTAAGTACATTCCTCCACCAGCACCTTCTTCATGTAGTTCACACTTCCTAGTACCCAACATCACGACCAGGTGAATTGCCATTCCTCTTGCGATTGAATGCATCTCGGAATCAAATCGTGCGCACGCAGTCCTTTGGCCCACCTAGGCACTTGGAGACGCTCGATTTGTCCTACAACATGATAGGCGAGATAGGGGATTTTAGGTGTCACCGACATCTGCGGGAACTGAGCCTTCGTGGAAATTTCATATCGGAAATCGACTTTATGAGAACAAAAGCAAATGGATGAAATGAAAACAGTTACTAGTACCACAAGCAGAACCAGATGCTGTTGATCATGAACGAACAACAGGTGGTACGCAGTTTGCTTTACATCAGCACTAGGACTTAGACTAGGTGGAAGTTTGTGGCATTGCACTTTTAACGTATGTTGTCTGTACGACGTGCATTCATAGGAAGCCTCCTCATCCTTCATACCAGCCGCATGCTTCCAGAAAAATCGACGGTTGAAGATGCTGGATCTCAGTGAAAATCACATCAGCGCAATCGAAAATCTTGAAAATTGTCCGCTAGAAGCACTGTACATCGCACAGAATCAGCTGAAGACCTTAAGCGGAATCGAAGCTCTTACGCAGTTGTCGGTAAGAACACGATGATGATATTCTAACTTTTTGTGCAAGCTGCTGTAATAATTATCACGGTTATATTCTAACTTTTTGTGCAAGCATGCAAAAAAAAAGAAGACAATTAGAAGAACAAGGAGACCAACAAGTAAGTAATTAAAAGTTGTTCCCCAGATGTAAGAGATAGATCAACAAGATAGACCAACGATCTTAAAAAAGAACAAGATCCACAACTGCTGCAGGTCTTGAATGTGCGCGGCAATTTCATTTCCTCCTTGGCGCCATTAGAAGGGCTTGCTTTGCGGAAAGTCTGCGTGACCGAGAATAAGATAAAAGCAACAGAAGAGCTGAGTCGACTGCCGACGACAATAGCAGACCTCTACGTTACACCGAATCCAGTCTCAGAATTGCCGTTTTTCCGTCTCCAAATTCTACGACTCCTCCCGCACTTGAGGACACTAGACGACGTACCGGCAACACCACAAGAAAAGGCACTAGCGAGCTTTTATTTTATACTTCATGACTTCAATTCTCAACGTCAACATTTTTTTCGCTTCCAACGATGCTAGTGCTACACCGCGAATCGACGTCGTATTCTTGGTGAAATCTAAATCATACTCACCCTCTCGTAATGCGAATGAAAAGACATAACCTCACAATCACAAACCCGTTCGTTTCCTTCGTCATCAAACAAGGAAGTTCGCAATAAGGTAAAAGGGAACGTGTCCTGACGTCAATCATCATCCTCACTACAACAAGGTAAAAGCAAACGTAGCCTTTGGAGACGATTTGGGCAGACAAGAGGAGCTCTTCGAAGCAATATTGCCTAGAGAGCAATTCCTGGATCGTAGGCTGATCACAGAAGAATTGTTGCAGGCACGTGAACTGGAAATTTTCGGCTTCGTTGGCCGTACCGCACCAGAAGACGACGATGGGTCCGTCACTGCAGTAGAGTGAAAACTCTAGTAACTACTGCCTTTGTTTAAATTTACTGATTTTAGTTGTTCATCTTTTATCTACGTCTACCTGGTATCATTTGGCTGATGGATGCTGTTACAACTCACTCAGGGCCGCCATGTTTGGTGGAGGTGGAGGGGAGCGCTCGTCAAACCTTAACGCAAGTGTTACAGATTTGATCAAGAAATAAGTGCAAGTGGATTCATCCACATACAACTCGTTAACTCTTAAGCAAACCAATCAAAATCAAATAAGATGAAATGTTAATGTACATTTCTCGATTTTCAAACGTGGAAAAACGTGTGCTACGAAACAGTGATGAAGTAAGTGAAGGTTACATAGACTGGTATCAAATAGTGATTATTATAATAGTAAAAATCAAAGTTTTCTGGGTGTTGAATGGTTAATACGCTCACGCTGCTGGAAATATTATAGAGAAAAATTCTACGAATGGATACCAACTCAAGAACGCGTAAATATAGAGAATAAATGCAGCTGTCAAGAATGGCATGGCACACACAACTAAAGGTTATGAACATGCATGATGAAAGCCTGTGGTCTCATGATCAAATTTCTTGTACTTGTACATGGTTTTGTTGCTCATCATCATTTATTGTACAGATTCCCTCAAAGTTACCATTCGTGAAATCTATATCTTATAAAATGAATAGCCAATGCCAATGCGAGTCAAGCAAACGTCTTAGCATGAAGGGGCTTAATGTTGTACCTTGACTAGTACATACTGACTTTGTCTTGAAATTAATGAGGCGTATCCCGCCACTCATACCAAAAATAACTAAGGGCGTGGTTGAATGATATACCCTAGAAGCTACCGCTACTTCTCGTCTCAATGCGCCGTAACCCGCCGTGGTCCTTGCAGCTTGTTTATAGACTCACGATTTTTATCCACCAACTTTATTGTCGGTCGCGCTCATCCTACTCATGATATTGTACTAGTCCCTCAGTAGATCTTCATCGTGTCGTGCGTCTGCAGACTCCTCGTGTCCTCCTGAATCTTCTCACCCCAGTACCTCATCGTGCTCAAGAACATCCACATCCATTAGATGATATCACTGAAATTCTATCCTACTGAAATTCTATGCAGTACTTCTTGTTCTCCCACGCCGCGGTCGTGGTCTAAGTTTAAAGTTGTCAACAGCCTTTTTCGGCGTTTTCATAGTCCTCGTGAACGCTCACCTCCCAGAGGCGATCCTATCCTAAATCCTAATAAAGTAAAGCGTGTTCCCTCCTAGCGGCGATCCTGGTGCACGACATCAAATTCAAGAAATTCGAAAGACACGCAACTTCTCGGAATTCAGAGCTCTTCGATGATGCCCAGTTCCAAAATCTAGGTCCTCCGCGACGTTTAAGTATATGATGGAATCAACTAATCTGAAAACCGAATCAAATCGTCAACATCTGTACAACTGGTTGTAAAAGGTCGTGAGGAAGCCTTCTCATCTTGTCTGCATTGATCCATGTGGATCTTCATATTGTGCATGGGTGAGAAATACTCCTAATTTCATTCATGATCTTTCAGGCTTCTAAGAAGTTGTATGGCGAACGAGTACAAAAAGTGGCATTCTTTCACTTTCACAAACAACGTCGAATAAAGATTCAAATTCAAATTTATTGCTCTTCTTCTTCCATCAAACACAAATTACTGTTGCTTGTTGCTTTATGCGATATTGTTAACAGGTCGTGGGAGGTTGTTCTGAATTTGTCCGAAAAGTTGCTGTGCGACCTTGTGCATGATCCATCTTTTTGATCTATCTTGGTTTTCTTTGTCCTAGCAGTTCCTTGTAGTGTTTTTTGGTCTGATTTTGAAACTGCAGTATCTATAGCAAAGTTGTATTTTTCAATCATGTCACCGAAGACACAACGGGACACCTTCATCAGAGGACACTGATCACGTTACATCATCTTTTAGGACTAGTACTTATACCACGTAGAAAAAAATGGGTAAAAAGGATCGAGAAAAAGACGCTCCTAAGAAGCGGAGGAAGGAGAACCATGACGATGCCGAGTCAGACAAGAACATGAAGTTGAAGGAGGAACAAAGAGGCAGAAAAGCTGCAAAAGATACCAAGAAGAAGAAGCGAAAGCACAGCGAGACGTCCTCATCGAGTTCCTCACCGTCCTCATCATCGTCCGACAGCAGTTCTTCATCCTCGTCGTCTTCGCGTGGTAGGAGTGATGGCAGCTCCTCCGCTTCGAAGAGAAAATCTGCGAAGCGGAAACAAAAGGGCCAGGACCACAAGAAAAAGAAGAGCAAAGTCCGAAAAACCGAGAACAAGTCCAATTCTTCTGGTGAAGACCACGAGGATAGGCATGCAAGACATCAAAGGGCGGATGATGGAGATGGGCCACATGGTGCAGCAGCAGGTCCTACGGCAAATGGTGCAAACGGAAAAGTTGCCCAGGAGAAGGACGATGAGGGCAGAACAGCAGATCAAGATGGTGGATCCGGATCGCCCTCCGTGGGCAAGGATGAAGCTGGCAAGAACGAGCGGAGAAGCGCTGAAAAGGGAAATGAGGATAAGGATGGCGATGAGGATGGCGAGATGAACGGAAGTCGGGCGCCTCGAACAAAACCGATGCTTGCCGAAGGGCACCAGCAAGGTCGCACGTATGAGCAGATATTGGAAAAGGAACAGCTTGACGAGTATAAGAAGAATAAGGTGAAGAAACTCACCTCCGACGATCTGACACGTACAGGCGGCACCTATATTCCGCCATTTATGCGTGCACGCCTCGAAAAACCGATCGACGACAGATTCTCACACGAAGCTCAAAAACGAAGCTGGGAAGCGCTCAAGAAAAGTATCACGTTTTTTCATCGATGATGTTGTCCCTACTTGATGTACTAGAACCCTGCTCAGTTGTACTAGTATTTAGTGATCATCGTGTGTCGTGCCATGTCATAACAAAAACTATAATTTCCCACTATTGCTATCACCTCCCTCAACTTATCTTCTCCTTCACCAAAACAATTCTCGTCCAAGAAATCTACACAACTCAACAGGTATAAATGGTCTGGTGAATAAAGTAAACGTAGCGAATATCCGAAACATCGCTTTGGCCTTATTCGAGGAGAATCTGGAGAGAGGTCAGGGTCTCTTCGCGCGAGCCGTGATTCGTGCACAAATGGCAAGCCCTGGGTACCGAAATTTCAAAAAAATTATTTAGACTAAGTCCTAAGAAAGAAGATGCTTGTTGAATTATCCATCTTCAAAACGTCCACATCTTCACTATCCTTGAACATATGATTGATCAACAGGTTCACACACATCTACACCGCTTTGCTAGCAGTGATAAACTCGAAGATGCCTGAAGTTGGGCGTTTGACCATCACTAGGGTGATTTTGCAGTTTCGCCGCGCATACAAAAGGAACGACAAAATCGTACTCAGCGCAGTGGTAAAATTCATTGCGCATATGGTGAACCAATTTGTGGTATCGCAGACTGTGGCTTTGGAGGTATAATCTCAGAATTTTATTTCTGGTTCATGATGTTGATCCCATCTTTTTATCTAAGGTGCTGTCGTTGTTCAATGTTCATGTGCTTCAAAATAATTCATTGCTTAGAAGACTCCGATCTGAAGCTTCCATATCCCGAGAGGACTTGTAGCATCATATTATCACAAAGAAATTTATCCACCTCGTCGACTTCGACCTTTATTTCCACCTAAAAACTCATATTATTCAAACCAAACTGCAACTTTTCGACGCCCCTAAAACTACAACAGATCTGCCTAATGTTTTTCGAGGATTTAACGAACGACAGTGTGGAAATGTGCTGTGGTCTGCTGCAGGATGTAGGCGCATTCTTGCTCGAGGAAGATCCTAAAGCTCTGAACTTCATTATGGAGAAATTGCGGAAGATTCTGCAGGAAGGCCGAATTGAGGTTCGCGTCCAGTACATTGTCGAACGCTTGCTGAAAGTGCGTAAGGACGCCTTCAAGGAGTTCCCACCTATGGTCAAGGAGTTGGATTTAGTCGAGGACATGGAACGAATTCGCCACGAGGGTTTTCAAATGGACGACAACACCTTGCGTGCGCAGGAAATGTTGAATATTTTCCAAAAGAAGGACCCAGAGGAATTCGAGAAGAACGAGGAAAGATGGAAGCAGATCAGTGAGGAAATCCTAGGTGCGCCGTCTGGTTCCTCGTCGGGCTCCGGCGGCGACTCCTCCTCTGATGACAGCGAGGCGGAAAAAAGCGACGCTCCGGCTGAGCAGGCAGTTCCGGACGTAGCGCAGACAAGAGATTTATCCGAACAAGATCTGGTCAACTTGCGTCGAAACATCTACTTGACTGTGCAGAACGCACTCACGTACGAAGAGTGCGTCCACAAAATCATGCGGATGAAGAACGTCGACGGAGCGGAATACAATGTCGCGCAGATGTTATTGGACGCAGCCGCGATGGAGAAGTCGTTTTCGGAATTCCACGCCAAGACCGCTGCGAGACTCTGCGTTCTCAAAGAACCCTACAAGCAAGGCTACGAAAGACTCTTCGAGGAGCAGTTCGATACGGTATAATTATTCTTTTATATTAGATTATACGGTATAATACTTCTTCTAAAGATTTTTATACGAACAATTTTTGACAAGAAGAGCCTGATGAAACTGGATGCGACAAACAAGTTTTTGGATAAACATGGCGTAGTAATTACGTTGTTTTTGCTCACGAACTCTTTCATGCTGAATTTTTGACAAGAGCCTGAAGCTGGATGCGACAAACAAGTTTTTGGATAATCATGGCATAGTAATTACGTTGTTTTTGCTCACGAACTGTCTCATGCTGAATTTTTGACAAGAGCCTGAAACTGGATGCGACAAACAAGTTTTTGGATAATCATGGCATAGTAATTACTTACGTTGTTTTTGCTCACGAACTATCTCATCCTGAATCTGCTACTTCCAAAACAACGCTCAGATACACAACCTGGAAACACCGAAAGTCCGACATATCGCGAAGTTTTTTGCTTTGCTGACCTATCAAAATGCTATCTCTTGGGGCGTGATGACGTATAAACTTAAGAAGTTTTTGATGTTTGATGTCCCGGTGATGGTGCTTCTTACCATTTTCTGCCTCTTCTACTACCTATAATGATAATTGAAGAAAGTGTAGGATTTGTGGCGCGCCGAGTATACACCTAGAGTAGAAGTACTTGTTCTCACTCTCAAGACATCCACCATCAAGAAACTACAACACATTTTCATCCTCTTCAGGTACATTGTCCTTACACCCGAGACGACGAATAGTACGATTCGTATTTTCGTGAAGTACTACTTCCTCGAAATCGTGAATAACCTTGGCGCGCAGAAGGTGTACAGGAAGTTGCACGACCCCGAGATGTCCTTGTGCGTCGGCGGCTTGTTTCCGAAGGACAGCATGAACAATGCTAGGTTCGCGATCAACTACTTCACTGCAATAGGTCTGGGCGTCTTAGTCGAGCCCTTGCGTGAGCAACTCGCGAAGATGCAGGCGCAGGAGAACGAAGACGTGCTGATGCAGCAGTTGGATGCCGACGCAGTGGATAGCGACGCCAAATCCGCCAGTAGTTCTTCAAGTTCCTCAAGCTCCAGCTCATCCAGTAGTGGCTCTAGTTCATCCTCGTCGTCGAGTAGTTCTTCATCGTCAAGTAGCAGCTCCTCTTCTTCAAGCGACTCAGGTAGCAGCTCATCGTCATCAAGTGCGGAAGGTGATTCAGAGGAGGACGGGAAAAAGAGAAAAAAGCAGAACAAGGCTGGAGGAAAAACGAAAAAGAACGACATGAAGACAAGCGGAAAAAACGCGAAGAAGAACAAGAAGAATGCGTCTCTTAGTTCAGACGAGGACGCGGCCGAAAATCCTGCGAGTAGTAAAAAGGTGGGTGAAAAGTCGTCGAAAAAGAAGAATGCTCCTCGTGTCGGCGAGAAGAAAAAGGGCAAAGCTAAAGGCAAGGATCAGGAAGAAGAAGACGACGTTGAGATAGAGGATATTACCAGCAAAAGGAAAGGCAAGAAGAACAAAACAGGTGCGTCGAAAAGCAAGGGTCGTGATGACGACGACGGGGACGGCGGAGCAAATAGTGCGAAAGAGCAGGCTGCTAAAAAGAAGGGCGGTAAAAATAAGCCCAGCAAGGACAAGAAGCGAGAGAGGAAGGAATCATCCCCGGAGCCTGCGCGACCACTATCAAAAACGGGCAAAAAGAAGAACGACATGAAGCGAGGACGGAAAGGCGAAGATAGTAGTGGCGACGAAGACAGTGTGGCGTCGGATGCGGGTGAAAAGGACAAAAAAGACAAGGCCAAGAAGAAGCCCAAAGTACATCGCGAATGGGAGGAGGATAAAGTCTCATCGGGACAAGACAATGCAGAAGCTTCTACTTCCAAGAACAAGAAAAACAAGCATGATGGACGAGAACCTTCTAAGCAGAAGGAAAAGGCAGCAAACAAGAAAGGACTAGAGCTACGACCACGTGATGCTTCAAGAGATGAATCCCCACCAGATACTAGAAATAGTAGGAATGACCACAAATCCGATGCGAAAGCTAATGGTCATCATGCGGCTGAGCAAGACCATGAGCTGCATGACCGACGGAAACCTGCCCTCGATCTACGTGAAAATGATCGTCCTAGAGATCGTAGAGACGCTGATCGAGGAGCGGCTCGTAACGACAGTCGAAAACGTGACTACAAGAACGATTATAGAGCAGGTAGGACTACTACAAGAACAGTAGAAGATGATCGTGGAGGTGGGCGTAACTACAACAGCGATAGACGAGCCGATAGTCGCGATAATTACGGCGATGAGCGCAGTAGACGGAATCGCGAGGATGACCGTAGACGAGGAGCTCTGAGAAAGGATAGTAGACGCGGTCGAGACGATCGCCGAGGAGGAGGTCGAGGTGGAAGGAGTAGCAGAGACAGACGCGGTGAGGATCGCGGCGGACGAGGACGGGTCGAAATGCATCCACCTATAGATAGTGACGCAGAGTTTGATAGCGACTAACAAGTAATTTCAAACTTAATGTGTTTTATCTATTCGAGGACACTACACACATAATAAATGAACTCCCCATCTCATTGTTATAACATCACACATCACAGCAAACCTTCCCGAACCCAAGCCCAACTACGAATTACCCATCCACACGAGTCACAAAAACATTGCCGATACTGGTCTCACCATGACCTACAATTTCTTGATGTGATTATATATAGTCTTATTCTTAATCTTATGTTTTGAGTTTTCACGAACGCCTATGCTGTCTCGTGATACGACAGACAATGATCAATAGCTTGCTGGTAAAGATGCTGACCTTGATAAGACGCCAGATCGTCAGTCCAGAATTTTGATTGTTCTGATAGGAAAGGGCCTGAAAATCTTTCTGACACAGAGTGATTGAATCGGTCAGCTGCACGGAGTTGTAGTACTTGTACGCAAAAACTACAAGCTCATCTTGTGGTCGACGTGGTTCTACAACAATTGTGTCAGAAGTATCTGCATCTGGAACTGGATGCATCTTCTGGATCTGACTTCTCGAGAGCGAAATGTCCTGCCTGATGTCTACTACTGTACGAACTTGAAGCTACAAGATGGCTACTCCTGTACGGACACCTGGCATGAGCACATCATTGGCCATGAGAACGACTCGAGGGACGACGATCCCAGCTTCTAGCCCTGCAGGACCTAGTGTCGTGGCCTCTACTAACAGGTGCAGGCTTCACGGAAAAAATATTTTTCCAAGTGGAAATACCAGAGATTGTATGGTTCTGGTATTTGGTAACCTGATCCTAAGGGTTCTCTTCTTGTTTTCCCTTATGATCGAATTCAGGTTAGTACCAAATACCGGAACCATTCAGAGATACCAGTGGCGCCGGGGTTGGGACGACCCCCCAGATCATCCAGACTCCAGCATCTTCACGGAGATATAAGAGTAGTGGGACCCCCCAGATCATCCAGACTCCAGCATCTTCACGGAGATATAAAAGTAGTGGGACCCCCCAGATCATCCAGACTCCAGCATCTTCACGGAGATATAAAAGTAGTGGGACCCCCCAGATCATCCAGACTCCAGCATCTTCACGGAGATATAAAAGTAGTGGGACCCCCCAGATCATCCAGACTCCAGCATCTTCACGGAGATATAAGAGTAAAACAACAACAACGACAATGAAGCGTTCTGATCGCAAGGAGCTGAAGGCAGCGCGCTTGCCTGCATCACAGCTACGCACACATCTAGCCAAAATGCAGAGGCGTGGGGAGGACATCGCTGCTCTTGTGCTGGCTATGCCAACGCCGTCGTGCAGTTCGACATCTTCTAGTGGTGTAGCGACGCCGACACTCGCGGCAGGTGCGGCTGCCCCGTCGGGGGAGAACCTTCGCCTACCTGCTTCGAAGAGCAGGGGGACCGGTCGTGCGGGTTCCGCATACACATTGCCCGGAAGAAACCAAATTGGAGCAAAAGCCTCGTCTGGAAAATTATCTAAATACGTTGCGCTTGCTAAAGCTAAGGTACCAACTGCAAGCGCTTCTTCGTCTTCCCCGAATGGTGCTTCTCACGTAGTGGACACCGTCACTGAGCCTTGGATGAGGGAAGAGAACTCCATTCTGCTCTCCACAGGTATCGTGGAGCAGGAGAGCCGGTTGAAACAACCAGATGTGGTAGGCCGCGATGATGAGGCTATAGACTCGGTAAAGGATGGATGTGGGACCAGTGGGAGCAAGGATTCGGTGGAATCAATTCTAGGCGTTGTTGACTTAGCGGCTGGTGACAATTCTTCTTCTGCATTGAATACAAAGCCGCAGGAAGATGAGAACGACGCTTCATCTGTAGAAGTCCATCAAGAAGTTGTTCAAGGTGACTGCAGCGACAAGAATTCATCCGTGGAGTTCCTAAACAATCGGCTGCTCCCCCGTGCAGAGGAGAATCGGCTCATCAGTGCTGTGTTTCCTTCTGAAGAACCACGCATTGCCGAGAAACGCAAGAAGGCCCATCGCCTGCTCTGGCGCTGTATTTCGCGTCGAAAGTATAGGCAAGTCCAGTGGTGTTTCGAGCAACTCTCTGTGCGACAGATTGGATTCGACGAAATCACCTACAACTGCGCTATCTACGCTTCTCTACTCGCTACTGGAAAGGTGCCCCGACGCAGAGCCTGCAATCCTCAATCACCTGGCATGCTAGTTGGGTCTACTATTAAGGGCAGGCTAAAGGCGTTCACGATACCGTTTGTTTTGTCTCCTCTTAAGGGAGAGAGGCATAACAACCGGGGTAAGCGAACACCAAAAGCCTACCGCTAATACTAGTATGATTGACGAGAAAGCAACCTCCCGACGTCCATGGGAACAATCTGATGAAGATGAGGAGGAAGAGGAGCAAATAGGACAAGAAATTCAGCAACTAGATGAAGATCCATACTTTGCATCTACTGCGGCGAATGCCGTCATTCTAGAGCAGAAGCGCATCGGTTTGCGAAATGCGCGTTCATTTTTGGAAACCATGCGCGCAGAGCAGACCTATCATCCGGTCCTTCTGAGGCTGCACGACAATTTCCTGAGCCTCTACTTATGGTAGTTACTTATAATAAATCTTACTCCTTGTTGTGGTTAGGGTAACTGAATCTACTAAGTGTCGTTTTAACTTTGTCTTTGACTACTTCTACGATTTAAGTGGTAGCAATGCGTCTAAGCTCGTTCTGCAGAAGCTCATGATCTAATACCCACTGTTCTTGTAACAAGAACCAGTAAGAATTATAAAATATAGATCATATTAGCAAGGATAGTAAAGTTGAAAAACCTACAATCTATTTCATACTCCATTATATAGGTCATATTCTCAGGAGTGGACCACTAGCACTAGTACAACTAGCTATTTCTTTCTTTCTTCCTCGCGTCCACAATTATTATCTAAGCCCTGAAGAACTGATGGAAATGGATGCGACGCCGAGTGAGGAGAATGTCCGCCGAGTTCTTAAGAGCTTCTGGCAAACTTCCTTGGCTTTCAAGAAGCGCCGCATGCGCACACTCAAAGTCCAGTTGCGGGATCGTGTGCGCGCACTGGCTGAAGAGGGTGTACGAAATGATAATCTCTCACACCTGGTAGAAAGAGCAGGAGAAAGCGCTGAAATGATAACTGGTAAGGAGCTGCTAAGTGGCGACTACAAGGATGATCAGCATTCCGAAGAACCTCACAGTGCAACTGGTGAAAAGAGTTCTCCTAGTGTTAAACTCGGGCACGGTGGCAGATTTGTGAAAACACCAGGAGGAAAGTTGGACTATATCATTGAAGGTCCGGCTGGAGGTTTGTCAGGAGCCTTAACTACAGGCAACATGAACATTTGAAATAATCATGTACACGTTCTTGCTGTGCTACTCGGGGAGTTTCCCTGTATTTCGCGTTCTACTCTGGCGTTTTATGATGAAGCCACGAGCTGAAGTTGTTGTTCTTTTGTCGTGCGACGCATTCCTTGTCCTAGTTTCTCTTCAACCGCCAAGCGTCGATCAGTGTCATGAATTCTGGTGAAACATAGGCGACGCCGATATTATGATCTTCGTCGACGATTTTTTGATTTTTGCCATAGAGTGCTGCACCATGCGTCGAGGACCCTTCTAGAAGTCACAACAAAGAATACTCATGCATGAGACCTCCACCTGCGGCCGCGCAGCATGATCAATTTTTCTATCCATAAATGATCTATCATCTTCAAAATTCAGGTTGTTCCCTTCTGGTTGAGTTCAGGTTTCGGCGAGGGACAGATTACAAGTCCTGGCTTCTTCAATTCTGGGTACGAGATCTGTCTTAGGATCTTTCGAGTGGCGCTAGCTGAACATCTGCCAGGTTCGTCTGCTGTGATGCTGTACTCTCCTCGTGCCAAGTTCGCCTTCCTCCCGCGTGAAAGAGTGCTTGACTTCTTGCACCCGTTGAATTTATCTGTTCTGGCCGATATTGTCTCCGATTTTGAGTTTGCGGACGACACAGTGACTGCGTCAGTGTTGCTACATGCTGTCTCGAACTTCCTCTGCTGGGAGGCGACCGTCGGCAGAGAGATGGGCGTCAGGCCTAACAAGGAAAAGACTGAGTTTTTAGCATTGTTTAGTCCACGCCTGACCGCATGGGTCCGCTACCTAGGGAATTGGCTTGATCTTGAGGAGGATGGGCGCCGCAGAGTCGGGAGAATGCTTAGTGCACTCACTGAAGTCGACAGAGTATCTGGTGCGGCCGAGACGTCCACTGACTTTGCGGTGACGCTAACCTCTAGGGTCAGGTCAAGGGGCTCATTCGCAATTGGTGGTAGAACTTCGTCTGCTCTACAGATCAGGCAGCGCCAAACAGTCATGAACACAGCCGTCTGCCGTCTTTCAGGAATGCCTCGGTATGCACTTCGGCGTTACCATTGTCCAATATCACGGCTGATGCGACTCCGGCGCGTTCCGTCTGAGGCAGATTTTACTCGTTATTCTCAGTGTTCTTTCATAGGTCATCTCATTCGCACCGATACGCGTAGGTTGTCCCGTAGGGCTCTATTTGGCTTCTGTGTGGCTGGCAGGCCGGAGCTGGACTGGAGGCTCCTGCCGTCCAACGAAAGGAGGCGACCTGGTCAAGTAGGCCCGAGGATATGGCAGGAGGTCAAGGACAGTCTATCTCTAGTGATGGGCGCGCGCGATACATCTCAGATCATAGCAGTCGCCTTGAGCAGACGCCACTGGAACACTGTACTATATGAGCTTCGAATCAAGTTGACAATGGACCACTACGCCACTGACAAGGGGGCTTCTCCTGAGTCGTTGGCCACGGCGAGGCTGTACTGGGTTGAGCAGTACACTAAAAGGGGAGACGCGTTGCCCGAGCTTGATCCTCAGTGCAGAAGTGGCCTCTCTTGGTTCAACGAAGATGGCAGCTTCGCTGACCCGGGACTAGACGCCATCTGGAGACAGAAGGTTTTGACCAACTATGAGCCGCAAATGAGGTGCCGCTTCTGCTCGTTTTCGGTTCCCGGGTGGGATGAGCGATTTGCGCTGCAATTGGTTCAGTCTGAGGGGAGGATAGCGCTCCGACCGTCTGATGCAGCTGCTGCTGCGGACGCGTCTGCCAAACTGTTAGTTGAGCACGAGGAGTCGTGTCCACGGCGCGAAGTAGCTCTTTTATATGACGAGTCCAAGTTTAGGCCTCCTCCATCCTTCCGCTCTGGTGACATCTGTGAAGTTGTAAGTAGTCTCCACGCAAGCTCGACGAAGGAGGACAAAGATCTGCACTCAGTTCTTCGCTTGTTTACTGCTAATGAAATCAGGTCTGTCTTCACCCCAGCACAGGCACTGCGGAGAGAAAGCGACGAACAGTGGGCGTCTCATGTTGGGGAGGAGCCGCTGAAGTGGGAGAAGGAAGTGGCGGAGTTCCCGGACTTCCGATGTGGCAGCTCCAGTTCAGTATGTGGGTCTTCTTCTAGTAGCTCGAGTAGTAGAGCAGCCATTTCTGCTCCGTCGTTACTTCAGGGTGGACGCATTGAGTGCTTCTGCGCAGAGTGTAGGGCTTGGGTTGTGAAGCAGCAGGCCAGGAGGCGCGCCAAGGGCCGCAGGTTGCGTGGTGGTGGTCTCTCGACGTCGTCCTCTTCTATTCAGTTCACAACTACCTCCTCCTCGTCAGATGAACATAACGGAGTGGTGCCCGCGTGTGGTGGTGATCGCCTGGTGTCCTCGAGATTGGTGGAAGACCTTGAGGATGACCTCCTAGCTGAGTCGCAGCCCTTGAGAACGCCTACTGTTGTTGTCTCTGAGAAGCAGTTTCAATTCGGAGATGGTCGCGGCAGGCGTTTTGAAAGTTTTTTAGCTGCTTTCAGGCACATGAGAAGTCTTAAGTCAGACCGAGCTGCTGCTACTTTTTTACAAGCCATAACAGTGCCGCCCGCCAAGAAGTCCGGTGAGAAAGTCTCGAGAGTCAAGCCCAGAAGGAAGCTCGCCATTGACGCTGGAACTAGAAAGCAGAAAGCCCTTGCGCCGAGCTCTGCAGCAGACGGGGCTTTAGGTAGCGGGTCCAGTCTTAGCCGCCTGCCTCCGGGTATCCAGTGGCACACGTCTTGGAGCGGTGCTGCTAAGAGCGTTTTTGGTGGGTGATTTCGAGTATACGCGAAAGTGACGAAAGAAGGCGAGTCGCGCACCATTTTCGAGAACGTAACTGTAGAGGGAAATGGAAATGATCCGCGTCTAGCTTTACTCGAGGCTCGAGCGGTACTAGAGCGCATGAAGACCGACCCAGCGCCGTTTTTAGCGTCTCGCGCTGCGTGGAGAGAGAAGCGACGCATTAACGCCGAGAAGAAGAAGAGAAAAGAAGCTGCTCGCTCCAAGTAGAAGCTGCTAGAGTGTAGCAGCTGAGTGAGTACAGCAAAGAGTCGAGCTCAGTGGTTGACTTGTATTCTAGATAAGGGCTGTGAGTAACGAAAAAAAGCGTTTTTGGAAGTGAGAAAGTTAGTGTTGTACTCTGTGAGAAAAGCAAGACTAGTGTTGTCTTTACGGAAGTTCGTCAATAAAAAATAAAAGAGCTTTAGCTTTCTTATTTTTCAACTTTTCTAGTCTTTATTTGATAGTAGTCTCTACTAAGTTAGTCGCCCCGCGACTGCTTTGGTCTTACTCGTTAACTCAAGTACTCAAATACTCACTTGTCCTAAGCATAAGCAATAGCGGCCCCGTAGTTGTACTTTCTGTTCTGTATTTACTTTACTGACTTGTCCTGAAATCTTAGTGGTGATAAAGAACTGTCTTCCTTGTTCCTAGTAGTGATTGCTGTCTCTTCTTCCTTAAGGTTGAACTAAAGTGATATTGAGTAATTACTTCCTTTTAGTTGTCTTCTTAGAGTGTTTACTTCTACTTCCTGAGCTTCCGCCCTACGGGGTGTCTGTTTGAAACATTAGCTTTCTTTCTAAGTTAGTCTTAGTTCCTCAGTTATCTGCTTGCTGTGGTGAGTCCTTCATGCTGTCTCCAGCTTTTTTGTTGATTGCGAAACGTACTGCGCCCCTATAGGTGGCCAGAAACAATTTCTGAAATCTCCAAATCCAAATCCAAGGATGAAGATGAATTGCACAGAGCTTTTTAGCGTTAGCTTGGACGTCATTCGTTTTTTGCAAAGTAGTGCATTTTTGATTGAAAAGTTTTTTTACGTAAATCGTTCCTTCTGCTCTCCGCTAAAAAGCTTTTTTGTGCAATCAACGTGTAATAAAAAAGTCTCAGCATGGTCTTAAGTTAATAAATTCTGGGAGATAACAATTCATTTGTGTCTACATTGTTATCTCTTTTTTGTCTTGTTTGGTACCAATCTAGTGTCTCTGTGGAGGGTCGTGTGGGCTATTCTACATGTTGACTGACAGAAGCACCACCAAAGCCAAAGAAGAACAGTGGTAGTGGCGGCAGATGCCTTCTATATTTTGTACTGCAGCTGCTAGCGTCTTGGCCTCTGGCCTCGCTTTCTTCTATCAGAAGAAAGTACGGTCTTATGCGCCCCCAGTATGTAAGTAACTTGTATGACATTAGTTGAACGAGTTAGTTAATTGATTGAAAGGGTGGCAGCATATAGTCCTAACGCAAAAAAAAACTCTACGGGTGCTACGGGTAGCACTATCAGGGTCGTACACATGACAAAGAAGATCACGAACCGAATATCCTCCATCACTCTCCTTTTTTCCCTAAGATGAACAAGATGAAAACGAACAAGACGATCATGAAGAAGAGGACAACGCTGACCTGTGTTGCGATGTCGTCGCTGATCGGGTTCGGGATCGGGACACATTTCCTTACTTTTGTGGACGCAGGTGGTACGCCGAACAACGAAAGAGAGGGTGTCCCGTGGAGGCGGTCTCGGTCTTGTCAGGTAGGGACAAGGCGGCCGCCGGTAGATCCCATACTTGCAAGATTTCAACAACTAGAAGAAGGTACAACAGGTAGTCATCTTTCCAAAAGTCCGCCCAGGCCGTCGAGTGGTTCAACCGTGATTGACGTGGGCGTGGGACACGAAGGTCATGCTCCTTGTAATCCAAATGCGACATGTAATCCAAGAAGTACGACATCAACAATATCAACATCTTCAACGCCGAGCTTGATTTCACCAATGAGCTCAATATCAACGCCCACGTCAGCTTCCGGAGGCCCTCTCGTCACTGACTGCAACTTCTTTCAAGGCTGCGTCTTGCTCACTCCGAAGCAAGCGGAAATGATAGTCAGGTCTGGTGGTGTAGCACTTCCATGGGATCAATATTGTGGACAACACCCTTCTTCTCCTTCACACACCCAAGAATATGCTCATGATCCAACATGTTGCTCCACTTCGCCATTAGCGCAAGAGCAAGAAGGGGGAGTCAGACCACACCAACCGTTACAGCGGCTGCAATTTCATGCAGGTTCACCAGTAGGCGCAGTACCTGACTCATCTACTCCCAGTAATTCTCATACAAATAGTACTAATACTGCTGGAGGTGGTACTGGTGTCAATATAAGTTCTGGTGCTGCAGCTGGTTCTGCTGGTCCTCCTGCGACGTACTTGAGTTTTCCAGAACAACTAGGTACTAGTACAAGAAGCGCCCACGACCCAACCACGTATACGTATCCGACATGGGAAGTTGTTCCGCCGCAACAGCCGTTAGAGCAATCATTTCAAATTCAATCAGAACAATCACTTCACATTCCCCCTCCTCTACAATTGCAAACTCGAGATCAGTTTTTGCGATCCTATCTCGCACAGGCGCAAGTAGCCCAGCATCGTGCACTTCTCCTCCAGGAGGCTTTTCAAAGAACTGTGTCCTCCTCTTCTTCGTCTAGTTCGTCACTTCTTGTGAGTAATGACAGTGCCAGTGGAACTGGAGGTGCTGCAAGTCAACGACAACGTGTTAAACCGCAACACGGAAGAGGCTCTTCTAGTGCTGGAGGAGGACCCTCGTGCTACGGTAGCAAAGAAAGACTCGTCCTTGATCACCTGACGCAAAGAAGGCATAGTCACGTCGTATCTAACGGTCATCTGATGCAAAGAAGGCATAGTCACGTCGTATCTTACGGCTACCGCTGGAGCAGCATCCTCAACGTCATCCTTGCCCTCTTTTTCAAAGGGAAAAGTGAACCGGGGAAGGATGCACGCAGGGATGCGAGCGCGGCGGTAGCTCTAAGTATCCAATACATCTTCTTCAGGACTGTCGAACACATCCTCCTCTCTTGGGAGTTCTGTGGCGAACTCTTCAGCCCCTTCGCCTTCATTCTTGGAAAAGACTTCGCCTTCTTTCATAGAGAAAAACCGAAACAATAACAAAAAAAATAGAGGCAATGGACCAAGAGCAAAGGTTTCTCCACAAGGGGGCTCTACTTTCTTAGCAGCTGTTTCGTACGAGGTAGACGCTGGTGGCGTCGGGGATGCAAGAAGAGAGACAGCTCACGAGCAGGTACGAAATCTTCGTCATGATGTGAAAGCAACACCAACAGGTGGGAGCGTTGGTAGTAGTGGAATTACTGATGGGAAACAAGGTGGACCTGCGACGGCAGGACATCATAGAGGTACTAACGAGCAGGAGAAAACACGAGACGCTAAACGTCGGGCGTGGATAGAGAACTCAGGATTGAAAAAAGAGCGAGCCTACGAACTTCTCGGAGGACAAGCACCTGCGGCCACCGCTGTCAAGGGAAATCGCATCACCCCCTCAACATCGCCATCTTTGTTAAGGCTACTAGTACTTACCCGTGATCATTGTAGCTAGTACTTACCCGTAATCAACATGATTGTGCTCGTGAATTACAACAACATGATCAACTTAATTTACGCATATGATCCTTTACTCGGTTGGAAATATATCTATCTATCAACTGAAAAAAGAAGAAGAACTACAAGGAGTAGATGTCCACCATCCTCTTGTCCTAAATATAGCTCTGCTCGTGTATTCTTCTTGGTATCTCTAATCTTTACGTTTGAAGAGAAGCTGTCTGCGCAGTTAATTTTGCACGCAATTGGGCTCCGGTACATGCAACACGGAGCTCTGCTCTTCAACTGCCCAATCAATCAACAATTTGGCAGTTCTTTTAGTGCGCAGCAAAGTTCAGTCGTGCCTAGTACGGATGGCAAAAAGCGTACGCGTTTCCGGCATGGAATAATTAGAAAGAACGTGGACGAAGCGATTCAGCTTTGGTATTCGGCTAAAGTTCTTTCATCTGGAGATGGAGCAGTAGTAGATCAAATGGGCGTAGTAGAACAAGGGGTGTCATCTACTTCTTCAGGTCCAGCAGGAGATAGGTCTTCAGCCGCGACGACGGTTCAGTCTGTACTACGGGGTCTTATGAAGCGTCATAATGCGCACATTGCAGGTCGGTCCGATGCCGCCAGGCCAGCAACTACTCTCATACCGGGATTGTTCGCACCGGTTATGGAAGTGCGTGCTACTGAGCAAGTTGTACGACCAGTAGTTTCGGTTTCCGAGGGTGGAAAAAATGGCGTTAAAAATAGGTATAAGAATATGGAGTCTTCTTCTTTTGGAGGTGTAGTTCAAAACTTCTACCAGACAGGTCAAACAACTCATCTACTGACATCTTCACTTAACCAATGGGTTTTCCGATTCGCAGTGAGCCCGGTCAACGTCGGTCGCTCTTTTGAAGCACATGCCGTTCGTGCGGCCCTTCTCAACCTTGCACCACGTCAAGTAGCTTCTGGCGGTAGTTGTTGTGGTGCATCGAAGACGAAGCAAGGAGGACAACATCAAATTGTCAATGAATTTCTTCGTGGAAAGACAAAGACGAGCACAAGCGAAGAAGCCGTACTTCTTTTCAAATTTCGCGGCGACTGCGGAGAACCTTCTGGGGACTGGGGTACAATGCTCGCACTTCTCAGAGCATCAATCAAGGACGTTAAACAGCAGCTCACAGCTATTCTTCAGAGTATTGAAGAAGATGGACATACTCCTGCTGTTGAAGGTGGAAATGGCGAGGAGAGCGAAGAGTTGGTTGAAGCAGAAAGTAGTTCTTTCCCTTTAGGTTGTGCCTGGAGCAGTGCAAGAACAAGACCAGCAGCAAAAAATGCTGCAGCATCTTCAACAGTAACAGAAGGCTTGTTCTGGTCGTACTACGATACTAACGAAGATGGTCGCTTAGCCGCACTTGCTGTTTCGTTCAAAACACGTCAAGCAGAGCTGCATCAAGCACAACTACTTGCTGAAGACCCTCGTCGAGACTTCCATAGAGAAGAAAAAGGTCCTGATGGCCTTTTCGCCGCAGAAAAGGATCCGTTACTCAGGCTCGGTAGGGGTGTGGAGTTGGTGTATTCCGTTCTAGCTTTTCTTAGATGGCGATTGAGCGATGAAGAAGATCGAGGTCCTTCATTAAAAACAGGGTTGCGGGAGGAGCTGCGTGCAGGAGGTGCAGGTCGTGGATCCCCTGAGTCGTGTGATAGAACGGCAAGAGGTGGAACAGAAGGAGCACATGAAGCTGGACTAGATGCACAAAAGACAGTGCTCGGGGACCTGGTTCAGGACTCTGAGGAGCAAAGGAGACGTGCCCTTTTGGAGAATGAAAATCGTAGAAGGGTAGCAGTCTACTTGAATGCACTCGATGAAATTACGCACAACGGTAGCGGGTCCTGTGCTGTCGGCTCGCCTCATGCTCTTGAAACTACAACACATGGCGAACAACCACATCGGGATGGCGTGTCACACCAGCCTATAAAAAAGATTGCTCCTGTTGATCTCGATGATGTTCCTAGCCTCCAGCGCCGTGACCGCGACCTGCTCCAGCAGCATGCTGACTCCGCCGAAATGACTACGGAGGATGAGCATCAATCGTTCTGGTGTGTTGATGATTATGCAGTCCTCGTTGAAGAACAAGCACAAGGTGCTGTCAGATCGGCTTTGAAAGATGTGTCCTCAAAGCCGGGACGGGACGTTTTTCCATGGCCGATGCCTCCTCCAGCTTGCACAGAAATCCGATACATCGAAGCAGGAAAAGCAGAAAAAATGGTTCTGTAAACTGCTCAAAAAGTTGTTGAAGATACTACACTACTAGATGTAATCGATGGTTATCTCGTCACCGTAACACTAACAATGGACGAAATCAGCACCACTTCATTGGTGTACTATGCTACTCATAAAGGTAGTAGAAGATCCGTGCTATGTCTTACTTTGTGTCTAATGATGAATCTACTCAGTGTCTAACGTTTCGACTCCAAGCACTTTCGAAATTTGAGACCATGCTGCATCTCCAATCTTCATTCTAAACTGCAATTCTTCCCAAATTCATGCCAAAGCTCGACATCTTTTGAGTTTGGAGTTGAAATTTGGACGAATCCTCGAAAAAATGGTTTTTTATCGCTTGTTTTTGAAATTGATTTTCTGTTGAGCCCTTTTCTGTTCATTTGTTTCAAGATTAGACCATGCTCCAAGGCCACACCAAACTTCAATAGTGCTATCTAATGCAATCACACCAGTCTTCAATGATGCAATCGCACACATTCTGTCTTAACGCAGCAAACTTCTCCACATTGTGTGTGAATACAGCTCATAATTGATAGCCCTTCACCTTTCGTTTACTCTCTTCCCCATAGTTGCCGTCGAAGGCTTCCTGTCCGAGCTTGGTTGCATCATTCACAATCATGAAGTTTTCTTCTACAACTGGGCAGCATGTTGAAGATGTTAAAACTGACAAAGATGTCTTGTATTACACTAGGATATGCATAATAGCAAGCTCTATATTCTACTTGTGAACTACAACGGTCGTGCGACAGAAGCTTCTATTGCGTTTGCGTGCGACGCATTATGTGTTAGCGAACAGAAAGTAGAGCATGATGATGCATTCGACAAATTCGAATGGTCTTCTTATGTCATCTATAATACTTGGGTCTAGAAGAAGCCTACCCGTGGCCCAGTCTACAAGGACTTCTACGTCGATGTCCACCAGGATGATCCACAACAACTTTAGTGGATCTTACACCAGGTCCTCGTAGCGTGGATCTGCCACATAGCGTGCAGCTGCTACTCTCCAGTTCTGTGCTTCTATCCAGACTCTGAACCCCATGTGAGATGAAATGAACTGATCGGAAAACAATCGCCGAAGCCGGGTGGCACTTGTAATTGGACACACAAAAATCAGAATTGATGTTTCATGAGACAGCTTCTGCTCGTCTGTACTCGTCTGATGCAGCATTATAATGTAATGAATACAAATCTTTGAGATGGTGTGCAACTACAAAAAGTTGCGACAGCAGCAAAAAATAATGAGAATCTGTCTTCTGGAGATTTTTCTATCTTGAGACGGATCTGTCCTAAAATTTGCTGAGCTGCGGAGAGACATTTTTTGAGAGTTTTATATAATTGAAGAACTCTGATGTGCATGTGGTCTCAAGCCCAACAGACATATCAAAAACTGTAACTCTATCCATATTCATTGCAGGCTATGTTGGAGGCTAGAAATAGAAGAATGTCTTATGCGTAGAGCCATGAATTTTGTCTAGTTTAGTTGTGACGATATTACTGTAAAGAGAACCCCGCCAACACGCACACGCTTACACTAGCTCCTCTATCGTCCTCTTTAATATTATTCCAGATCGTTTGCATGTCAACATTGCATGTGGTCCAAGCCCATCATATCCATAGTATCCATGCTTAATTTGGTTCCAGAAACCAACATCGTCATTGTGAATTTGAGTGGATGAGTTACGGCATGATAAACATCTTCAATCTTCTAGATGACATCGGTAACTTTTATTAATTCGATATGACTCTATTGATTTGGACGACTCCTACTTCATCGTTCTTGTTGAACAGTGACTACATTGTCTTCTAGCACAAAGAAAATGGACAAGAACAGCACGGAGGAGGACGACTCCACGTTTCCTCTTCTGGGTCGTGGGGCCAACGTGCAGCGGACGAGACCAAAAGAGCGCGAAGAGGACGATGTTTTTATCAAGTTTGCGCAGGAGTCAATGATTCCCGGACTAAGCGATTGCCATCATGTCGGAAGAGACGTAGAAGAAACCACCGCACCCACAACTGGTATGATGGACGAAATGATACCGAGAAGCACCAGTATGCCAGGAAGTCGTGGAGGTCCCAGAGTCGGGTTTGCTCACTGGTGTGCAGGTATTATTCCACCGGTCGATGTGGACCATGTGCGAAATGAAATGAGTCTCGTGAACTACAGCACGACTAGCGGAAAAAATTACGATTTGGAGACTATCAAGAAGGCTTTGTATGCAAAGTTCTCTGAGCTCGAGCAGAATGACAGAAATTGGCGCGAGCCCTGTAATCTAGAACCGGGCATGCTTCGCGGGATAGAGGAAGGCCTCACCATGAGGAACGTTGTCCTGATGCGTCAGAAAAATACATCGGCTTCTTTGGCAGGTGAAAACGATGCTGAACATCCTCTACCTCATCTTGTTCCTGCATCAGAAGACGATTCTTGCCCTCCTGTTCCAAGCCATATCTTGTATTTCTATATGGTCCAAGCTGTCCTGCGTGGTGAGTTCTTACGCGTGCCAGAACCTTCTGAGGTAGACGCAGTACTGGCTGCTAGATGTGCGGTGGAAATCGAGCATGAAGCCAGAAAGCAGGAAATGTGGTTGAAAACAACTACGACAAGCACCGAAAAAGTGCAAGAACATCAAACGGTGAACAACATCGTTGTAAGGGGAACTGGATCTCCTGTAGCCACTTCTCCGGAGAGGTCTCCGGAGAGGTCTTCTCCGGAGGATCATAACTCTCGAGGAAATGCGCCACCACGTCCAGGTCAAGGCGACCGAAGTATGAAGATGGACATGGACATAGTACTAGCTTCTAGCCTGAAAATGATGAGACGAGAACGGGATGCACAACGTCGTTATCTTGCGAAGTATCCTACGAAAATCGCAACCATGCTCGGAAATCAGTGGCAGCGACTCGATCCGCTGTTCCAGTTACAAGTATATCACTACTACAGTGGTCAGGAGCAAGAAGGAGCGACAAGAAAGGAGCCTGTCGAACATAGAAGGGCTAAGCAGGATTATCATAACACGCCCACTTATACAACGGTTGGCGCCACTTCTGAGGAGGAGCGGACCATGTTCAACCGGGTACATCGATGGAGACTGCTTGTTTCTGCCGTATACAAATGCGTGAACAACGTCGATTACCGCTTGAGTGACTTAATAGGACAAGAACTACAAGAAGTAGAACAGGAGGATCAGCCTGCAGAGGGAGAAGAGAGACAAACGAATGGTCGTGGAGGTGCTGGACAAGGTGAAACTGGTCGTGGAGGAGGAGCACATCTTCGAAGTAGAAGAAATATCTTGAAGGAGCTGACAAATATCCGGAGCCCTGCAGTAGTGGCCAGGCCTGACCATTTTGCATACCGGAAGTGGCGCTATCTCCAGAGTCGAGAGGATGAGTTGTTGTTGCTGCCAAATGATGGCGCTACTTCTCCGAAGAACTACGTCGAAAAGAAACCGTCTTCATCTTCTGCTAGAAAGCGGTTGAATCAGAGTCGACGTCAACGAAGCGCACATTTCTACAACGGTGACCTTCTAAGAAGAAGTTTCTTGGCTCAGCAAGCGCAGGACCTCGAGGATCAGACCAACGATGATCAACAAAAACAAAGAAGAACAGTGGAGCAGGTGGCCCCGCTGAAGCACAAATCCATGCTCTGCCGAGAAGAGTCGGAGAAGGTGTGTGGCTCCTTCCCGCATTGGGCTCCTCCAGTCTCCCGCAGAAGTGCAGATGTCATCTTTCATATTCGTAGCCGGATAATGATGATACCTAGTTGTACTACTAGGAGTGCTGAAAGTACAAGTAGTACAGGTACAGGTGTAAAGAGTCCCTCAAATACAACTACAAATTCAGTTGTATCCCGTCAGCAACAGCATTTTCGACAAGGAGAAGGACCTCCTTTACCTGGGAAACCACGAACACCAAGTGGGCAGGAGCGTCGCAATGTTCTTAGCCTTGCTGACTTTTTGCGTGCTGGCATGAGCTTAAGGAGCATAGGTTAAAGGTGTTCCTGTTGCCGTTTGTTTTGCTTCTCCTCAAGGAGGAAGGCAGAACAAACGGAAACCAGAAACACCGAAACCCTACCACCTCTAATGAGCGCATCAGAGTTAAGGAATGCCGCGGAACAGAGACATGACTGGAGCCATCTTCACCAACTGATGGACTCAGAGTATACAAGAAAGATCATGATGAAGATGATGTCTACACCTGCTGCTGCTGGTGGGAACCAAACGAGCAGTATGGACAATGAAGCTGAGGATGAGAATGCTGAGAAAAGTCGAGGTTTTGGTTTTGGAAACGGAGAAGAAGAAGCAGATATTGACCACCTTCTAGGAGAAAGAGGGCACCGGCGGCAAGGAGGACTACGTGGACATGAAGGCAACATATCAACAAGGAAGAATTTTGCCGCTGCTGATCCTGATGCAGCTAGGGTTAATGCACACGATATCGTTATCGATAGTACAGCAGCGATCGCTCCTTCACAGGATGAACATGACAACGAAGAGTTTGACGAATCGCTGCCAAGTGTCTTTCTAGATGCCAGTGGCCGGACCTTTGACGGTGTGCAGATTCTCACATATGAATGCGAGCCGAATCGAGTGAATTTGAACCCAACCTTCGCACCGAAAATGGAAGAAGGCTGTGATCCTAACCTCTTCGTAGGATCTTTTCAAGTGTTGCGGATGTACAACACGGCCGCGAAAGGGCAAGAGCGACTTTTTGTGCGTATCTTGGTTATCGAGGATACAAACATTTGGCCTGCCAGTTTGCAGAAGTGGGGTCGATGTTTTTGTTCCCCATTTCGATGTCAGATTAGCGGAATCCAGAGAATGTTCCGCGCCGTAGGCCGCTCGCGAGGAAGGTGCTGCCCTATTCCGGCCAGACAGAAGTCCTGTAATGCGGCGCTCACGAAAATCTTTGCGTCCCTCTTGATCGTGCTAGAGGTCTTTGCCATCGTGTTGGCCTTAGCATACTTGTTCCTCGCTTGCACAGGCGGACCAGCACCCCCGGTAACTCCACCTCCAGCACTACAACCTGGTGGGCCAGGGACAGGAATTTCGTCAGCATTGCAGACAACAAATAATTCTCCAAGCAATCAACACCAACAGTTTCCACCAGCACGTCGATCGCTATTAGCTCAACAGCAAGTCCAACTACAAGGTTCTTCACCTCCTCGAGCAAGAGGTGGAAATGACAACCTAATCAGTTCAGCAGAGTTGAACGCCGACGGCTCGTTCTCAAACATTCAGCTCACCCCACAGGACAGTGGCTTTTTGCAGGCAAATCAACTACAGCAGGGTTCTGGTAGACCTACTAATACTGGCGCACCTGCACCTCCCCCAGGACCACCTCCGAACACAGCAGAGCCAGCTCAGAACTTCCAGCCACGACCTAGTCCTTCAGCACCTGGTGGGGCGGCGGCGCCACCTCCCTCGCCTTTGACCCCTTCGCCACCCTCGTTTCCCACTAGGCAAGAGTGGATATATGCGATTTTCACGCTGGCCGGTCTTTCTGCTTTAGCTGCTTTGTCTACTCTGGTCCTGCTCGCATCTGCCAGGACGCGCCGTGGTGAAAAAGTCTGTAGCTGCCGGAAACGTGGAACCCAGAAGGCCACTATCGACGTGACACATGACGAAGATCCGAAATTCACTATGAAGCATCCTGTTCGTAACGGTTACAAGAACGGTAAGCACTACGGTAATGGTACTGGTACTAATGGAAGCACCAGGAACTGGAACGGCCGCAAGAACATCGAGAGAAATTACCGCGAGAACACTATAACGACCAGCAAACATAAGACCACCAGAGGCAAACAAGAAGTGGATCCGTTCCTAGTCGAAGGGTGTGATTATCTTTTTGGAAATTTACCGAGCCAGCAGAGTAAGGTGGACAAGGCAGAGGTGAATATTCATGAAAACACGACGGATGAACAAAACGCAAACCAGGAACTCTGGGCAGAGGCTCTCTTCAACCCCATGAGTGGCTACTGGGAATGTGCGTTCCAGTATCTTGGCCGGGAATCAACTTTCGTTTTGTGGCCGACGTTGACGGGCTACAGCATGAGAAATTTGGCCAGTAAGGACGTTTTCCTAGCACACGACAAGATGAGGCAGCTAGAGGAGGAGGAGGAGGCTAGAAGTGCTGCTGGTGGTGAACTTGTGGCCGCTGTGCCTTCATCTAGTTCTAGCGAAGATAAGAAAAAATCGAGCAGCACTACTACTTCTGCAAAAGATATCTTGCAATCCGCGGAAGAAATTGCAGCTAAGGCAAATGAAGAAAAGAGAGGTTCGAGTTCGACCACAACATTGGCGTTGCGTAGACCACCAGGCTCACCGTTTTTTCTACCGCGAAACTTACGTAGCCTTCTTCAAGCGGATGCGCAAGGAAAAGGTCTTCTACAGGGAATGAGCCCTTATGTAGGAGCGACCAAACACTATTTGGAATTATTGATGAACAGGCGCAATTATCGTAAGCCAGCTCACGGAGCCAGGATGAATGAAGTCAAAGCTCTAGAGGATGAGGCTGAGGGTGGGACTCTTGTTCCTCCTTCTAGCACTACAGTGGAGGATGGGACTCCTGCTAGTACTAGCACGACAACGACTCCAGTGCTGCTGAATAACGACCCGGCGAACAGCACTGAGACCCTTCCTGGTTCTAGCACGACACCAGTACCGCAGAACGACCCGTCTAGCATCATTGGTGATTTGCCTCTTGTACGGGTGAAGGACAAAATTGATGCAGTGACCGCTCTCATCTTCGTTTCCGGGTTCGCAGATCACAACGGTTGTGTCCAAGAGGGTCTAGATTTGTTCTGGCACCTTTTCCGGTTGAAACAATCCTTAGAATACCTGTATCCGAAGCATTACCACTTGATCTACGTCCGCCGTTTTGAGTCGGCCGCGGATCTCTTGCACTTCTTCGACCCAAAGAAATCCGGAGAAAAGTTGATCAAGAACCTGGTCTACTTCGAGATGCGCCTCCACGGGCATCCGGATATGATGAAGGTAGACAGGTTTTTCATGATTGAGGCGGATGAAGAGGACGAAGGAAGTCGATCTTTTTGGAAGTCGATGCGAAAAGCGAAGAACAAGTGCACAACTCAGCAGAAGCAAGAGAAACTACAACAGCGCACCACGACGATGGAAGACACAACTTCTAGGAGCTCGTTGCGTAAGAACAATGCTCCAGATGATGTTGAAAATGGTATTAACCCTAATCTCCCTGCATCGACATCATCATTCACATCAACTACTCCATTCACATCAGCGACGTCCCCCAAAAGCAAGAAGAAAAAGCAGCTAAAGCGTAGCCGTTTCAAGATGATGTCGAACGCAACCCGTGCCCCGATCGGTGGCACCTTTGCGGAGAGAACAGGATGGTGCTGTGTGCCGACAAAGACATTGCGCAAGTACCTCAACTTTTCCTCGACCCCTGACCCTGCTGTGGCCCCTAGTTCGAGTAGAACCAACAGGGACATTCTCGCTGCTGCAGGAGATGCAGCAGATGAGGAGGATGAGTCGTTTTCTAGAATTGATTTCTCGTCAAGCGAGGACGAACAGATGCTGTTTGAATATGAACGAGAGCAGAACCAAATCTGCAAGAAGTCGGGCTATATCGCGGCCTCTACCACAAGTTATAATCGTGATGAAGTAGTGGACTGCTACAGCTCGTCCTCTACTGACGAAGATCAAGATGAAAGGCATGAAAAGGATGCTCTTTTAGAACGACTTGGTGCAGCTGGGCCTGGACCTGATGGTTCGTCCTCCTTCGGACTCGAAGAAGAGGAAGAACAGGAAGAAGAGGAAATACTGGCTGCCCAAAGTTACTCTGGAAAAATTAACGACACCAGTGAGGATGAGCTCTCCTCTGAAAACGAAGCTTTAGCCGAAGCTTTAGCCGAGGAGAGCACCTCTTCATCTTCTTCTGAAGATGAAGATTCTACAACTGAGGACGGAGATGGCGCTCGTGTTGAAAAACAAGAGGACAAGGAGCGGTCCAACAAGATGAAGCTTTCCATGGACCACAGGAACAAGAGAGTGTCGAAAAGGGAAGTGGAAGAGCTCGTTGAAGATGAAGACCTTGAAAAGGATCTTCCAAGAAGAAAGGAGGAACTAAAGCCAGGGCTTACGGAAGATACTCATCCTGCAGAATTCGATGCGGCTGCGCCGCGTCCGCGCAGTCACAAAAATGACACGGGTTCTAGTACCGGAAAAAGACGACGACCCCTTCCTCGTAGTATTCCACCAGAGTTAGAGCAACATCGTTTGAGCATAAACGCTTTTCCACAGGCTATATTAGAACGTAGGAACAACACGAACATAAGAAACATCACAAAGACAACCTCAAGGCTGAACCGTCGTGACCGGTTTTTTCGTGAGATGCACACTGCAGACCTGTACGCATCGAAGGAGAACAATGCCTCAGGTCAGAGACTCCGGATTTCAGAGAGAGTCCACAACAGCAACGAGGAGCAACTGGAATTGGTTCAATCAGCATCCGACCAAGTTCGGCACTCTCTTACCGGCTGGAGCGCAGAGCGTATTCGAAGACGTGAATTGAGAGCGCGGACGAGAAGAGAACAGGATTTGATGGACCAAGAAGAAGAAGAAGCCGAAGGCCTTGATTTGGCGGACAACCAAGGAAAACTGGCATCATCGACGTCCTCCAATGGTCGTGCATTGAATGCTAATCAGAAGAGCAAGAATCCGTATCAGATGAATCATGCAATATCTTCAACTTCAACTACTTCAACAGGGGACAAGGACACCAAGAACATGATGAGGCACCCACACTCTACTTCTGGTGGACGAGGTCTTGATGCTCGACCTCCGGTTGAGGTGGCGAAGTCGAATATTTGGTGTTGTTGCATCCGTGGACGACATAGGAGATACTTCCCACACGCTGAGGAGCTCGCAGAGCAACAACTGGCGATCCCCTCCGTGCAAAGGCGACACAGCTACCGTATTCGTGGCTCCCTCATCGAACGTCTTGATTCTGTCCTGGAAACGCCTGAAGGAGATCTTCGTGCGTTACATTCGTCTACAAGAACTGGTGAGAACATCAAAAATGAGGACCACAAGAAGACAGCGACAGCGTCAATTATAGCAGATCATTCGTCACCAGGAAAGGGGATCGTCGACGAAGCAACTACCAGTACTAGGGGAAGAATATCACGCCCACCGCCACCAGACGAAGATGAGTTTTGGTTTGTGCGTGTTGTTCTGGCCCTCTCTCAAGCGACTCATCCAGACTACCCGCTGACGATTTACAACATGAGTTGTGAAATAGGAAAAGACGCCCGAAACGGAATCGCGCATGCTATCACTGTGTTGCTGCAGGACCTAAACAAAGTGAAAAAGGTGCCAATCCAAGTTTTTGCTGCTCGTGACTCCTTGGCGCCACGCTTGCCAAACGAACTGCCTGTGCCCGTGCTTGAATTCGAGACCGGGAGCTCTTTCGTGTCCGAGTCGGCAGCGCATCGTTGGAAGTTTCAACAAAACACGAGCGCGCCTACGTCTGGCACAGCCGGCGCTTATGGCACAGTAAGGGGAGGCCCTAGACGAGGTGGAGCCGCAGACACTCAGCTTCTCGGTACAACCCCGACTCCAGAACAGGTGAATCCGTATCGCTTCGTCGTCCGCCATGCATATTGTCGAAATCCCAAGAAGGTGAAAGCCCTGCCGTACGGTCGGGTGAGTAACTATGCTTCCATCGACGGTGATGAGATCGTGAAAAACTTCGATTACACAATGGTCCGGTACTTGATCAACGACCGCAACGAGATGGATTACCACTATTGCCGGCATTGATAAGCCATAACAAGTAGGTACATGGCGAACTACCCAAGAATTCTGACTTTTTGTATTTGGAGATGGCTGCGCCCACAGTCACCCTTCTCCTTTTCACCTTGTGAGTGTGTATTGCCAAAACTAGGTTTTTCTAAGGCTATGATATATTTGTATTTGATTACTTACATACTCACCTCGCGCCAGAGCCATTGTGATTCATCGCCACACACTCCCCTGACACAAGCAAAGTCTTGTGATGTAAGAACCTCTTTGGAATGGAATCGAGATGGTTTTACACCAAGTGGATGCTGCTCATATTTTTTACGGACTGGGCTGGGGAGAAACGCTCACGTGTTCCCTAGTCTTCTTACGATTAGATGAGCATGCTGTCTTGTTCAGGTGGTGAAGTTCGAGTCTCCATTATATCGTTGCAAAGCATGATAAGGACGAGAAGATGTATAATATGTCAAAGATGTATGATGTCAAAGATGTATCTATAATGTCAACCAAAAAGTCCTTGGAGTTGTCAGAGAAAAAGTACTCACTCAAGTACTTGTTCTCATAACGCGTAGCTCGACCGAAAAGGATATGGTGTAAGTTTCGAAAATAGTGCATTTAAGGCTAGTTGTAAGTAAGCATGAGTATTGGATAGCGCTGTGACCACCACTCTGAAGAATACTTACTAATTGTTCGTTGATGCTTGAAGATATAACTCCAGACATTGATGACGTATTCTTCTTGAACAAGCAATTTGTAGTCCTCCAACAAGCACATCTACATCATAGCCGTCAAAAATATTATGAAACCAGCTATTCGATGTTGAAAAAATGTTGTCATCGTCGTTGAAAGAGAGGTGCCGTGAATTCTTCATCCAGCTTGTCACGAGTGCGAGCCGCTACCGCTCGTCGACCGAAGATGCCGAAGGACAGACTGAGAGGACAACGGCCTCCTCCAATATAAGAACCTCCGTCGACCGAAATTGTGTCATTATATGCGATCAAGGGAGTCTTCGCGCACTCAATTCCTTTTGCCGCCTTTCGGACCTCTACGAATGTGGTGTGACAAGCGTGGAAGCACTAGAGCGCGAACGGCAGCCATTGCCCACGTTAGACGCCATCTACGTCTTCGATCCAGAGGATGCCGACGCACTGTCAAAATTGAAAAACGTACTTTCTGTTTTTCTACTGGGGTCTTCTTATACATAGTTATACAACATATAATAATTAGAATATTAAATAGAAGTACTACTACTACTTCTACTAGGTGGAAGACAGAGGATTTGGAATATTATTTTTCAATAGATATCGACTTTTTCGCTCCTGGTATTATACAAGGTAGCAGCGACTTCCCTTCATCCCTTGACCACAAACTTCTGCCTAGCTCTACTATCATGGAGACATAGGATAGGGATTGAGATCGACTTTACATGTTGTTGACTCTGCTACTCAACTTTCCACAAACGATCCAGGATTTTGATGGCAAGCGCGTTCAACACGAGAATATCCATCTTGTGTTGAGCCGACCCGCGGCGGAAAACGTTTTTCGCGATTTCAGCACCAACGCAAATCTAGCACCTCACATCCGCTCCCTTCGGGAGGTCCCGATTTTGCAATTCCTCGTTTTCCATCGAAACGTGTTCCATTTTGACTTGTCTGGAGGCTTGCGGAACCCCAAACTCGAGAAAAGCCTGGCCGCAGCGGGCAGAGGCAATCGGCACGATGGCAGAGCCGCAGGAGGCGGGTCTCTGGATCCGTACAGCATTGCTGTTACTGTCGGCAATGCGGTCACGTCTTCGTCCTATGAGCAAAACAAGGACCAACAAACAGAAGAAGAAGGTCTGTTGACACGACGATCGATCAGTCTTTTGCCTGGAGTTTCGCAGTTTTATCCGCGTTGCGCGGACTGGCGCTTCCAGCAGACCTTGAAATCGTTGCACTCTCTCCTGATGGTCATTGGCGCACCGAGCAATGTAGTTCTCAAGTACCAGCGAAATTCAGTCGACAACGTATGCGAGATGCTGGCGAGAAGGCTGAGTCGGCAGATCAACAACTCTGCAAATCCAAGTGGAAACGTTAGTACTAGTGTTGCCGGATTCGTCGGCTCCCGAGATCATCATGATAGGGGCAGAGCAGCAACATCAGGTTCGTACCAGCGTGGCGGAAGCTCAGGTAGCAGATCGGGCTCCCGCGGAAGAAACGCATCATCTGCAAGAACCGGTGGAGTCGCTATGTCGATTGGTGGACGAGCCTCTAATGATGGTGAAACCGTGGCCATCATCGTCGACCGCACTTACGATCTAGCAGCCTGTCTAGTGCACGAATACACGTACGAAGCGCTTGTATACGACGTGCTCGACCTACCGCATTACGGCCTCAATGTCGAGACCGGCGTCATAGTATGAAAAAAGGGTTTCATTTTCTTCAGAATCAGATTGTAGTAGTAATAGTGGTCAGGGTAGCAATCGTCGGGGCAAGCTGCCGCATAGGTTCGAATCACCACAAGTAGTAATTGTAATAGTAGTTGTACTCGTAGCCGTACTAGTTGTACCTCCCGTTCTTTGGACTATTTATTTTGTGAAAAAAGTTAAAGTTTTTGTTTTTCAGTTTCTTTTTACCTCCTTCATGAGTATCGCACTCGAAAAATGTCGCCTCAATGGGCGGTTCCAGTTCATCGGGTGGAGAGCCGCAGAGCGATGAGGTTTTGTCGGACGACCTGTGGGAGCAACTCGGAGGGGAGCATTTTGTCGACGCCCAAGGCTACGTTTTTGCGGAGGCGGCAAAATTGTCGGAGCAGTTTTCGGGATTGAGCAAGCTAGAAAAGCATGGTCTCTCAAACATGACAACGGAAACTCTTGCGCAAATGGTGCGGGAACGGCCACAGTATCAAGAGCTCTTGCGTTTAAGGGTCGACGCAGTAATTCATATCTACCGTGATGTGCGTGTATCTTGCTCTCCGTCTCCCTTCTTCGTAGCATCTGAGAAGATGAGCGTAGTGGACGTACTTATAATATAAATATTTATAAATGGTGATGAGTCCTACCACGTACTACGTTGTTCGTTTTCACCTCCACAATCTTAGGCCTATCCCATGGCCATGCAGCAATATACCTATGAATATGAATCAATGTGTATGTGACCGCTAATGCGCAAGTATCATTTCCATGTGGATCTCTTCGAGAAAGCGGCACACCAGCTGAACGATGACAAGATGATGGGAAACAAAATCGATCTCTGTGTGTTTGAGCAGGATCTCGCATGTGGCGTAGACCGAGAAGGAAGAGAAATGAAAACCATTCGCTACGTCTCAGTGTTGACTCAGCTTTTGACAGATCCCGGTTTGGATCTGTGTCCGGAAGTGAAGCTTCGACTCTTGTTGCTATACTTCTCGGTTATCGGAAATGTACCAGACTCGGGGAGAAGGCAACTGATGGAAGCTGCGCGTCTAAGGGACACTGAGCAGCGCTGCATTCTCAACTTACTGGAAATGACGCGGAACCAGAATCAGCAGTTATCAAACCAAGGAGCAGGCGCAGGAGGAGGAGCAGTGGTATGAAGAGAGTTTAGACATACAAGCACGCACTAGCAGGAAACAAGCAAGATTACCTCCCTTGTACTAGAGCAGCACGCTAAGGACTCCTTAGCCTGGAAATTCTGAACCCTCAGAGGAAACAGCTGTTCTCTTTTAGAGCTTGCAACTTCTACATCCTAAACCGACACTTTCACTTAACATCAACAATAAGGCGTCCACAGAGATGCTACTACATCATCATCAAAAATTGGAAGTATGAAACCCAAGTTGATCCACCTTTGTTCAGTGTATTACAGGAGTAAAGTTAGTACACTCAGAAGATGAAGAGCATCGAAATCGATTTTATTCTTTTGTTGATGGTGTTCATCTTCGTCTTGGCTTCATATTTGATGACTTCGCCCCCTTCATCAATTTCGACCTCGTTGATGGGTAAAATGGCGAGTCGTGGTGCCGTAGTTATGCCCGCCGCCAAAGGTCGGGACAACGCGCCTTTTCACCGCGCCACGCCCAAGGAGATCAAGAAATTTCGGCAAATTGCGAAGTCTGCACGCTTCGACATGTCTCGCTTTGAACCTAAGGTTCGCGAGCTCTGCGAAGGTCTCATTACCGCAGGAGTTAAGGCTACCGCTGAAGCATCCTCTTTCAACATCATCCTTGGCCCTTTTTTTTTACTTGAAAAACGCGCCAAGGACGCGCACTCAGGGCGGATGCTACCGCGGCAGTTCCAAAGGAGGCTCTCTTCCGGAGACTGAGTTCGGATCGATTCAGTGCGGCAGCGGTGGCGGTGTCAGCAGCGGCCCCTCAGCAACTGTAGGCGCAGCTCTCGAGCAAGTGGATCTCAGCAGTTGGGATTTTTCGAGGGCAGACCAAAGTGGAGATCGTGGCTCTACTGGTCAAGGTGCTGGCAGCACAGCTTCTAATAGTAAGTTAAGAGTAACAAGTAAGTATATAAGTAACAATATGCAGCTTTTGGTGTTTGGTGTTTCTGCTACAGTTGGTTTTGCTTCTCTTAAGGGAGAGACGCCAAATTATTGCTCTTGGTGTTTCTGCTACAGTTGGTTTTGCTTCTCTTAAGGGAGTGGCGGGAGAGACCCATAAGCATAACTAACGAGGTAGATGTAGACGATCTAGCACCAGAGCCCGATCTCTAAGTAAGCAGGGACTTCCGCCTCATCTAGGAGGAGCTGGAGCACTGCAGCCAGGTGGGGCCGCGTCATCCCCTGGAACTACGAGAGCAAGAGAAAAGAAAATGCAGCTCGTTCTGTTCGTCCTTGGTGGCATTTGCCTCAGCGAGGTCCGTGAATTGGAAGCATTAGAGCGCAAGTATGGTGGTACAGTGAGCATTCTAGTAGGGGGAAGCCAACTCTTGACGCCCAAGAAAATGCTAGAATTCCTCAAAGACGATTACGCAGATCTGCACCGGGGTGGCGGGGATGGAAGCATGTTCTGAGCATAAATTTATATTATAAGTACATGATCATTATGTGGACTGGGGTATCCTGCTTTCTGATGAAGTAGACACCAGGAGGACACCAGTTCTGGAGTGTTTTGATTTTTCTTTCATCGATCAGTGCATTTGTTCTAGTTCTTCTCCTTCTTATTTTGAGTGTATGTGTATCTATGAGCAGGACCTCGTCTTCCTGTTGATTCTCTGAGGTGTATATTAGGCACCCAGTAGAAAAATGGCTCGGATCGTCGCCGGGGAAAGGTCTCAACCCTGTTGGGGCCTTTTGTAGGCACAGTCGGCGGGCATTACGCATCCCTTTGCAGGAGAAATTGTTGCTTCTGGCGGGGTTCATCCGATAAGATCCATCATTGTTCTACTTATGAGCCGTTGATTAAGTTGCCCGTGGGGTTTCGGCTCTAGCTTTTCTGCGGCGATGGCCGTTGTGCTTCATCGTCTAGTATTTTTAGCTGCCTGGCCGTTGTGCTTCAGGATTCTCGCAGGGTAATTAAATGTTCTTATTGCGAGGAATATAGACCCAGGTCCCAAAAAAAAAACAGTTGTCAGTGACAGCGTGAATGAATGAGTGAAACCTTGTTGATACCTTGCTGGGTGGTGATGCACCCTCGTTCATTCTCGAATATGTCCGGATCATCATCGAGAAGAATGTCACAAGAAGTGAATCGTTTTGGAGATGGCCAAGCGTCGAATATTCGAAAGAGTGTCTTACTTCTACAAACCATGGTCGAGGAGTACTTCAGCCCCACGACCATTACAGAGAAGTCTTTCAACATCGGTCCAAATGTGTCTTACTCTCTTATAACCGGCGGTTCTGATGATGCTCTTCGCTATCGATGTAAGCAGTCAGTTTTGTCGGTATTAAAATTAAGTCTGTGAATTCGGTTATTCTGACGGTTGATGTGCACTCAACATCACTGAAAAGTCGGTATGGAATGAATGGAAACGAAAAAGAAGTCAGTGTGCGGTACTCATTGCCAGGAGCAGAAAAACGAAGAGTTGAGTGATGCGATAATTATATGGAGTGAGTATTACTGATACACCCATCTCGCATCTTGACAGAGACCGAGAAAGAGATGACTGAGTCAGACCCCCGTTATTTAGAACTCCCCAACCCCCGAAGAGAGTTTAGCCCATCGAGCTGCTTTTACTGAGACACTTTCACGAAATTAAAATCTTCAATGTTGAACTCGTCACCCACCATGTGATTCAGATGATGATGCAGGCTCTTTGATAGCATCTCGTTTTCTTGAGCATCTTTATTCCCTGTAGTCTTCATCTTCCTCGTGCAATGATACTAATAGTTGATCTAGGGCCTCCTGGTTATAGTTGCTTCTTTTGATGTTCAAGAAAGCATGATGCGGTATCTGCATCCTGAATGGTTCATGATGTTGATTCTACCTCCAACAAATTGGAATATTACTATTAAGACTATAATTTGCTGCAGCCCCCTGCCCCCAAGTAGACACCTCCAGTCGACGTAAGTCATGTTGTATGGGTTGAGATAGAAGTAGAATTCCAACATGAAAATCAATCATCAGTCGTAGAGAATGGCGTACTAGTCGTAGTTGGCAACTGCCGTATGGATCAATATTGCGACCATGGTGGATCTTGACGCAGGAAGATGCAGTTGATCCTCACGAGGATGAGTTTTCTACGTGGATCATGAGCTCTTCTTGTCCCAGTTGTGATCGACAACTCTAGTTTGCCCAGCATCGACGATCACGAGCATTAGGGGTACTGCGACGAAAATTGCAAGAGCAAGCGCATGAAGATGACCCTGCTGACCAAGAGCCAGGAGCTTCTGTATCTGAAATCGTTGTAGAGCTACTCTACGTCTACTTTATCTACAACTTCATCCCGGCCAAAGGGATAGATAGTACACTCAGGAGGCGGAGGACCATACACATACGACACGAGGACGATGCTGCTTCAATCGACACTGGGTGCCAAGACGCGCCAGGGCGGCGGCACGTCGCCGGCCAATCCGCAGGAGCATACGCCTGTGAAGAATCGTCCTGGTTCAGGTGGCCGTGGCAAACTACTCGGGGTGAACAAATCCAGCCCCGGCACCACGCCAAACAGTAGTACACGACCCAGAGGAGAGCCTTCAGGAACAAGTCCTGCTAGTCATGGAACGCCCGACTTATGCCAAAATTGTTGCTTGTTCGTAACCCTATCTTCATACCTGTAGTAGAAGTAGACTCGTCTCGTGTTTGATGACTTCACTCTACGTGTACTGAGCATAGCAAACACACAGTTGTATGAGTGTAAGTAAGATGAACAAGATTAGTCATATTAATCCTAATGTTACTGTTAAAGAAGAAGATGCAGCATGATAGTACTTATGGTGCTGTAGCTAAGTACTTTTACTCTACCTAGCTACTGCAACTTGTGAAACTGTCGTTTGGAGGAGTTCTTTCTGGTAGTACATCCATAGCAGAGAGTAGAGCAGTAGTATGGCATCAACAAGATGATGTTGCATGCATGCTACAAGTGCAGAATAGGTATTTCGAGAAGTTGTTTCAACGTTTGACTTTGAGCAAAAGAGCTCGTCAGAAGTTGAATTTCAATCCAAAGCGATGAAAAACCATTTTTTCGAGGATTGGACTAAATTTCATGATAATCCTCGAAAAAGTGGCGTTTTATCACTTGTAATTAGAATTCATTTCCTGGTGAACCCTGTTGATCAAACATCAAAACACGATTATCCATGTCAATCTTTGTTGCATAGCTACTATCAACCACTATGACAGTGCAGTACAGATCACAGTGAGCAAGATGCAACATCTTATAACAGTCTTGAGATAGTAGTAGAAGACTTTTAGACTCTCAACACCATGAATCAAGTAGTAGAAGGCTTTTAGACTCAGATAGCATATGTTCTTACGTAATAGCCCTTTTAGTAACCTTGTTCAGTCTTTTGTGTTCAACGTAATCGTACCACTTGAACAACTCTGCCTCTTTATCCGCGTCACTAACTTGTGGCACCTTGTTCTTCACGACCGACACAACATTTTCCCTATAGTAAAAACGTTTTCACCACTACATTCTTCTCGTAGCTCAGTGTTGATCTTCTCATTCTCGACCTGTTCGTAGTGTGTTGTTGGTCGTCACTTTCTGCCTTTCCTACTAACTAGTATGCAAATCATTTGTGCGTGTGCCAGTACTGCTACTACTATGCTCTAACCCTTGGTGGAACCAGGAAGTTCCATCAGCCTCAGCCTATGGTGGACTCGTGTGCACCACGGACCGATGCCGAATACGTCCTGCCGCAGGTGGTGTTTCACTTCTACCACGTCAGCAACACCGAAAAACGGGTTTTCACTCATACCTTTTACTTATGGATGATGGTCGCTTACTTGAAAGTGAATCCGAATCGCAGCAGCTTCTCCTTCGTTTTTGTGCTTGTTTCTTGGTCCTCCTGAATCGGGTAGTACGAGTTGTTCAAGTACTGATCAACTTTGGATGTGACACCGTATTACTCACGAGAATGGTGTATACATAGTTTCTTTGATGAAAGAAACTACACTACTTGTTCTTACCTCATTATCGTTAACGCTTACTCATCCTCCTCTCATAAAACCTTATTAACATTCCCTTTTCATTTTTCCTGGAACGTGAAATGCTGCAGCGTATAGAGAAATTGAAAGTGCCCAAGGAGCTGGGAGCCAGAGAAAAGCGCAACAACCTGCGATTTTTGGAACTAGCCAAGCGGATGGCCACGCAGCTAGATGTCATTGACCGGAACAAGGAGGCTCTGCGGAAGGTTCTCACTGAGTCCGACGAGGAGCGGATGTCCAAAGAGGACCTCAAATCCAAGGAGGAACTCGAAATGGAAAGAAGACTCAGGGAAGGTATAGACTGCTCCATCAAGTAAGCACTTAGGAAAACCTCATTAGATACCTACTTACTTAGGATTATAGGGTTATCTTCTTGCGCAACTAGCAGTTGTCGAGTGTAGTAGCCTGTTGTTTTCTTTGTCCATCATGTTGCAGGGAAGCATGTGCATGGTTTTCTGTTTCATCCCTGGCACTCTATTCGTGGCCACTTTTTACCATATTTGCTGATGAACGACCGATGCTTATGAAGATGATTAAGGACATGTTGTAAAACTTACATCGTCAAACTTCTATGAGCAGAAAGATCGAACTCCTATTAATTTTTAGAGATGATACACGACACATGACATATGAGCATGAAGATCCTGGGACGTATTGATGGCGCAGGATTCATGGTATGCCTCACCGAGGACCTCAAAATTGAAACATTTCTGCCAGGTATGGTATCCTCCAAGGAGAAAGGCGACGGTGGAGAGGTGACTAGTTTGGCTATCGCCGCAGAAGACGGGGATGCTGAAGAAGAAACCGACCCATTCCTTGTGCAGCTGGGCAAAGATGCCAGGGTCGGCATCTCGTACGAAGACATCAAATTAGTCGTAGCTAACCATCTGAAACGGCCAGTGGGAACCCTGTTTTTGAACCTGATGAAGTCGGAGGACGTAGATAAGGCAGTCGCGGCCGAGGACGAAGAGCAGCATAAGTTGAAATGCAAGAAAGCTGGCATCAAACTCAAGTACTACACTACTTTTTGATGCTACTTGTTGTTCTGCTTCGTGTAACAGGAGGTCGTACTAGCATTAGTAGTAGCTGCATTAGTCTAATCGCTCGATGTAGTACTAGTAGTAGTACTAGTAGTAAGTAATAGATTAGTTGTAGTCAGTAGGGTGATCTTGATAGTATTGGTAGATTAGACATAGCAGTGGGTTGAACAAGAATAGGGGTCGTGGCAGTATTACTAGGCTTATTATATTCCTCTATTAATAGGGCTGAAGATCATCTTCTTACCACGGTATCAGCAGTCTGCACCACTTCATTGGTGCTGTACTACGCTTACTTGGGTAGCACGTACTTGCTATGAAGAGTCTCGTTGTATCTAGTAAAGTTACACCATCTCTAACGCTTCAACTCCAAGCTCTTTCAAATCGGAGATGATAACGCATCTCCAACCCTCTCTTTAAGTTGCATTTCAACCCAAATTCGAGCGAAAGCACGAAATCTTGTGAGTTTGAAGTTTGAATTTGGGCGAATCCTCGAAAAAATGGCTTTTTATCGCCTTTTTCTCGAATTCATTTCCTGGCGAGCTCTTTTCTTGTTACTTGTTTCAAGATTAGACCAGACTCCTAGAACGTGCCAGACTTCAGGCATGCTATCTAATGGAAGCTAGATTGCTATGTAGTCTTACACATTCTACTAAGCACAGCTTAACATGACTCTTAACTTTAGGTTTGAGATTCTAGAACTCTGAGTTGTTACAGCTTCTAGAAGTCGAAGCTTTCTGCTATTCATGAATCTTCATTGCACTGCAGCTAGATATCGCTCCTATTACTGTAGAAACTCTAACGACTTGCTACCCATCGCCTGCTGGTGGAAATGTGGCAGTCTTCTTCAACGTTTGTTGTATCTCGTACTTGTAGCTCGATCATATATTGACTAGTGGCTTCGTCTTAGCATGCACCTTCTTGATATTAGTACTCATACATAGGATTAGTAAGATGAGCACGTTCATCTTCAAGGGCTCACCTTAAGGGCACTGCTGCCCGCAAGAAAAGAAAGTCCACTCCTGGTGCAGGAAGTGAGTTTCTATTCCCCTTAAGCTTAAAGAAAGCCTCTTCTAAGAAGGCTCTTTAACATAAGTTGGCTAACATAATAGTGCTCCTACTTTGAGGTTCTTGCTTCTTCGGGCACCCCCCTACGGGGTCTTCGACTATGATGAAAAGAGCGTCGCGCCTCCTAATCCAGTTCGTGGCCCACGCCCTAGCCCCCGGCACTAGTTCAAAGCCAAAGCCTAGTCTGGTTCCCAGCCCGCGTCGTGGTCTCCCGGTCCGTGTCCAGACCCTAGCCCGGGCCCCAGTGGGGGCTCTACTCCATCTTTTGGCCCTTGTTCTAGCCTTGTTGTAGCCCAGGTTTTAAATTAGTCCATGCAGTGCCCCAGGCCCGATCCATGTCGTCCTAGACCATCTTCTACCCCATAAGGACTTAGCTCTGGTGGCCGTATTCCAGCGCATGTTCTGGTCCGTGAGCTCGACCAAGGTCTAGTCCATGTTGTGGCCCGTGGGGCCCTTATCTCTCCCTATTTGCTGGAATGTGTTTGTAGTGGGTTCCTCTTCGGTGTTTCCTGGTTGCAGTCTCGAGACCCGCGGGCCCCCGGTGGCTCCGCGTGCTGGGAGCGTATGGCTCGTGATTCCATTTTTGAATTCGAACGAACAAGGGCTAGTATTGCTAACGATAACAACCAGTACCTAAATAGAGCCCAGGGACATGACGCCGAGAGCTGAAGTAAGGCGCTGCTCTTTCATGCTTTTTGAGTTATCGTGCTTCTTGTGACAGGGCCTAGCACTATTATATTAGAGTAGTTTATAGAACGGATGTAGGATGGACTTGGATGGATCGGATGGACCGTCCTGATTCTTCCGGTCATACTTGAAATGTTGGGAAGTCCATCCGTTCCATCCGATCCATCCCCTCCCGGATCTGGCACCCCTATAAACTGCTCTATTATATATTAGCACTATTATATGTTAGGCTTTGAGGGGTGCTTGTAACTTAAAACTAACCGCAGCTTCTCTAGTAGTAGTATTAGTAGTCTGGTAGTAGTGGCAGCAGTGGTAGTAGTTGTAGTAGTCGTAGCCGTAGTAGTAGTAGTAGCCGCGGCGGTAGCAGTAATAGGCGTCGTCGTCGTAGTCGTCGCCGTGGTCGTAGTCGTAGTATTAGTGGCGGTAGTACAGTAGTAGCAGCAGGAGTAGCAGTAGTAGCAGGGGGAGTAGTAGCAGCCGCAGCAGTAGCAGGAGTGGCAGTCGTAGTAGGAGCAGTAGTAGCAGTAGTAGCAGTAGGAGTAGGAGTCGGGTGCCGAGTCGTAGCAGTAGTCGTAGCAGCCACTTGTTCACCGGTGTTGGACTAGGCTTAATTAGGCAGCAGGTGCTTGCTATGTCGTTGTATCTAGTAGATTTACACAATCTCTAACGCTTGAGCCCCAAGTTTTTTCAGATTTGATATGATAATACATTCCCAAACTTCACTCTTACTTCTAAATTGCATCTCGTCCCATATTCATGCGAAAGCTCGAAATCAGGTGAGTTTTTGAAGTTTGAACTTAGGCGAATCCTCGAAAAAATGGTTTTTTATCGCCTTTTTTTGGAATTCATTTCCTGGCGAGCCCTTTTCTTGTCACTTGTTTCAAAATTGGACCAGACTCCAAGAATGTGCCAGACTTCAGGCGTACTATCTAATGCAAGCTAGATTGCTAGGTAGTCTTACACATCCTGTGTTATAACGTAGCAAACTTCTACTAAGCACAGCTTAACATGACTTTTAACATTAGGTTTGAGATTCTAGTAGAACTCTGACTTGTTATAACTCCTAGAAGTCGAACTCGAAACTTTCTGCTATTCATCATGAATTTTCACTGCCTTGCAGCTAGATATCGCTCCTACTACCGTAGAAACTCTAACGACTTGCTACCCATCGCCTGCTGGTAGAAGTGTGGTAGGCTTCTTCAACTTTTGTTGTATCTAGTACTTGTAGCTCGATGATATGGCTAGTGGCTTCGTCTTAGCATGCACCTTCCTGATATTCGTACTTATACATTTAGGAGTAGTAAGATTAGCACGTTCTCTAAGGGCTCACCTTGAGGGCACTGCTTTCTACAGGAAAAGAAAATCCACTTCTGGCGCAGGAAGTGAGTTTCTATTCTTTTAAGAAAGCCCGTAAGTAGAAGGCTCTCTAACGTATGTTGGCTAAATACGAGTCCTACTTCGAGATTCTTGCTCCTTCGGGCACCCCCCTAAGGTGTCTTCGACTATGATGGAAAGAGCGTCGCGCCTCCTAATCCAGTTTCTGGCCCACGCCCTAGCCCAGGCACTAGTCCGGATCCCAGCCCCGGTCGCAGTCCTGACTGTAGTTCCGGCCCTAGTCCGGGGCCTGCGCCTGGGGTGCATCCTAGCCCGGGTCGCGGTCCCGACTGTGGCCTGGAGCTTGGTCTGGATCCCAGCCCGGACCGTGGTCTCAGCTGTAGTCGTGGCCCTGGTCCGGCGCCTGGTTTGAATCCCAGCCGGGAGCGGAGTCCCGGCTGTAGCGCCGGCCTTAGTCCGGGGCTTGGTCGGGATCCCAACCTGGGTCGCAGTTCCGACTGTAGTTCCGGCCCTAGTCAGGGGCCTGGTCTGGATCCCTGCCCGCATCGTGTTCCCGGTCGTAGAACCCGCCCTGGTCCGGGGCCTGGTCTGGATCCCAGCCCGGATCGCAGTCCTGGCTGGTGTAGTCTGGGGCCTGGTCTGGATACAAGTTTGGATCGTAGTCCCGGATGTAGTCCCGGTCCGTGTCTGGACCCTGGCCCGGGTCCCAGTGCGGGCTCCACCTATGGTCCGTCTTGTGGCCCATGTTGTAGCCCAGTCGTAGGCAACAATGTTCTAAATGCGTCCATGCGGTGCCGCGGGCCCGGTCTATGTCTTAGACCATGTTCTACCCCATGAGTTCGTCCAGCCCGTATTCTAGTCCATCATGAGCGAGTCCAAGGTCTAGCCCATGTTCTAGTCAATGTGGTGGCCGCCCGGGGGGCCCTTAGTTCTCCCTCTCTGCTGGAATGTGTTTGTATTGGGTTCCTCTCCCAGGTTCTTGGATTCAGTCTCGAGACCCGCGGGCCCGCGCTGGGCCCGCGTGCTGGAAGCGTATGGTTAGTGATTCCATCTTTGAACGACGGGCTCGTACTGGTAACAAAAACGCCCTCAATCTAAGTAGAGCCCAGGGACATGATCAGGCCGAAAGACGAAGTGATACGTTCCTCGTTCATGCTTCTTGAGTTGTGCTTCTTGTGGTTGTGACAGGGGCTAGCACTATTAGGAGTAGTAGAAGTAGATAGAAGTTGGTCGTCGTATTACAATAACTACAGGTTTATCATAGCAGTATGTTGGGCATGGTAGAAGTACGTAGGTTTTTCATGAGTGTAGTAGGTTGATAGTAGTGCGTAGCAGACTACTGATGGCAGTAGCTTGATAGTAGTGCGTAGCAGACGGTTCGTGGCATGAGCTTGATATTAGTAGCATTAGTCGTCGCAGTTGTAAGAGTATCGGCGTCCTTAGTAGTAGGAGTCTGAATGAGTCGATGAATACGTCTAGAATGGTCGAAGCAGTAGATTAACCGTAGAAGTCGTAGTAGTGGGAGTAGGCTTACAGAATTTCTGCTGTAGTGAAGCTATTGATGCCACGTGTAATGCTGATCGTGTCACACGCACCATTATACTGACGTCAATGGACGAAATCTACAACACTTCATTGGTGTATTATGCTTATTAAGGTATGAGAAACTTCAGCTCGCTATGATGTCGTAGTGTCTAGTTGTAAATCTACTCAAAGTAATGCTTCAACTCCAAGCTCCTCTTTTCAGATTTGAGATGATAACGCTCTAAGTTACCTGATCTCGTCCCAAATTCATGCGAAATCTCGAAAGCTTTCGAGTTTGAAGTTTGATTTTGGGCGAATCCTCGAAAAAATGGTTTTTTATCGCCTTCGTGTTGAATTCATTTCCTGACGTGCCCTTTTCTTTTCACTTGTTTCAAGACTAGAGAAGATTCCAACAAGACACCAAACTTCAACCATGGTATCTCTTCTGTAAGCCAAGTTGCTACGTGTGTTAACGTAGCAAACTTCTACTAGGTACAGCTTATAATCATGACTTCTAAGCTTGAGATTCACGACAACATTAAGAATGGACGCAATCTACACCATTTCATTGGTTTACTAAGCTTACTAATAAGTAGCATACACTACTTGCTATGTCGTTGAGTCCAATAAATCTCCTCAAACTGTTCTGTAATGTTTCTTCAGCTCGAATCTCTTTTGACGGTTGAGATGATAATGCATCTCTAAACTTTACCCTAAGGTACATCTCATCTCAAATTCATGTGAAAGCTCGAAATTCTTCGAATTTCAAGCCTGAATTTGGGTGAATCCTCGAAAAAAAGGTTTTTTATGACTCTTTGGCTCAAATTCATTTCCTGGCGAGCTCGTTTTTGCTCACTTGTTTCATGATTAGATCAGACTCCAAACGCACCGATGATTTCAGTCATGCTACCCAATACAGAGCAGATTACTACGTAATCCTACACATTTTGTGTGTCATAGGAGCGAAATTTATCTATGCGCAGCTTATCATAACAGCTCCTAGTAGTAGAAACCTTCTTCGCTTCATGAATTTTCGATGTTTTTCAGATGGATTCCATTACAATTAAATAGTATTACAGGCTATGAATCCTAATGACTTGTTTTCATCTTCAACTTTCGTTGTAACTTTTTTCGTGCATTTAGATCTTATGGATAGTGTTTGCATTTTAGCACTCACCTGGATATGGTTGGTCCTAACGCAAAAAAAAAGAAAATGGTGATTCCATCTTCTTCTTTGATGACCCAAACTCAATCAAAACTTCAGGGACATCAAGCCAAAAGCTGCTCTCAGTAAAGCCGTAGCCAAACCGAAGGCGAGGGGCTCGCTGCTGAGTCGTATGAAGGGCACCATCAACGCTAAACTGATGGGTCCGGCAAGCACGCGCGAGCGGGATACTGACTTCATTTTGGACTTCTCTGTCAAGCGCATACAGGACGGTGAGAAAGTCAGAAGTGCGCCGCTGCCTTTTGATCGATGTATGCGTCAAGGCGCTATAATCGATATTGAGAAAATGAATGCAGCGTTTGGCAGCCCAAAGATGACGTCTGAAGCCAGAAAAGCACAGAGTATACGAGCAACGCGGACAGAGCACATGGGAGAATTTATGAACTCAACAAAGAAATCATTCTTCTGCACAAGATACAAGAATATCTATATCTTTTCATTTTTTATAGAAGAGTCGTTTCCTGAATTCTAAAGCGTCTGAGATTGTTCGTGTCTATTCGTAAAAGATATGACGACTGGTATGATGTTGTTCCTAGTACAACAAGGTCACACAACATAGCTTCATCACTCTTCAACCCCTCTCCTCCAGTCCACATCCAACATCAATAGCTTCCCTTCCCTTCCCCGCAGTTTTCATATGAGACCGCAGTGGAGGCTTGGTGAAGATAGCGCAAATGGGAGAAAAGCTCTACGAAGATCCGCCCTCGTTGTACGAGACAACCATGCACTTCTGGGACTTCAACGTAAACGAAGGTGCGAAAGCCTCCTTGAGGAATCGGGAGTGGCCAAGATGGGAAGAGGAGGAAGTCTACAATCTGAAGAAAGCAGATCGACAGGATTGGCACCGAGCAAGACAGGCTGGAGGTGGCGCAGTACAGGTACTGGAAACGACTGCAGCCACTTCTACTGCCCCTGCTGCAACAATAGGGCTAGGTACTAGTGCAACAACTTTGAAAACGAGTCTGAAGTCGTCCCTAATAGCGCCTAGTTCATCGATGCCAGGCGGTCGCAAAGCTGTGGACAAATCGTTGCCTGCGAAAAGCATCACGCCGCCTACTGTGGATCACTTTTTTCCGAGTACCGAACAGCCGCCACCGATAGCAGACGCAGAGAAGAGGAAAGACGAGCGGTCGCCGACAGAATACAGCTCAACTGACAGTGACGAAGAGGTCTTGGATTCCGACGACGACCCCATGTCGAGGATGCTTAAACCACCGAAGAAGAAAGTCGAAAATTATGTGCGCAAGAAGTCTACTTCATTCTGATAATTGACTTTTTAGTATTTTTGATTAATGACAACTACTACAACTTCTTTTCGCATAATTGGCATTGATGTTCGGGTTCGCTTGCTATTACCCTACGTCTCCTTTGTTAATCAGTCACCTTTCATGTCTCGTCTGTCGCTCTCTAACATATGCCAGCTTGTTTCTTTCGTGTTCTCCTTCTTCTAATCCTAAGTTCCAATCGTGTTACCTCCTCCGCGGCTAGTGCCGAGCTTCCATGTCGTTTTCGGGTCGCGGGAGCGGTTTCCACTGGAGAAGGAGATTGACGCTAGTAAGCGCAAACCCGGCGTCAAGGAGATGATGTTGCAGTGGCTAGAGAGTCGACTTGCCGGTCGTCAGAAACAACTCGACGAGGACGACGCCAACAAGTATCCGGCACACGCCGGTCCCGAAGGAGTCGCGGAATGGAAGCTGATGCGCGAGATCCGCATGCGCTGTTGCGACATGTACTTCCAGCAACAGGACAACGTGCGCCTCCTAGAAGCCATCGCAAATATTATGAACATCAAAAAATATGTCAAAGTCCTTGTTCTCTAGTACGTCCTATACGTACCTCTTAGATGATCAATCAATCAATCAACATATACCTATTTTCTTGATAATCGGACTCTACTCATAGCTTCAACATCCTCATCCTGGTAAACATGTGCACGGACATGTAGTTCGTTTTCGTGTTTATCGTGCTGTAACCATTATGATTGCATGCATATTACTAGTTGTAAAAAGTGTAGGAGTTGTGAAGGTGAACAAGAAGTAGATTGATCTAAGCAAAGTAGCCGGTCGTTGGAGATCTCGTGGATGTATCTGTCGAACGGAGACTATATGACACAGGTCTATGGCTGGCGGACGCCGCGGTGGGAACTAGAGCAGCGTGCGGAGGCTGCGAGGAAGGAGCGCGAAGCGATAGAAGCCGAGCAGCGGCGAAAAGCGGAGGCAGAGGCGGAAGTGCGCAAACTCGCGATGATAAGGGGAGAGCGCGCGCCGTCATCTTCCTCTCGACCTGGCAGTGGCGATGGTGCAAGCGGCACGAAGTATGCGACCGCCGTTGGTATAGCAGACAATCAATCGCCGTCTCCTAAGACCAAAGCTGCGAACGAGCCAAGTGCCACTGCTGCGAAAGAGCTCGTGACGACGTTGACGCAGAGCAGAGCCTATACCAGTATCGATGTCGCTGCCGATGGCGAGGACGTGGCGGGCATAGGCAATGGCTCGCCTATAGAGGGAGTCGCAGCAACTCCGCAAATACCGCTTCAACGACCGCCAAATCTGACGGTGGGCAGCCTTGTGCAGGAAAATGCGGTGAAAGTGTCGTTCCAGCCCTCTGAAGCTACTTCTGAACCACCCCAGGCTGCAGCGGCTCCTGGGGTTCCGAAGTCGAAAGAATCGAAGATCGGAAATCTGGTGGCGGGAGGAGGCATGTTCGGCATGTCTGCCGCGCAAAAGATGAAGCACTCCATGCTTGGCGGCGTGCATGACGAGGAAAAGTGGGAAGTCGACCGCAGTCTCTGCGTTGATGTCCGCGAGTTTCCTGACAAACTGAGTTTTTTCTGCACGCACTACGTCTCGATGAGCTACCAAGGGGAAGTGATGTTCCCGCACATGTTCTTAGCGCTTTTTCTCAAGGAGTACGCGGAGCACAAGAAGCACGTGGAAAACGAGTGGCTTCCGAGCTTTCGCATCATGCCGACAAAGCGCCCTCAGCCGAAGATTGCGGCGCTCCCACTCACGGGTGCGAATTTAGCAGGAGTCACTAGCATGACACTCACAGGGACTGGCGTGATGAACCCAGACGGCACTTTTGTCATCGGGGACGGAGCAGGAGGTGCGGACATGCAGGCATTGACGCTGTCACCAAGTGCGCGGCAACAGGAGATGGACCAAAGGTCCTCATCGGCGACCTCGAGCGCAGCTGGCGGTCACAAGAAGACCTCTAAAGCCGCTGCGAAGGGCAAGAAGGAAGCGCAAAAGAAGGGCTCCTCAGGGAGCTTGAACAGGCGAGGTTCAACGTCCTCTGGCGGTGGGACTTCGTCAGCATCCGCTTCGGAAGCGAGTCGACCAGGCAGCCGATCGGCCTCGAAAGGAAAGCGCAGCGACGGCGGCAGCCGTCCAACCAGTCGAGGCTCTGCGTCAGCGAAGAATAAACAACTAGCGACATCTGCTGGTACTGCAGATCAACATGCGCCTCCAGTCAATCTCAATAGTACAGGAGCAGCAGAAGAAGAGTTCCCCGCTGGACCGCGCCCAGGCGAGGAGCCCATTGCCGAAGATGAAATAACCGCTGGTCGCTCAGGCCCGCCACGTCCCGTCGAAGGAGAAGCATCTGCAACTGGTGAGGATGATGGTGCGGCCGCTTCGTCCTCGGGGTCAGCTGGTGCGGGCGCGGCCGCACCAACGGCGGCAAAGCCAGCGGGAAAGGCGAAAAGCGGGAAAGCGGCGGCACAGAAAGCAGGCAAGGCGGGAAAGGCCGCTGGCGCCAAAGGCAAGGCGAAAGGGAAAGCGAAAGCGGCTGCGAGTAGTGCGACACCGGCATCCGCCATTGGAGGAGGTAATGATCCTGCATCGACCAAGGCTGCTCGTCCACCTGCCAATGAACAAGAAGCGACCCAAGCAGATGGAGAGGACGCTGCCCCTGCTCCTCTAGACCGACCCGCGTCGCGTGCCGGGAGCAGTGTCGCACGAAGCGGCTCCGCATCGTCTACAGGAAGTCGGAGGAGACCTGCCTCCAAATCCGGGGCGAGGCCGTCTACCTCTAGTTCAACGAAGAGTGGAAAATTAGCGCGAGGAGGGGGACGGGGGGGTAGCAGTTCCGACGACGGCGCAGCACGCACGACCTCGAAAGAGCCACTGGCTGCAGCGGAAGGCACGTCCTCTTCCAGCTCAGAGGAAGCTGCGAGGGCTAAGCCTCCACCGCCCAAAGCGAAGCCAAAGCCAAAACCTGTCGTCGCGCGGCGACGCGGCAATGACATGGATTTCATTCCGTCTTCCGAGTCCTCTTCCTCCTCCAGTAGTGGCTCCGACAGCGACTCCTCCTCTTCACTCTACCAGCGAAGCGAAGACAGCGACGCGATGCCCCCCAAGGCCAAGGCGAAGGCGGTCACCGCAGCCGTGGCAGAGCGCGCTGCGTCCAAGGAGAGCAAAAAAGAGTCGTCAAAAGAGGCCACGGAAGAAGAGGAAGAGTCCGAACTCGAATATTCGGACACGGAAGGAGAGACCGACCTCTATTCCACTTCCAATTAAGCATTGCAAATTGAGATTGACCTATCTAAGTAAGTAAGCGAAAGCGCATCTTCTCCTAGTATATGATTGTAGTCACCTTCACCTTTTGCTGTTTTCAAGGTGGAGAAAAAGGATGCATAGAGATAGAGTATATGCGAGCTACTTCTACTAGAAGTAGATAGAGGTAGATACAGATAGATAGTCAGCCTCAACTTGCAACCCCTAAGGCAGGGTAAAGCGGAAGAAAGTGACTAGGCCACGCATGGTGTGGATGGCGAAGTTGAAACACCGAGATTTTTTCGAAAGACTGTGTCAGATGTTGAACTACCGCGATCCGCGGTGGACCCTGCGGGAACTCTTCAAGTTGTACGCTGGTGTGTCGATTCTAGTACGCAATCGAGCGCGGCCAAATGTCGTCTCGGACGCTTTCAGCGAAGACCACACGAGTTGGTGGAAAAAGCTTCTCAGGGAAATCATCGAGGTACTTCTAAGGCTGTATAAGCTGACCAACTTGCAAGCAGTTAATCTTAATGTACTTATATATAGATTCAGCTTGACACTGAGCTGCATGTTGTGTTTTGTCTTCTTAGAAGTAAGTGGATGGGCTTATAGCATCCCACAGGAAACATCGGAGATTGTAGTTGCTTATTCAAAGCTAACTTTTACAACAGTCTGGTGGATATTCATCATGAGATGAATTTCATACTATAACGGCAGACAACGACAAGCAGGACAATCTCATGTTGACAACAACACGACCACTGGATTAGGTTTTTTGGTGGTCTCTGCCTCCAGCAGCAGCTGCTTCTTTCGTGGATGAGGATAATTACCTGCTGTGTGCGCCTTTTTACTCGATGAAACTAGCGAGGAAAAGCTTCGAGATAGTGCCTTACTTCCGCTGGCCTGAGGACTCGTGGAAGAGGGATATCATGCGCAAAGTGTGCTGTCGTGTAGCGCGCACACAGAAGGTTAAGAATCTTAATCTGCTTGATGTAAGAACTTTTTAATTGAATCTCATGGGAACACGTCAGCTATTTGGATATTCAGCATCTTCCTGCGCTCCCGCTTGTAGTGTAAGACTAGCAGGAGGAGAAGTCGCAAGCATAACGGATATTATCCATGTAACGGATAACCATGATATTATCCATGTGAAATATTTAGAAGACTTTTTATGGTGGACGTGGAAGGCCAACCACGACGTCCACGTATGTCTAGTATCTCTAAAGAAGCCTGCGGTTGGATGTTTCACGCGTTGTGGAGTCAGTTGCCTGAAGAAAAAGGTTTTCCACAAAGTTGGAAGTTTGAAACGGAGAAACAGTTAAGGCTCACAGTAATTCATCTCAACCTCAAGAAGCATTTGCATCTGCTTTGGTCCCTTGTTTTCTTTAAAGGAAAGAAAGCTCGCCAAAGACGCTTTATTATTTCCAAGGCCCATTTTCATTTTCTTCGGTTAGTTTCCTTCTTAGGTAGATTCTGAAGAAGTGGGGGCAGGAAGTGAATTGCTCTGTGCTCTAAGTCAGTGCATGTCCATTGTGCAGCCTCACAGTCAGCACTGGCGGCTAGTGGAAATGTACGCAGGACAGCTGCCACTGGAGCAAGGAAATAACCAGTTCGCATCACCCGAAGATGAACAACCACAGTTTTTATGGCTCAGACGGAATACGATTCATTTAATATTGTAGAACAAGTAGGCATTTATTCCCTATTTCCGTCGTAGGATTTTTGGGAGAAATGCAGGCAAGATGTTGAAGTGGATTTTTGCTTTGCGCTCTAATACACGCGAAAGGTCGTGGGAAGGAAAGTGGAAGTGCTTCTGGGACCACGTCATCCACGTTAACAATAAAGTCAGGACCCGGAGTAGGAGTAGTTCCATCAGCTCCTGGAGCAGCAGGTGGTGCTACTATCGATCAGACAACAGGTTCGGGTGACGCAGCAGACGAAAGCAAAGGAATGGAGGAAAAGGAATTGTCACCTGGGAAGGCCGTTGCAGTACCGGCATTTGTGGGTGAGTATGAACCCGTTGAAGACGTTGCGGCATTGTTTGCGCAGATGCGAGGTGCAAGGACACAGCCAAAAGCAAAGTCGCTCCGAGTTCAGCCTTCTGCTGATAGCATGCACGCAAAGCGAGAGAAATACAATTTATGGGGCTAGAAGTATTAGTATAACCAACTTCTGGCAATTGAGGAATGAAGATACGCACTTAAATCATACCATAATTGAAGCTTAGTCTGAATGATCAACAACAACTTACTACATGTCTGGCAAGCGCAAGGGCAAGATCAAGAAGCAGCCTTTCATCAGGAGGCTCTAAGTCCTTTTCTCGGCGCCAACAAGGTTTCCACTGTGGTGCCATCGAAAGCGTCCTCGGCTGCCTCCTCCGCGGCTTCGTCAAAGGACAAAGCTGGCACCGAAATGGACGCCGGCTTGGACTTCTATAATTAAGGCTTGAGGAAATCCATCTTCCCCAACATCTTGCTCCCGTTTTGAGGGGAAATCGAGCATCAAGATGCTCACAAAGATTGACTTTCTACAGGCTCTAATGTAAGGACGTGAAGATCTACTACGTCCCGCCCGGCCGCGAGCTCGACGACGTCCCATGGTGGCTTGTGGGCGTGGCGCCAAAGAAGAAAAAAGCATCTTCCAGGGAAGATGTAGCGAAGGAATTAGAGCGCAAGAAGAAAAAGGAAGAGAACAGACTCGCAAGAATACAATTCTGGGAAGATCGAAAAAGGGCTGAGCAGGTATAAAAAAGATAGCTCACATTTACAGTTGCGATGTTTTTGTTGTCTTTTTGGAAGTTCACTTTGTCAGAAAGCTGATGTTGTACTTACAGTTCTTGACGGTTCTCATTCTCAACAAGAACCTCGTCAACCTCCTGTAATCTTATATCGTTTCCATCATTTTGAAAAATTATACCTCTCAATCTTATTCTTTCCATCATCCTGAAAAAATAAGGAACAAAAAGAGCGGTACTTGGAAAAGCAAGCTGAGTTGCAAGCTCTTCAGTATGTGGAGTACAAGTGGAGCCAGATGGGCAAAAGGCAGCCGAAAGACAATTAAGGCTTCCTCCAATCCATTTCTACTATAGCCATCCCTCAAGCATGATATGCACCCCAATGCAAGGGGAATGCTCAGGCATATCCTTGCTGGATTTCCACAGGGATGAATTGGGGAGAGGTCTAAGACAACCCATACGACACTGCAGTGAGCAAATTCCACGACCAACTACCTCTACACCTGGAACTGGAGGAATTGAAAACCAGACCTCTTAGAGAAGTTATGGCACTGGCGCCTATTCACTGTTGTAAGTACGTAAGTAAGTAACTAATTAACTACTCCACTAACGAAGTGACTAACTAGCTTGCTGGCGCAGACTTATCATTGCGACTTTTCGCGACGATTCCTCACACTTACTCTGTACTGTGATATCATTTTCCTGTCACTCTTTAGAAAAACTAAAAATATATTATAATGCGCTTTCTTAAGAGTGAATCTGAGACTTTTTTCCTCGCCCTACCTTTCTAACAAAAGCAAATCCATGTCTCCGATACGACATGAGATTTTGAAGCGGAGTGGCGCGAGTCCGGAGCTATTGGCGAGCGGTCGCGGAAGACAGATAACGGCTACCGAAATGCAGGAACTGCTTCTTTTGCATCAGGGCAGAGACGCCTCGCTCGCGGAAATCAAGCATGTGGGACGCGCACCCAAGGAGCAGGAACAGGACGAGGACTCAGAAATGCCATCGCCCTAGAAGATGGCGGAGAAATTGATGCTCTATACTTCGTTTTAGTAGTAGAGGTGTTTTACAATACGGCTAGAAAAAAGATTCTGTAGTTGTTCCTTGTCCCGGAGAAGTCTGCTTGTTCGGGTGCTGTTTTAGAAGCCTTCAAGGGGGGGGGTTGGCTTCTTCATAGCCTGTGCTTTTTTGGAAAACAAGTAACTTTGACTAAACTTAATGCTGTAGTTGTTCCTGTAGAGCGTCCATATTCATAGGCAAATACAAAATCAACACGCATGATTTCTGACATTGATATGATCATGGATTCAAGAAAGTTAAGAATCATCATGACAAATTTTTGATAACTGTCGTGTACCTGAAAAATGTGCATTACCTACTAGGCTCACGATCGCTAGCAGCTTCAGCCATTTCACTGGGAGCGTGGTGGTGGCATCTGCTGATTATTCGAAAGAAAAAGGAAAACTACTTATACCATAGCTAATTATAACTAAAACATCTAGATGAAGTACCTGAAATTGATGATCTTTGTAGCTTTCGCGTATTCCATCATCACCATTATAGCTTTGTTACATACTAATGCGATGTCAATATCATGAACAAGAGATAACGGGGAGTATTGACCACGTGCCACGAAGACACTGACACGAAAATAGAAAATACTATTTATGCACCTGCTTACCTAAACGAGCCGAAGAAGGTAGAAGTTACTAAATTTTGCTGACTGAATTTTCGTATTCCTTTCCATTTCTTCGCCATCTGATCATAAATGAGTTTATCAAACCTACAATGACTTGTCATAACAAAATTAAATCGATGAAATTAAATCCGAATTATCACTTATAACCACCTTTGCTACAACGGTTGTTAGTTGTAGCAACACAAGTCAGTGGTTAGTTGTTAGTTGTAGATGGTGGTGCGCAGCTAATGCACGAATATGCTAAGGTACTTCAACTTCTAGTCATACCTTCCTAAATCATGTCGGGCTAACATAAAGGTAAACATGCTTCATCGCCTAAATACATAGTTGCAATCTTGCAAGGCCGAGCCCGGGAGTGTCATATACAATTCGTAGCTCTAAAGAGCGCAGGTTCCATTTCTCGAATACGAATAGTCCTACAAGATGACGAGCAAGGAGAAACGTGCTTTTCTTGTGCTATCATGTAATCACCGAGCCCAAGATGCTGGGACAGCGTAGCCGTGCTATGCATCCTCGTGAATAATCGAATCCTGGTCACCCTTGTTAAACACAGCGACAGCCCTAGAAGTTTTGTGCTTCCTTGACGAACTACACGAACACTTACTTACACTTATTCACTCTCTTTGATCTTGAAGATGTGGCCATACCAAGAAATGGAATTCAAAAATCGACTTTACAAGGTGGATGTGGAGAAAGTGTTTTAGATGGTCCTCCGGACATTAGTTAACTTCCATTCTTGGGTAGAGTTTCTCAGGTTGCGTCTTGCGTCTTCTTATCTGAGTTCGCAGTGCATCGCATAGTCTAGGGGCTGGTATGCTAGCCAGTGATAGACTTCATGGAATGGAATCCTCCGGATTAACAAAGTAGCCCGTCCGAAGACGGAGTACCTTGGTCGATGATCCATGATCAGCACTGGTTCGAGTTCGCCTGGATCTGCTAAGAAAGAGTACTGCAAAGAAAGAGTACAGGTTTTCCCTGTGGACAGCAATCCTCAGGGAACTGAAGTTAGCGGACTGGGCTCTGAAGAAAGTCAACATTTTTGTGTGACCACAACGAGCTTCTTGTTTTCTCGGAAGGATTTGAACCTCCAGGAGATGAAATTACATGCTTCTTGAAGAAGTATCTCCACTATCACTTTATTGCAACTAGATCATGATGATTGCAGTCGTAGTCTAGTCATTTTTGTGATATTTTTATACCGCAATAATTACTGCTTCTGATGGTTCTACTTCTACACATCAACATTGACAATGATGTCCCATGTACTTATCATCTGGTCGTGACAACATATAAATTCATCAAATGTTCAATGCCACGAGCACGACGACTTTTTGTTTTTCTGCCAACAAAGTATTAGTTCTAGTTGCAAAAGATGATCATGAAGGGCTCATCTGACTTTATCATGGAAATAGAAAATGAGGATGAAGAGCAGCAGCAGGACTTGTTGTTAGTCGGTGACACTTGGACAGACCTGGGTGTGCTGCGCTCGTTGAAGGAAGCAGTCCGCGAATTGATCGCAGAACAAGCGATCACAAGGCAAGAAGCCTTCGATATCGTTAAAGAAGCGAGTTCCGCTGCCCGGAGTGAAATCCGAAGAATTGCAGGATCTTACGCGGATCATAGTTGTCATGAACAGGTACAAGTAGGCTCCCATGTATGGCTCTGGTATTTTTGGTATAGCCTGAATTTGATCCTAAGGGTTCTCTTCTTGTTTTCCCTTATGATCCAATTCAGGCTATACCAAAAATACCGGACCCATTCATCCCATGCACAAGCGGGGGATTCACGACAACCGCATCAGGGTGATTCGACGAGGATACGAGGGGAAGAAATGCAAGCACAAAGTTAAGGCAACGAACTGCTAATTGTTCAAGCTAATCCATCTCGTCTTGCAAACTTTCTCACGTGGGGATCAGGATCCCTATAATCTCAAGTAGAAAGACTAGCTGCTCTAACCAAGAGGATCAAGTACAACAGGAAACAAGCCGCACCTGGAAGCGCCGTTGGAAAGCTACAGCATAGGTGAGTCGGGAGCTCAATTTCGCACGACAGAGCATGTCATGAAGATTCCGTCGACATCTCTGGATACCAGAGCTGGCCAAAAATTACCTCCTTTTCGCATGCACTTGTATGTGAATCATTGACCTGAATAAAGACTTCTATTTTTTTTCCGGTCAATCATTTACATATAGTCAGGGGATAGCGATCCACATGCTGCCATGACAAGGTTTGCCCTATTATTTTTGATCAATCTATTTTTCCCTGACCTCCCTCTCGCTCTCTTTTCTGAAGAAAATGAAACAAAGCCAGCAAGTTGAATGCGGTGAGTGTTCTTCTACCCTGCTTCGCTTGCGCTTCTATTATGTGAAGATCGACGGCATTCCCGATTCTTCTAGTAGAATGTGACGTAGGTGGTCGTGGTGCACCTCAAGGAGATGATGGATGACAAGTATTGAGTCATTCATCTGTGGGTTCTCGTTTTTCTTGACTGAACGGACTAGAAGAAAATCTTGATACAACAGCCTCTAACACTAAAAGAAAAACGTTGAATCTCTAGGATGCGCCCATTCTTTCTTTATCTACTCATAAATATGTTTCTCTATGGAAAATGTGCAGAAACAACTCTCCTAGCCTTGTAATATTTCTATTCAATACATTCTCCCGACGCCGCGCGAAGCACTGAATTCCTGAGAGTGCGGTCGGTGTCTATTGAAAAAATTGAATCAACATTCATATTACATGATTTGATATACGGTATTAGTATTGAAATTTGAGTTTCAACATCGTGAAGAAGGTGAACAAGGTGTCGAGGATGTGCGATTATGCCGTCATTAGAGAAGCTACACACGCCCTTGAGTGGGGACATCAATCTTCAACCAATCAAGAAGATTTGGTTGCAGTTGCAGATTAAACTCTTTCGGAATAGAGTAGCCTCTTTCGTTCCTGTTGTTGAGGGCGAAGTACGGACAGGAGGAGAGAGGTCAGAGTACGAATGTGAACGAAAGGAGCACTCCTGGAAAATATGGATCTCTCTTGACATGGACTTGCCTTGGGTGGCCTAGAAGTCGCGCTTTGGCCCATGGTTGCAAGACGTCATGTCTACGTATTTCGAAAATCCAGGATGTTAGAGAAGTAGAAAGGTCGTGGATAGAGGAAGCCTTCTACTGGTTCAGTACTGTCGTGAAGAAAACAATCATCGTCTAGTATCTATTATACTAGGCGTCGGCCGTTGTAAAAAAACAATCATCCGGGGGTTCAGCACTGAGAATAGAAAAGGCCGTTGTATGAAAGGCCTCCAGTATAGTCATCATCAGAAGTACCGATCTGATGTGAATAAAGATCTCTGGCCTGAAACTGAAACAGCTACAGGGTTGTACCATCAACTACGAGCATGCTGAACGCATTCATGCAGTACGCACCAACACCAGACCACAAGACAGCTGCTTTCTCACTGAAGATAGTGACACATCAAAGCTTGGCAGTGAAGACTAGAGATTTGTTCTGCAGGTGAGGCAAAATCTACATGGTTAGCGTTAGGTTCCACATATCTTAGCAGAATTCGATCGGTTCTTTGTAATATGGGCTTTCTGTTTCAACTTGCTAGAGACTAGAATGAAGAACTCACGTCTAGCTTGTGGCTCATATGACTACAGTGGCTCTTTCAAGCTGATAATGCAGGATGTTAGATAGCTTCACTCAAGATTTGGCAGCAAAGTGGGCCCCAAGGTTATAAATTTGATTGCTCGGAGATAAAAAACCACTTTTTCGAGGATTCGCGTCGAATAAATTTCCAAGCTCAAACATTGACATCCAAAGTTTGAGCGTTTTGAGAAGAGTTAGTTTGTCATTTCCTCATTCTCTTTTAATCACCAGAAGTCAGCAAATGGACGCTATCTCCATGTCATTATATAACTCCACGATCTCCAAACTATAGGAGCAGCAGTGGATTCTTTATAAAGTTCTGGATAGTGTGAAGGTTGAGACTTTTTGTGCGCGCTTGTTACAACTTTGTAGAGTTAAAACATCCGACCTAGAATGAAGAACTCACATTAATCTAGTAGACGCCAGCATGTCTTCCATTATACACACGACTGTTTGAGTCGAATGACTATGGAGGTGGCTCTTTCAAGCTGACACTTCGTGCAAGATAGCTCCCCTTTAGATTTGACAGCAAAACGGACCGTCGGGTTTTAAATTTAATTGTTAGACAATAAAAAACCATTTTTTCGAGGATTCGCCTCGAAATTGCCAAAACCAAGAACTGTAGATGGAGTGCAAAACTGGAAGATTTCCAAACCATCTTGTCATTCTGAGCATCATCGTTCTTCCAATTAGTCCCTATTGTCAATTCAACAACGAACAAGAGGAGAAAAGAACATGCAATAATTAAATCATCTTCTATACCCCAAGAATGGGCACACTACTACTACTACTACTAACAAGGACTGCAGTTGTATAAGTAATCAAGAACTGAAATACAGCTTGTCCTCGCTGATAAAAGCAGAGGACATTAGTTGAGGATCTAAATACGGACGAGACAAAGGACGATGACAACGCGCCTTTTTAGGTGATGTGAATCTCTGCCTCCAGAAACTGTAGTAGAGAGGTTCTCAAAAGAGCCTCTGGAGATCTTCCGAGTCTTAGAGTGTGTGTGGGACGAGAAAATAACGAGAGACGAGTGCTGTCGACAAAATCGTATTGCTGATGTGTCGTTTCCCATGAAGCATGTTAATGTTGAAGGTTACTATTTGTTATCATTAATTATTTTCTACTCTATCTCCACCATTATAAAGATACTAGACTGTATTTTGTGGTAGTTCGTTCTTCGTTATGTAGTAATGTGAACGATTCATCGTTTTTTCGTTACATCAAACGAAGAAGAACCGTCGGCAAGCAATCTTCTGTCAAAACGCGTCGTTTCTGTAAGAAATTCTTGAGCGATGATAAATCGTGCGAGTTTTTAGTAAATGAACGAGAAGGAGATGAACAAGTAATACTAATATAGATTGAAAAATCAAGCATCATGAACCATCGACCTCTACAACTTCCTTACATCTCCTTGTTATTAACAACTTACTACAACCCTGGTTTCATTCATATTAAGAGAAGAAGAAAAAGAAGAAAATTTCCCTCCTTCATGATCATCCAACAAAGAAAAATAGACGCAACAAGTGCTGCTCTTCACAAACTTAACTAGTCTACAACGATCACAGACAATAAGGAAACACAGCCTTAAGTAGTCTACAACGATCTGTAAGCCACTCCCACAAATCCAAACAAAAAAAATGTTGTCGACAGTCTTCAAAGTCTGCGCGTTGGCCGCTCTCGTCGACGCTCGCCAGAAGTTTTCTCCGCGTCAGACCGCGTTCACCCAGACTGCGGAATTCCTCGCGGCCGCGGATGAAAAGGGAGACTGCACAAAGGCGGACGAATTCGAGGCGGCCTGCTATGAGGGGGCCAAAGATGATGCAGAGAAAAAAGCCATTTCTGATAAGGCACCAAAAGGAAAAGTGATCGCGAAGGGAGCAAAGAAGGAAGACGTCAAGGCCGCATGCTGTCCCCCGGCCAAGTCCGACGGTGGAAGCTGTGGCAGCTCCTGCCGCTAAGAATCTTGATGCTTCATGTTTGGAGAAGAACAAAATGAATTCAGGCACTTCTTCTATAATTTGAAATTTTCTTTTTCCTGAGGACGACGTAAATGATATGATGTTGCTCACTCAACATGAGGAAACTGCAAATCGTAGCTTCCTCCCAATAGATAGTCCAAAGTTGACCATAATCACAAACTGATTGATGTCATTGATCATGAGTAGAGAATTGATGGATCATGAGGATATTAATGCTCAATCACATGCAATCACTACATTTCTTTCTCTTCTTCCATTGCCTCTTAGGTGCTTTTGATACGACGCAGTAAAAGGGGTGAAGATGCTGGATCAACGCTCAACTATGACGACGAGGAGAGACGCATGAAGATAATCTACAGGTAGGTACTTATACTTCTTATTCTATGCATGTGAATTAATAATATTGTTGATGACCACGTACTTACTTCTTATTCTATGCATGTGAATTAATAATATTGTTGATGACCACGTACAGATGAACGTAGGTTTCGGGAAATGAAAAAAAGATACTTGTTCCTGCAAAAACTACAGGTGGAAGCAGACTGACGGTTGTTTTTCGTTTCGTCGAGGAAGAAGATTCGTGGACGATGTTAGTAGCACATTCATGATGCACAGGATGAGAAGACTGGGAGCAGACCTTCTTGTAGTTGTGGCACTAGCGAGAACATTTTCCTCGAAGAGAAAGAAACTACACACAATACAGTCTATTCTAAGTAACTGCATAGCCTTGCATAGCCTCATTTGATGTTATTTCTTAGAAATCATAGCAGGTAATGCTCTTGTCAACATCGTCGACAAGGGTTGTAGTACGTACAACTACTAGAAGAAAACAGGGGAGAAATAGCACATTCACAAAAAGCATCAACATCTCTTGTACCTGTCATATCATCAGCAAATGCGCGATCAAAAATTCTGACGTATGATCATGACCAACGACGTAATTAACTTGAAGAATCTACATCTACATTATAACTATAGTCCAACTCCAACCTTCAACATCATTATTTTCAATTGCATACACTTCCATTTTGACATGCCCGCCCCAATTATAAAGCCAGTCGATTTCTCTCCCCTGGGATGACAAAAATGACACTTGAAGATTCTATAACTATTCAGAAGATCATGCAGCTTTTATTCAATTAGAGACGAGGTGGCTGTAAATGTAATCTTATTGCTGCTCTTGTTAGTACACAATATTCATTACATGAACTACAATGACGCGAACAAGGTGAAGGTAATGGCATCCCTGACGGGATCGAGGCCCTTAAACTTGAACTTGTTACTACACGAACTACAACGCGAATGGGATCCATCAATCTGTCCGTGCCTGTGGGTTATCCTGGTCAGGACGAAGATGAATTTTTCAAACTTTGTAGTCATTTTTGTAGTCACAGCCACCCGTTGAACATCAGCTCTTCTTCTAGTCTACTTCTTATACCTAGTGATTTCTCCTAGTGATTATAATACAAATACAACTGTTGTATGAATATTATCATTATTGTAATACAAAGACAACTGTTGTATGAATATTATCAATAACTGGTAGTAGTATACATACATAGATATAGAAGTACTTTTGTAGATTCTTGTTCGAACGGTCGTGGTCCAAGTAGTGGTGGTACTCTTACTCATCTACCTCTGCTACGACATCCACGCTGACGCATTGTTCGCTCGGCTCTTGATTAGTCAAGATACTGTATGCAAGCAGGAAGCGGATTCGTCATCATTCAGAAGCAGCAGGGAAGGAACTTCTGGTTGAGACCACGCAACATACACGAACTGTCTCAGATATTAGCAGGAAGCAAGTAGTTAACGCACAAAACGACGAAAGGGCGTGGATTCGTCCTCACTCGTGTAGGCGCGACTGCTGTGACACGGCCGCGAGAGCCTAGACGAGAGCCGCCGTCGCCCACTGAAATGAAATGAAAAAATCTAGTCCCATCTTCGAGGACGTCCTACAGTTGACGCTTAAGAATGACTGCACTGACGCCTGGGTTGAGCCTAGGAGCTAAGGATAGAGAGAACGACAACGAGTAGAGTGACTGGAACGAGAAATTATCCTTGTGCGAAGAAGTACAACCTTTATTTTTGCTCATGCTACACGTAGCGCAGCAAAAATCCGTCGGAAACCGTTCCAACAAGATGTAAAAAGCATTCTGAAGAACAACCAGAAGGAGGAAGTTTCGTCAAAGATATGATAAGCAGTAGTGAATCGAATGCGAGACCAGCACGTTCTGATCATCAAAATATCAGCCGATCGGTTTCTCATCAACGTCAACAAGAACAAGTGAGAGAGATAATGAACCACTAATGATCTACTGTCGTGTACGCACATTGATACAAGCTACACTCAACAACCAAGAAGAACATCAGAAGTTTAAATATTTTTATACACGCACACCGGCAAGTATATAGGGTCTGTCTGTGTCTGAAAAGTACTAGCAGAGACAGTTTAGCAGCGAAGAAAAAGAATGCGAAATCGAGAAGCTTTCTTGCGTTCTACTTTCACACTATGATGCGTGCTGCAGAAGCAGATACAACTCAGAAAAATTGATATTTTTAATGTGATCATTGCAGCTGCAAGAAGACCAAGGAGATAATATAAGTATTTGAATCCACCAAACAAATGGTGTTGATAGAGTTAGAGTCAAGGTGGAATAGTATTTTTAAGCCTAATAACAAGGGCAAGAACCAACAAAAACCAGGGTCCATTTCATGAATGTGAGTCCGTAGATGAAGATGACCGGCGACGAAGCGTGCTGATGATGTTACTCTCATCCTTAGTTTCGTCCAACGACGACAAATAGACAAGGAGGAACAATAGTAGTCGTCGTCCTCATAGCTCATCCTAGTATTTTTACAGAACTTCAAAGGAACAAAAACTATAACATATTATTTTGAATAGAAGAGGATGGAAACATTCTGGCACAACTTATCTCACGCTACTTAACCCGATACTTATTACTTACATCAAGAGGCCAGAAGAAGTTGTAGAAGCAGAAAATGACTAGTAATAGTATGATATCGTCGGCGGCGCAGCTGCAGCAACTTCCGCAGGTTCTGTGGCCTCAGGAGGCAGCGTACTATCAGCAATGTTGGCTCCGCGCAGTGCCCGACGGTGCTCCGCGACTAGCAGGAAAGGCCGCGTTCGATTTCTTGTCCCGATCGCAGCTGGCCAAAGGTATTTTGAAAGAGATCTGGACGCTGAGCGACTGGGAGCAGCAGCACTCCCTAGGCTTCCTAGAATTTGTGGTTGCGTGTCGGCTCATTTTCCAGGCACAGATGTTCATGGAGAGAAGCGGTCACTCAAATGATGCACCAGCTACACCTCCGCAACTGTCCGTGCCGCAGGTTTTTCAGCGCAGCGCCAATGTCGTACAACTTCCTCGGTTCGAAGGCATCCCTCACGTCGTTCCAGGCGCACAGCTGCAGCAGCAGGGTGGAAGTGCTGCCTTTGGCGGGACGCAGCAGCAAATGCAAATGCAGCAGCAGCATACGCAGCAACAGCATATGCAGCAACAGCATATGCAGCAACAGCAAACGCAGCAACACCATATGCAGCAACAGCAGACGCAGCAACAGCAAATGCAGCATATGCAAATGCAGCAGCAGCATATGCAACAGCATATGCAAATAATGCAGCAGCAGCAAATGCAATCGCATATGCAGCAGAACATGCAGGGGGCGGCTCCCTCTGTACAACTACAGCAGTCTACATTCCAACAGGCGTCAGGAGGATTTCCAGCGAACGCTAACAACATGAACATTACCCATGGCGCAGCTGGTCCTGTAGGCTTCAATACTAGTCCTGTCCCGGCCTCTAGCACTACGTTTACCCCGGTCAATGCTGGAGCCGGTTTCGCAGGACTCAGCGCCACAAGCACAAGTGTTGCCGGTGCAGGTGCGTCGCACTTGGTGGATATAAATGGAGCTGGGGCTACAAATTTTGCAGGAGTTGTACATCAGGCAGGAGCGAGCTCCTCACCATCACCACATGAGGGAACCGTCTACTTTGCGTCTCCTAGTGGGGCCCAAGAAGACGATGAATGGGGCGACTTTGGAGAGGAAAATGTCGTGGCCACTGGCCAGCTCGTTGAAGTCAAGACCGGCGCTGCTGTTTGGGACGCCTTCGCGGACCTGCAACCCCAGGATTCCGCCACAGCACCTCCGAAACAACCTCCGACAACGCCTTTGAATAACTACACGGCTCAAAGTCAATCTGCAGGACTTGGAGGTGCACCAGCAAATGCTCCGCAGCAGTCATCCTCCTTGTGCGCGCCCTCGGCGGTAACAAGTAGTGGAGTATCCACCATGCTTGGGACTTCTCATCCAGGACCGCCTGCCTTGGGAGCAAGTGCCCAGTTTCCATCTATGCCCCAGATGAACAGTATCATGTCGGCAGACGCGGCAGTAGATGTCACTCGACCTCTCTCCTCCAGCAACGCAGGACTCCAGCAAGCATACGACCTGGGCCAACCTCAGAAGATCGACCACTCTCAGGCGAACACCGTTAGCGCAGGCGTCACAGGCGTTAGCACACACGCACAATCACACCTCCTAACACGCCACCAGCTTCCGAACATGATATCTTCAGCTAGTTCAGCCGGTCTCGCTTCCCCGACGTCGGCATCCGCGCATGACGACCCTTTCGCAGAGATTGCACCTCGTGCGACACCTGCAAAACATGATGGCACCCCTGGGGGAAGAAATCATGATATTACGGGAACAATTATGTCGATGTCCAAACTGGCCACCGCGACAACCCCGATTGGCGTCGAGACGAATGTAGTTGCTAGTACAAATATTTCACGAGAAGGCGACGGCTTTGGCGATTTCACTGCCATGGGCCCTTCGTCTTCTAGCCTACCATCCGTTAACGCTACTTCTGCTGCTCAGTCAAGAATGTTTGAAGATAGCGCCAGTTCGTCAGGACCAGAAGGTAAACAACCTACCTCATCTAGCTTCCACATGAACATGATGAACTCTCCAACAGGAGGAGGCCTTGATCAAACTAGTACTGCATTTCAAACAGCTTCGACTGGAGGAGGTGATGTGGACCTATTCGGGGATATGAACACAGGACCAGGAGCTGGAGTTCAAACTCTGGCAACATCAAAGCAACCTGTGCAGACTACAGGAGTTGTTGTAGAGAGTGCTTTTACAGCAGAAGATGACGATGGCTTTGGGGATTTTTCTGGTGGTGGTGCTGCAACATCAGCTTTTAGCACTTCATCCGGAACAGTCGGCTTTTCAAGTACCGCAGCTGCAGGCCTGATGAATGCAGGGTCCTCAGAAGCGTTTCCTGCGACGCTGAATGACGAAGACGACGGCTGGGGGAGCTTCGGAGCAACAAATGGATTCGCAGAAACGTCAAACGACGGGCTCGGAACCGGTGTAGCAACCTCAAATTTTCAGACAGGAGCCTCCTTCCCCGATCAAAATGTAGGAAAAATGATTGCCTCCGCGGGGTTCGAACATCCAAATGCTACCCCCGGACCGCCTGCCACTGATTTCGGCACACCTGCTGCACCATGTGGCAATAAATTCAGTGCCCTGGACTCACTCATGGACGGCTTGGCGTCCTCAACGCTAAAATCAGACGCAAAAAAAACATCTCCCAGCAGCTCTAGTCCTGCTCCACTAGGAGCAGTAGTCGTTTCACCCCAGAAATCTTCACCGCAAGTAGATGCCACAACTACTTTTCAACCTCCTCAAGGTGGTCCTTCAGCTACAGGCACCATTGAGGAGCCAGCCCTTCTCATGGGAGAGCCAGCAGTTCCGAAGGTAGAGAAAACATCCACCCTCCTCGGACAGATGCTGAATGTGAAGACGCACAGCAGTATGGAGGATCGCGTTGCAGACTTGTTGCAGGATCTCGCTGCCGCCAAGAAATTTGAGCCAAATCTGCGCTTCGCAGAAGAACTAAGAGCGATTCTTGCGCAACATGCAGACAAGTCGTCTGATCTTTTGTCTTTAAGGATATTTTGATTCTCGTGTAATTCTGCTTTTACTTTTATGTAGGTGTAGGTACTAGTACTACATACTAGTGCGTAAGAAAATAGAAGTATCCCTATCAATATGTCAACGCTTTTCTTGAGAAATCGAACAAATGCAGGCATCAAAACTGACTCGTCTAGAGCCGAGCGCCAGGATGTTGCAAATTTCTTGTATGTTTTGGTAGAACTAGGAGAAGAAAGATAGGTTAGGTTATCATGTTGGATCCTCCTGCACATCTATCTCTCCTATGTCGTGAGATTTAGTTCTATCTCTAATATGTCAAAATGCGCTGTTGGCTGTGGCCCCGTTGTGCGATCGGTATGAGAAGGTCGTGGAGGAGGGCCCATCGTCTATGGTGGATGGAGAAGAGGAGGACTGCGAGGCCATTCGTGCGAGCCTGCCTAAGTCCTATCGCGCGGGCTTTGACGTCGCTTTTCCGAAAGATGAAACCGCGCGAAGCGCTTCTTCAAGTCTGCAACGGCAGCTTAGCGATATGATATCCCCAGAATCAGTGCTGAGAAAACAGCTGCTTGCAGAAGGAGGGAAGCACATCGAGGAGTTGATAGAAACGAGGCTGCGTCCTGCTATGATACGGCAAAGGGCGGCCTTGACGTGGAAACGCTGCGCGGCTGTCCTACCAGCGGGGCCCCCCGATCGTCAGCGAGTCGAAAAAGCTTTGCAAAGCATGGCAACTTTACTGGAAACGCGCGTGTTGCCCTCTCTGGAGAACCAAGAAGAACTTCGGCGCGTCCTACACGCTATGGAGTCTCGAGCTTCAGGTACTTATACTAGCTCATCATACCTTCAGGTACTTATACTGGTCCACATTGACGGTGACGGTATTTGGCAGTCTTAAAGCGTTATTTTAGCAAAACAGACAGCTGAAAGCTTCACAACAATCCCAACAAGATCGTTATAAATCAATGCCTTACACTCTTTGGCTTTAAAGTTATTTTAGCAAAACGTTAAAAGTTGATTCCTAAGGAGTCAATTTTTAACGTTTTGCTAAAATAACGTTTTAAGACTGCCAAATACCGTCACCGTCACGGTGGACGATTTAACTATTTAGTTCTTGCAACAACTCTTACTTCGCTTAATTATCTTTGACAAGCTCAAGCTGAAATTATGTGAAAATGAAATTGATTTTTTATAATTTCGCCAATTTTCTATAAATTGCTCTTGTTTACAACAGGCACCAGTGCGGGCAAGAATGTGGACCCGACGCATCGTTTGCAAGTGGCGCGCGTGGCTTCGTTCCTTCGAGGTGTTCTAGAGTTTCCAAGATTAGTGTGGCGTTTGCAGTTCTTTGAACGAGTGCAGAAAAAGCGAATTCGAGACTCCTTGGCGAGACTTGCAGCTTTCTTGGCGCAGGAGGCTGAGACGGTTGATCGCTTTTTAGACTTCGCTGCAACGCAAATGATTTGTAGTGGAGCAGGAGGGCTCCCCGCTCACAGTGGTCATCAAGGAACTCGGAGTCACGAGGCACTTACGATACTGAAAGAAGCGTTGATGCTGGGACGTGAAAACATTGATCAACATGAGCCGGAGGACGATTTGCCGTGGATAAGGAAGATGGCGAGAGCATCAAAAGAGCTGGAAACTTGTTTGTTCGAGCTGACTTCGGGTTCAGCCCAGGTTTGTCACGTGAGCGGCTTGGCTTGCGAGGTGGGCCTATTCGGAGAGACGAACCCGGCAAAGACCGCAGTAGTTGCGGAGTCTCAGCTTTCCTATGTTCAGTGTCTCAATGCCTGCAAGATGGCGGAGAAAGGCCAAGACGCCATTCAGGTTTTCTAACGGGATAAAGCATCACGACCGCGGCTGTAGTTGCTTCTTGATGAGGCTTTGATTTTCTAAAGAAGTTCTTAACCCTAAGTTCTTCAAGACTTTTTCAGCTCGTCAGCATCCCCACGCGTACTATGTTGGTGACGAACTAAAAGAACGGTCGTGGCGCGGTAACTCTACTGTCATTTGTCTAAGTAGTAGATTTGCTGTGAGGGAATTGAAAATACCCTCATGGATCTGTATCTTTTTCGCAGGTGCCAACAGTGCTGTAAGGAGCAGTTTTTGTAGTTCGCTGACGAGTGTTCCGTGTGTTTATCTAGTATGGGTTTCTTTGCTCGTCCTGGTCCTCGAACGAATGTAAAAATACAGACTTGGTGGACCTGTAGGTAATTACAGATCACGACATGTGAGCAATTTACTAGGAGCAGACCTACGTCAAGGTCAGTTGAGCACCACTGTCTATTTATAAAACGAGACGAGACACCAGACTAGATGAAAAGATTTCGGAACCGAGGCGCGCTCTAGAAAAAAGCACAACAATTTCGGTTTCCCCGAATCTGTTTCTGTAGTGGTCGTTTTGTCGGTGTGGAAAAATGGTTGTTGGAGAAGATGTGTCGTCTCATCAATCGATCCGTCTCAACAATCGGACCAATCGATGGCCACACCCTTAATATCCTCAACATGCTGCCCTTTCGCCCCGCCAATGTCCACCCCCGCGGCCTCTCAAATTTCATGATTTGTCGTTCAATAGAATTCGAACTCTTTGTAGTACGTAGCAGCACTACGTTTCTATGATGTTTGTCTTTGTGATTACCCCATTTTCGTATTGAACTTCCGAAGTTGTCAAATTTAATAATCTGATCCTGATATTCTACAGTGTAGGAGTAAAGGACTCTGGAGATGTAGCTGATGTATTGGTGGTCACTGTTCATCCTGATTCTTCGTCTAAAATTATGCACCATCAGATGCAACATACAGTCCAAGGAGCGCGGCTTTACGGCAGGCGCGCCGTACTTACGATCGCCCTAGCCGTGGCGCCGTCCTTTGCGCCTTTCTGGGTGAATGCCAAGAAACAAACTCAAAGTCACGATGTCAGGGTCAGCCCTGATGAAGAGTTCGGCACAGGACAAGAAGACTGTGGCAGTACTTGTGCTACTGGCGCTGGTTCCTGTGGATGCAGTGCAAAGCGCGAAGCTGCTGAACCTCGTCCTCGCCGTTATTCATTTCGCGGCCCCGCTAAACAAAATCGTGGCCACGACTCAGGGAGCGACTTTGGAGTGACTACAACGACGAGAGCAAGTTCTTGCACACCCTCCTCCTCTTGCATATCCTCCACATCATCTTCGCGTTCGCCTTCGTCCTCTTCCTCTTCGTCTTTCCTTCGTCTGGAAGAACAGCAAAGTCAAAGCTGTCGGAGTTGCGGCGCCGCATCTACTCCAAAGACGCAACCAAACGCGCCAGAAGTAGAAGATGTTGCCGACTCGTCGCAGACTAGTACCGCTCGTGATGAACAAGAAGGACCGAGGCCAGGCGGCCACGGCCAGGAGAACGGAAAAACGATTAGCGCTGCGGCCTCAAGTGTATCTGTCGAGGACGACGCAGTTCAGAAACCTTCAGAAGACCCCGCGGCTGCGGGTAGCCATAATTCATTCGAATCAATGACACTGTCTATTGCTAATGTTGAAGCCTAGTTCCACGAACCGATCTTCGCAATGGGTGTCGATGACATGAGTTTTAATCTTGTTACATTTTTAATGTATTGATTGATTCTCCTCACCGTAATACAAACTACCACAGTGGTAAAAAAGCATGTGGCTGAACCGGTTGTAGCATCTTCTGCACAAGACGATGCTCAAGTGGTAAAAACGAATACGAATATGGCTGAACCGGTTGTAGCATCTTCTGCACAAGACGCCGTTACAGCGGGTATGAAGGCAACTCCGGTTGCATCTGAACAAGAAGACAAGTCTCAACGGACGGAGGGCGCAGTCTCGGGCGACTTAGTGCCCGACCAGGTTGCGGGGGACAATACTCTGCTGATACCAGCCCAACAAGGGAAGGTCGGAGCAGATGGAATACCGCAGTTGGAGAGCCCTTTGCCAATAAGCTTGGCCAACGGTAGCCTCTTTTCTTTGTGATGTTTTTACTTTTGCAAAGAAATGGACGGTCCTTTAAGGACATAAAAGAACAACTACTGCTCCACTATTTTTTAGGCTTATTCATTGTATTACGCGCATGATCAAGTAGCTCTAGTGCACTCTTTGCTGGGTGAAAAGGTATACTGATACATAAACATACAGATTGACATTGAGATCGATATAATCTGGATTGATCTCATGTCATCATGAGGAGGAAGATATTTCTAGAACAAGTCTTCAAAGTATCAGTTAAACTACTAGTATATCACCTCAATCGATTCGATCAACATATAAAATATATTTATTTATTAATTCTTGACTTAAATAGATTCATACCATCAAAAAGCGCAGGTGGAGGACGAGCTGCTTCTCCGCAACCGCAGCAGCAACGACAACGAGCTGGCCCGCAACGCGATAACAAGCTTGACGGACTTAGGGAGTGTACTCGCCCGAATATGTCTGCTTATCTTGGTAACGGGCAAATGGGCGATCTGTTCAAACAGCATAGCGATAACTTCAGGCCGGACAACGTAAGTGCCGATAACCCTATCAGAGCGGATACGGGCAAGAGAATCCCGACCCTAGAAGAGCGCGAAGGCGAAGCGGATCGAAGAGTTGCGGTACGGCCGCAACCACGTGTGTTTAATGTCAACGTAAGTGACCGTGAAACAGTGCCTGCATGTATGTGGTTCGAGAAGTTAAGGCTAAATTTTTGTAATTGATTCCACCACCGCCTCTGTGGGATATTTTTCTGGCCTCGTCCTACTCATCAAGGAAATTCAATGATAAGGTAACAGACAACTACGTAGGACGATTCAAAGTCTTTGTTTTCTTCCTTGAAAGAGAAAGAGAGGGAAACTGGACAGATGAGGCTATAATACGGGCTAGAAGAACACCGTCAGAGATGAAATTGAAAAGCAAACGCTATCATGATAGACAGTTTCTTCTAATGAAAGACGATGGGAAGGGAAACCGAAAAGAAAGAGTGCGAGTAGGCAGAAGCGACACAGTCGGCGGACTCTGGACAGAAATGCGTCTCCAGAGGTGGTTCAATCCAGAGGAAGTGGAGTGGAGCGAAAAGGGACCCTGCAGCAGGTCGTTGTCAGTTAAAAACTCAAGTGGCAAAGTCTTAAGGCTGTTATCTCCATTATAACACTCTGAGTCGTGGTCTACTGCACATTGTGCGAGATTCATTATAGTGTACTCATGATCGCGTTTTTTATGGTTTACATCTCTGCGTGTCCTGCTCCGCCTCTATCTAGTTCTAGTATAGACCTTTGAGTTTGAGCTCTTCTAAAGACAACCAGAACGCGACAAGCAGGAAAGTGTGAGTGGCAGAAGGCGCAGCGCCAGGGTTACGATGACACCGGTACGTACGGCGCTGGCGAGTGCCAATACCTAGAGTGTCAGTTTAGCGAGGTGCAGCCGTAGCACCTTTTTCTTGAACTGTCGACGCCTTCGTGTTCATCATGTTGTAGCTACTTATAAATATTTATCAGATGTTCAAAAGCACTAGCACACCAGGGCTAAAAATAACAAGAAACAAGAAACATCAAAAGCTTGATCCGATCATTAAAAATAATGAAGCATACATTTATTTATATTTATCAGATGTTAAAAAATGATACAACAGGTTGAAGTTCTTCTAGAAATTTGGGTTGACGAAGGTGATGTATTAGGCGCATGCTCTTTCATAATTATCTTCATTGATTTTGATCTTCATGATCCTGATATTGATTTACGGAAATCAGAAGAAGATCTTCTCCTTATTTTAGAAAACCGTCTACGTGAACGTGATCCAAGTGAAAAAATCTAAAAGTAGTTCTCCCAGCAAGTAAAAAGTGACTACTTTCAATCAAGAAGAAGTAGCGTCGCATTTATTACAGTCGTCGAGATGAGAAATTCAAAGGCCTTGCAGTTTTCAGTACAACCCTTTGAAGTTTTCAGTACAACGACGGCAGCAGAAAAATTTTCCTGTCACCAGATTTCACGGCGCTTGTCGTGCAGGCATATCAATATCAGCACAGTATGCAGCTCTACTGCAGCAACTGTTCCCATTGTACTTGCGAGAGGAGAGGCGTACTTTAAGAGGGATATCATACATGGAGAGAAGCAGGCCATGGAGAGAAGCAGGCTGCTTGTCTTCTGGATTGAAAATACTAGACAAAGAGGATAGGACCGACTCGGTCCGACCACCACAGCGTGGCGGACGACGAAGACAGGAAGCAAATCTGAAGCACTGTAGTGAGAGTCTTTTTACTACCTCTCCCGTGTAAGCTCGTTTCTAGATCAACAAGAATCGCGCATAACTTTTTTCCTTGCTGGTACGTTCAGGAGGCTCACCTCCACCCAGCACGACGTACTACATCAATTCCATTCCATGAAGTCTACCACTGGCTAGCGTGCCAGCCTCTAGACTATGCAACGCGCTGTGCCCTCGGACAAGAAGACAGCAGCCGCAACGTGAAAAAATCTACGCAAGAATATAACTGAACCAAAGGTCGATGGGCTTATAATCGGGGGTCCAGCCTGAGGCGAAACACTACAAACAAATGTCCTCGTCTGTGTCATCCTTTGCCACCCGTATCGCCTTGCGGCTGTACGTTTAAGGCTATACTTACCACCATCACTGCTTCTATGCGTTATGTATGTACTTGTTGTGGGACGACCAGGACCATCGATATCGAGCTCCACTATTATAATTTATAGTGTAGTACTACTTTACGCAGGTCACCCATCATCCTCAGAGACGAGCAGGTGCCGGCGGGGCTCGTTGTGCAGGATCCATAACCTAACCTAACCACCATCCAGCATGATGGTTCAGCACTTGCTCTAATCTCAGAAAGTCGTCGGCTTGATCCTGGGCGCTGTTGGTCTCTCCCTCGTCCTGCAAGCCACAGGGGTCCTGTTTTCTTCTCACAGCAAGGTATGCAAAACTGGTAACTGCAAGATTGAAGTACTTACGTAATTGCGAAGTACCTACACGACTACTGTAGAGGACAGCGATACTCCCCTTGACTGAGGGGGCCTGCAGCGAAAAACATAAAAATATTGCCGACAGCTGCATTGGTGTCGCTATTTCGTATTATTCAATCTCCATGTCACGGAAATCTAACAGTTGTTGTAGGGGGCGCAGCATCCATATATCAGATATTAGTTTTCAACGCATGATCAATATCCTGTTCTAATCAGGATTTCCGTCCTGCTGATGTTATTTTCGAGCTTGGTCTTGCTCGCAGGAGAGTGCGCAGTGGTATTTCACCTACCGCCGCTTGCGTTTTTGGCGCCTAAAAGTTTAGTGTGGCTGGAGCAAAATATCACCACGAAACTCGGCCGAACACTTGTTATGGCTCCTTGATTCATCTCCTTCTGCATCTTTTTTAAAAGAGGCAACACTAACAATGAATGGCTCCGGTATTCGGTAGCCTATTTCTTGGACTCAAACGAGGACACACTTTTGATGTAAAGTTAAAGCTTCCTGGACTCAAACGAGGAGATGGCTCCTTAAGCTTAATTCATCTCCGTCTTTATTAAATGGCTCACCAATTAAATTATTGACTAGTATAGTCCAAGTTATGGCTCCTTAATTCATCTCCGTCTGTGAGGTTCCTGGACTCAGCGAAAATTCAAATTTCGGGGATCCTCGTATGTACTACATCCTAAAAGGAAATGAGTTTTTGATCTCTTGATCCTCGTGAGCTCTAAGGCAATGTACGGAGTCCTCGGCTTTGCTGGTGTGTTTTGCAACGTCTTCCATTTATGGGCATTCTTTGGATGTTGAATAAATTGGCCTCGTCTTATAGGCGACGAAAGAGGTGGGAGCGCAGCTCGTCAGGAGCAATACTAGACAGAAGCCATTTTTTTGGAATTTTGCTCTTCCCAAGACCAGTCAAAGGGCCGGGCCTGAAACTGAAACTGAAACTGAATAGCGCACATCACATGCATGAATGGGGATTTCTAACCTGACACTTTCACGCATTCTATGTTGGCTGGAGCTGCGCGCTGACCACGTTGGCCGGCGCCATCTACGTTCTCGAGCATGAGGAAGTAGCACCCTCCGAGGAGGAGAAAAGTGCTATTCTATTAAGGCCTCACATCATGAGGATTGAGTAATTCGAAGGTGTCCTCTGCTAGAAGCCTGAACGAGATCCGCTGTAAAAAATAGCACGAGTCTTTACAAGAGGAACTGGATGACGTCTCGGTCCCCCATCATAGTGATGTCGTCCAGTAGAGGGGTGATGATTATGTTCTTCAGGAAATGCAGCGGGGTCATGTCTTATCGGAGGGGCTCTAGTATCACGCTAGTTCTAAGCTTGCCCTCAGCACAGGAGAAAGGAAACGATGGAAACTACGATGGACCCATTGAAGAAGCTCACAGCAGACAAGAAGCAGTGTAGCAAAGTGCAGATGTTGAATACGAGAACTGGTAGTCAGTGCTGGCGCCGCAGTTTAAGTATTTACATCGGTGCTACAACTCGAGGTCGATTAACTGTCACTCGGTGGAAAAGTGCCGACAAGTAGTTACATCGTTGAAGTTGTAGGAGTCGGAGGTCGTTGCGTGCGTGTGTGCCGAGCAGCGACGCACAAGCAGAGGCAAGTTGGGGAAGATCTCAATGCATGTGATGGCTAGCACACATTAGCATCACAGAGCACCAGAGGAAAGCGGGCACAAGGATATGACGCTCGACTTCTTGTGATAATTCGTGTACAGTTTGCATTCAGACCGTAACCAGGGAGTTAGATATGGTTATGATCAGCATGAGAATCTTTATTTTTTCCAGAAAGTCCGCAGCAGTAGCCCGCTCTTCTAGTGTTGTTGTACTGTTATTTGCATCATCATTTTTTCAGTCGCGTCATTACAACTCGTCAGTATTTCTTTGTTTGTTCTCATATTTTTCATACACAGTGTCAGAAACAGGATGCCAATATGATGCCTGAAGGCAAGGCAAGTGTCAGAATCAGCAAGGCAAGGCAACATCCGCGTGTGATGAGAATGACATCCGCTCTGGTTTCAAATTATCCTCCTTTTTTCGATCAATCTCGAAGAACCAAACAATTACTCAATTGCGATCTTCAAGCTCAGTGCTCACAATAGTCCGCCATCTACCTGTCAATGTCACGCTCACAGCCTCTCGATGTCACGCTCACAACCTTTCGATGTCACGCTCACAGTCTCGCGATGTCACGCCCACAACCTCTCGATGTCACGCTCACAGTCTCTCGATGTCATGCTCACTGGATAGCTTTTCCGATGATGTGATACAGACACTCATCCGTCTCCACTACAGCCTTCTTTCTTCTCTCTCGCGAATCTCACTTACAATTACAATTACAAGTTTTTCGAAGAGTTCGACGCACCAGCAGTGGTGGGCGCAGAGAAAGCAAACATTTCACAGACACACAGAGACAGCTCAAGAATGAGATAGGAGGAGAAAACTCAAGTGAACTCTAGGATGCTAAAGCTAACAACTACTCTTTCAATAAATTTCACCCTTCGCTCTGGACAACGCATCGCCGAGCATGATCCACAGTGATCGACACTCACTGGAGATGTTGTACTTGGACCCCAAACACTTGCTGCGCTGCTTCCTCGGCGCCTCCTGTGTGCATGCCTGCTACAGCTTTGCTTCTATTTTTTCAGTCAAGACAACTTGCTATTCGTGAGCAACATCTCGTATTCGGTTTTATATTATGTATTCTGTTTCTGTACGCGAACGCAGTCCCTACTTTGGAGTACTAACGTTTACGTCGTTTCGTGATTGATGAGCAGCATACCTATCAATCTTGGTTTCACTTTGTGAAAACAAAAAAAAACTTGATACATATTTCGTGTGTTGATATAGTCATGATGATAATGATCTGAAAAAAAACTCACTGATAGTGATACGGAATTGCTCTGGCTGTTCTTTTATGTTGTAACTTTCGTGCTCAAGGTATGAAAATTCAAAATCTTGCTCGGAGGTAGAACGGGTATAACAATAACAGTAATTCCTTTTAGTTCCGTATTGAGGACTGCTTGTGCAATGGGTAGTGCCGATAGACGTAGTAAGTTAGTAGATAACCTCTTCCTGTTGTAAGTTGTTACGAGAAAAATGTGAAAGTGAAAAATGATTGCAAGATCCGTCTTTTCTTCGAATTGAAATAAAAGGTAAGATGTTTCTGTTCTTGTTCATCATTCCTGCTTCGTTCCAACTTTTTCCAGTAGTACGCGACGAAAAGTATCTCCAGGCTACTCATCCATGTGAGTCTGCTACTGACACGACGAACGGCGTGTACACTTAAGCAGAAGTAGCAGACTTCTCATCTTCCGCCTCAGTATACAGGCTACCCCTGTGAACGGCGAATAGGTTACCCCTATCCTACCTACGAAAGCAGCGCTGTCCAGCCACTGGCAACCTCGCCCCACTGCCACACTGATGGCCACATGCCCCGCGAGCCAACCTACTCCTACTTTCACTTGGTGTGTGCACGCTTTGAAGACGAGGACGACTATAATTGAAGGAAAGTAAATATTTTTGGCTAAATTGTACTTGTTCCAGTTGTCGTTGTGGTCCCGTTCTTCTTGTCCTGAAGTAAATGAATATATAAAGCACTACAAGCCTGCCTCTTCCTCATAGTACAGCTACGGTAGCAGCAACAACAAATGACTAAAAGTGCGCCACACCTTTTTATCATTATCTCATAGGAGAACATTGATTAGCAGTGGTGGTGGTATAATTACCTGGTGTAGCTATAGGACGGCGGAGCTGCTAGGAGCCAGGCAGATTTGTAGTATAAAAGCAGCATGGTGCTGTAGTTACTCATACAGCAGGTAGCTGATCCTGATTGTCCGTGTCTCCCCTTGTGCGCTTATTTGGTGCACTAGGTCTATACCTTTTGGTACAGACCTACTGGTACCCATTGAGCAAATAAGCTCGTGTACGTAACTAGATACGATAATACTTCCTCGTCGAGGCACGAGCGCACTAGAACAGGGCTGGCAGCAGCTCGCTAGCAAAAACGAAGGAGGCGCCCCCGTCTGAGACGCCCGCCTAGGATGATACAATTGAGGCTTAGAATGAATGCATAGTACGTAAGAGATTTCTTGAACGTGCAGTCACACCGTTTTAACGTTTTGCTACACCCTGCACGTACTAGAGAACTACTCATTGCCTTACTTCGTATTACAAATGGAAATCCGTCCCTTGTATTTGTGGATTCTCTTGTTCCTTTCCTCAACATCCTAAAAAGACCGGGTCAGCTTGATAAATGTTTAGATATTGACGACGAGTTGATCCATGTAAAATTTTAATTAAATAGATACTGAAAAAGTGTAACTTCACACCGAGCGCGTAATGCCGTCGGGGAGGCTCTGTCCTAAGATGACTAACCCGTCGAGGATCAAGTCAGCGGCCATACGCACTCCCTTCTGACGGAACTGAAGCCCGAGGATGAATCTTGAACATCCTACAGTGACAGCAGACAAATTTCAAGAAACAATAACAAGGACAGAACAATTTTTTTTGAAATTAACGCGAACAAACGACTTAGCCAACGACGTCTCAAGGTCGTCAACTTGGATAACTAAGTAGCATAATTATATATAATTAAATACAATCTTTATCTCATCCTCATCCATGAAAGAAACAAACGTCCCGAAATAGTAGTACTTAGACATCATACATATCTCCATAGAACAAGTAAAAGTAATATGCAGAAGGAGTGGTGGAAGTAGTAGCCATTCGTGAACAGGCTAACTCGAAGACGCAGAAGTGAAGTTATAGAGACCTCACTAACAGGCGCAGGAGTTAACCATATTCAAATACTTAAGGTTAAGGACATTGTCCTCCTCCACCATCCGCTACTTCCGTCTACAAAATATGAATGAATCAATTCGAAGTACTCCAAACGAGAACGCCTTCTGTAAGTCGTTCAACCCCAAATAAGACCACCGCTCCCAACCCAGTGATATCAATGATATCTCCCGAAACAGCATCTCCCTTCCACCTCCGCCACATTTCCCTCTCACCTCCACCACTTTTCCCTCTCACCTCCGCCACATTTATTCCCTCTCACCTCCAGACCAACGGCTACCTTCCACCGCAATGATATCTCCTCCCCACCGTCCTGAAGATATCTCCCTCCACCTTCTCACTACTACATCTGTTCATCTTTTAAATTCCGAGAATTAGAGTGCGCCTTTCAGTCGCCACTACTTCAGTAATTCCTAGAAACATCCTCGATAGAAAACCTATCCATGGGCCAAAGACGCTACTTGCTTAGGGATGAGAAATACTGTTACTGATCATCTCAGAAATATACCCGACTCATTATAGAACACACTTCTCTAAATTCTATTAGCTTTGGAGAGAGTGAGTGTTCAGGGTTTATCAATATAGCTTTGGAGAAGTGAGTGTTCTACCTTTCGCTTCTTCTATTGTGCGAGTTTTTCCAAGAATATTTTTCCACGTCTAATGTAAGTTCCGTCCTTAAGAACAAAAGCGGCTCTACTTGAGAACCACTACTCCCGCCATGCGCTTGTAGAACGAGACCGCATTTTAGAAGGGTCCTCTGCTGTCTATCACTATAGTCAGTCTGTTGCGTTTTTGTTACGACATGCTGCTGTACCCTCATCCCCATTTGCTGTTGTCGCTACTAGGCTTATTCTCATTCGTTCTCGTAGTACTTAAGTTAGTATTTTGTAGATCATACATAGTAGCTGTAGCAGGTGCATTGCAGTTCTGCTCCTGTGCTAGCAATTAAATCGGATATGATAAATACACAGTTCTTGAACCACCTAGAGGATGCACAACAGAAAAAAGGACCGTTGTTGCTACACGGTCTCGATTATCTCCCCAGCCAAAGCTTATACAGCGCGACTCGCTTGATCGCTAGTCATGAACGTTCTTACATCTATCACCATGATAGTACTTGCCTTTTTCTATTTCTAGGAGTGATCCTTAAGTATCTGTGCCGAGATCAGGGCAATTCGGAGAGGTCTGTGCCGGGCCGCGGCGCAGCGTGCAGGCTCTCGCTTCACCAGCCAGGTTCGCGCTAGATTAGAAATAGATATAGAAGCAGGAGACGAGTAGAAGGGTAGTGTAATTAGTAATATCTTCTGCTATCTAAATTTATAGCATCATCTCGTCGCGGTAAAGGTAGCGCTAGTGCGTCCTGCGGGGTTTTCTTTTTTACCAGATGAATGACGGTGATGATTGTGTGCAGAACGATAGACGGAAACAGAACGATAAGAATAAACAAGGCGCCCTCACATAAGTCGCAGCGGCAACTAAGAGCAGGCCACGCTGGAAGACGCTGCACGATCATACAACTCTAATACCATTAAAGAAGCCAGAAGGGGCAGCGCTGGAGCATACTGCTGCGACCTAATCGAACGGAGAAGACCGGGACGGAAATGCGCACAGATGAAATGCCTCAGAGCAATCTACGTGCTGAAAGATCGGCACGACACTCGTGGCACGAAGGGCACAGACAAAGAAACGACAGACACAGAGGCAGAGGGTGACAGATTTACAACACAGACGGCGCGGGAGCACAAACACGGTCGGCGTCCCGTCAGGAGGTTAGCTTCATTGCGCGGGAAGGCTGGGCGCTTTTAAGGCACGAAATGAATGGGGCGAAGGTCCGAAATCACTGACAAACATAGCAAGCACCCAACGACGTAGCCCTAGCGACTAACCTGGTGGCAGCGCACCGGCCTGATGCTTCTCATTTTCATGGCTTCGAGGGCATGCCTATACGTAGACCACGGGCTTACACGGGCACCGCCATGCTTTGTGAGCTAATTCGCGCGCGCTGTGCTGTGCTTATCCGTGACTGATTCCACTCGTTTGCGCAACAAGCAAGAAAGCCAAACACGCCGAAGAGAGAGAGAGAGAGGGGGACCTCCCCGATCTGGGGAGGGCGGTCGCCTGGCCGCGACCTGCTGGCGCTTCGGGTGCAGAGGGTTCCCCTCTGGACACCACGCAGCCAGCCCCTGACCTTGAGGCCTTGCCCAGGTGGCGCCCCTTGTGTTTATGCATCACCCAGCCCGCCCGGCTACTCATCAGATGAGCTGACGCCGTCCAGTTGTGGCCAGGGCTGTGAGCCACACGATGGACCGCGTGGGCGCGGTGCCGTCAGCTGCTCAGAGGGCTCCCCTTGGGTCTCATCTCCCCGCACTGTCTGGCCCAGCGCGGTCCCCGTTTGTTTCTCCCCTGGGTGTGAGGCGGCAACCAGCCTGAGGGCCGCCTCCCTGCCAGTCGAGTCCCCTCCAGGATTCGAACCAGAGACCCTCCGGAGCGGAGTGCAAGCACTTGCCCCGTGAGCCAAACACGCCGAACAATGAAAAGGGCCAGAATCTTCAGGGGCAAAGAGAATGGCGCGGGGTCGTTGCGTCATGCATACACTAAGAACTTGGGGAGAGGGGGGGCAAAAAAGTGGAAACGCCATGTGTGGTCTCGAATTGGAAGCGAGTAAGCTTGTTGCTTTGTCAATGCGTTGCCAGTCACGGCCGGCCTTTTTCAGTCGCTTCCAATTATTCAACGAGACCACTCCAAGGCTTCAGCTTTTGTATGGCTCAACCCTCAACAGATCGCCAGCAAACAGCAGCAACCAATTCGGGCAGGGTGGACCTCTCTCACATGCGGCAACATGGGCCAAGACTAGCATAATCAGCACAGCGCTCAACGCGTTACGGACTGAATTTAACAAACAAAAAGAAAAAGACCAGAACGCGAAGCAAAGACTCTCAGCAGACTAGCTACGGCGCAAACCATGCGCACGACCTTCGCATCTTTTGCGATTTCGAAGTCGAACCCCTTCACCAATCCAGTTCCGCTCCAGGCCGACTGCTCTGCAGAACGATAGACGGAGGCACGATCTGGGCGGCCTCTCTCGGGGCAGGAATAAACACAACGAACAGGCAAAACTGCGCACGATTTTCACAACTCGAGACGGCGGCGGTTCTTGCCGTCGCGTTTCTCTCTATCGTCGGGGTCGCTCGGTTTCAGGATAGGAATAAACAACCCCCAAAATGGTGCAGGGTGTTTACTCCTATCGCCGCTCTAAAAGTCTGCATGTACCTATACTAAAGACGTTAGCGGTTTTCGATATTTATCCTGTATACGTTTGAGAATGACTACTAAATTAATATGTAAAGTTTGAGAAGGTCGAAGGACCACTAATCAACCAGCTCTGCAGCTGCAAGAGCAAGCCGGGAGGAGCCATTGCAATAAATACCAAACTACCGCCTCGCTCACGAACTAAGAATAGCGGCCTGTATTTATGGCACTACTTCATCCTTTATCGGTTTCGTCCCTTCGTTGTTCATCAATTACCAACAATTAACAACTTCTTGGCCCCGATAAGTAACTTCTTGCCTCTAACAAGTGCCCGCCCCACGTCGGTACTTAAAACGCCAATATTTATATATAATAATGGAGGCCATAGCTAGAGTCTGTGACCGCGTGCTTTTCGTAGACAAATCCGCCGCATCCTTCGTTTCCTGTCACCACATACTCTGCACACTTCCTCGCGCATTTCCTCATTAGCACAAGATGCAAAACCCGCCCGCATTTCTACTTAAGCATGTTTTATCTTAGTACTTCTCATCTAAATCTATCTAGACATAAACATCATCTACCTAGAAGAAGTCGCGACCCCGGCTCACGGAGTTGCAAAAGTATTCGAAAGCTTAAAATAACCGAGTTAGGGACTGAAATAAGAGAGTCTTGACTTTGACGACATTCCTCTTCTACGTTCAGTATCCCCCCTATTTTCAGCAGTGACACTCTTATTTCAGTTTATCGAATATCTGTCATCTAGAGCTAGTAGTTCCTCCCTGGCTTTTTCTTTCGGCTTCTTGAAAAATCGCCTAAGAAGAGTTGGGTGAGGACGCTGGAACTGAGGCAGATAAATTACTAGAGATGCTGAGGTAGATAAAAAATCACTAGAAATGTTGTTCTTGTTGAGGATTTTTACTAGATATAACAGGTTTGAAATTAGATGGAGTGAGCTCCAGAGGATTTTTACTAGGTGGATATAAGTTGAAGTTAAGTAGATAAACTACTAAGTTAGTACTAAGACTAACCCCTTGTACATGCAGTCGATGTCAACCACCTACTTAGTCGTGTCAAGTCCTGCTCTATTTTCGGTGCGGGTCTCAGGTTCCGTGCGTCGCATTTCTTTGTAGATCGCAGGAGAGCAGATTCTGATATAGTTCTTGGATCCTAGCTTACTTAGAGTATTAGAATATACAATATGCGGTTGTGGCCTTAAGGTCAGATGGTCCAACTCGCTGTCGGCGGGGTCGTAGCGGGTGAATTAGAAAATGAGATACCTTTACCTTATTAATCAATACACGGATTCTCTAACATCTTACTGGCTTCAAAAAACTGCCAACTGCCGAGAATAAGACTGGCTTCAAATAAGGCCTGTGGTCTTGGTCACCCCTTAATTTATAAGAAGCAGTGCTAGTAGTAGCAAGTAGGTACTTGTACTAACTCTAAACAAGCTAGAACAAGTACAAGTCTGATGAAGTCTTTTACAAGACCAAGAATCAATTGCATGAATGAGAATTGCAAGTGTGTCCATCTACGGGATAAACTAAAATAAGCAAGTAACGACCGAGAATAACCGAGATACTGAAGAACATCAAAGAGTAGCCTCTAAACGCTACGTCCCTCATGTCAGTCGCTAACTCTAACTCGGTCATTTCCAGTTTTCGAAGTCATAAATGATGCGGTTCAAGGTGGCATTTCCTCCTGGCTGGTAGTCTTCGTCGTCGTCCTGTCCGCAATTTTCGCCACCATTAGAGCTAGTCTTGATGTCACTCACAAGGACACAAGGAGAAGATCTTGATCCAAGTTTACATGTACTCATGGTCCGTGCTACATCTACTTCTCGGATCCTAGGCTAGGAGGTGCGCGTTACTTACTACAAGTTCAGAGATGCGTTATTTACATCTACTTCTACTCCGTTCAAGTTTAAGCTCAGGCTCTTGATCGAGTGAGGATGCCAGGTGCACCGACGTCACAAGGATTTCAATGCGGTCGTCCGTCTTACCTATTACAGGTCACCTATCTCAGGTCTTCGATGAGGCTTGCTTTAATGCAGTGCGAGAACAAGTGGAGAACTAGAGCTAAATGGCGTTCTTCTCGGTGGTGGTGTGTGTTCTCGTGGTGCACTATCTATCTTCACACTTCCTTGAGTCTTCTACAAGTCGGCAAAATGCTCCAGCAATGTCTAAAAATATTACTATGCATTAATTAGTAGAGAGTCTCAAGCTCAACACTCTGTCTCTGAGTACTCAAAATCAAATCTATCCTTGCAGCTTCCAATTCTTATTCTTATACCGTACTGAATAAGTAACTTCAGTTATGACACAAAAAAAAGTACTAGTCCTAGAAATTTGTAAATTTGATACTAGATGCCACAACTAGGCGAGTGCCCTGAGTTGCGGCAAGCTAGTGGCGCCTTTCAAGGGGCCGCAGCTCTTTGGAATGCCTCACGCGTTTTTGGCGCCTGATATCCGTGCCCGCGCTACTGCCTTTCTGCGCCACCTGGTGGCACTGTGGCGCTTCCTGGAATACGCTGGCGGTGTCAAGCTGGTCACCCTGCTCGCGTGGGGGTTCGCTGCGATGCAGATAAGCGGCGACGGCGTGGCCTCGTTAGTTACGCCTTGCGCGCAAGGTTCTACTCATGACGACCCAACGCCCTGGCGAGGCCAGGGCCCGCCATGGCGCTGGCTGCACTGGGGTTCCGACGTCGTCTGATGGGTTGCAAAAGGCGCCACTTCGTGACACCTTTTGCAACCCATTAGAACACTTTTTTTTTCGATCAAAAATGTCCCGACTCTAGTGCTTCTTGTGGTGGTCCTAAATTGTTAGAGCATTTTTGTCTAGTCCTGCTAGAAAAAAATGCCCATTTTTTTAGGCTCACGCGCATTAGAGTCTGGAGCTTTGCGGTGTCGAAAAAAAAAGTTCTAACGCGGTTGAAAGTGGCACCTTTTCGCGTCATTTTCAAACCCATTAGAACATTTTTTTTTCCCCTTGAGAAATGTTAGAACATTTCAAAATAATGCCTAAGGCTCTGTCGCCTTTTAATGCAGCTAGGGAGTGGGCCAGCGATCTCCCAGGGGAAGCCTAGGGCCCCCAGCGGTCTGCTGGCCCCTGCTCTCCCGCGCCATTTCTGACGCTGGTGCTGCACTGAAAAGGCAGACGGGCAGGCGACTCCTGCTCTTGCTGGGGGAAAGGCGCGGACAGGGTGAACGCTTGGCCGTCTTCCCCAGAGTGGCCATCGGTCGACCCCTCTAAAGAGCCACGCAGTTCCGCGATAGGGGCGCACGCCATCGATGCGGCGTCTACGTATTTTACAAAAAATCAGGACTAGTGCTTTTTTTTATTTCATATGATCAGTAGTAGTATTAGAAGTGGTCGTGGTAGCAGAGGCACTAGTGACGTGGATTACTATCCACACAGGAGTATAAGTCACCACATAGGATAAAACATCATTCAGAGCGGCTTATTAGAAGTGGTGAGGATGAGTAGCCATAACAGCACTTTCCATGAAATGAGAGGTGATGCTGTCCAAGGCATCCAGAGGAGAAAGAGTCGTCGCCGCAGCGACAGCCGGAGCAACGGTCGTCGATGTTGCATTAGCGGTTCTAGTTTTGCGACAACAACTACGACATGCCGGATTGTTCGCATGTTGTTATTCCACTTTAGTCAGTAAAATAGAGTTGAAATAAGTATCCACTTTTAAGTCTTTTCTTCTTGAGGAGGGACCCTGCGGTGTGGTCATCTCATGGAGCAATCTCCCAGTATGAGTAGGGATCCTACTCGGTCCAGAGATATTAAGCCATCCACCGTCAATGCATCACATTGTACTTCTGTCAATTCCGAAGAAGATCACCGTCCCACGCATCTTCTTTCATCAAGTCATGACGGCGAACGATAACCAAATCCTAGTGCCCGCCATAATTGTGGTAGCAGTCAGGGTCGACGTAGCGGTCGTCGCTGTCTTAGAGGGTCCTAGCGGTCTGTATTGTTCAGTCCTCCCATTTTTGTGGGGATACTGATAGTAGCGCACTCGTCATGGTCCTTCAGATTCACGACCACGAAGTCGAGATATAATTAAGAGACCCCTCCTACTCACTTGGATAAGATACAAGGACGCACGCCCCCCCCTGCGGATGGTCCTGTGGTGGCGCTTGCGCGCTCTTTTCCGCGGATTCTCTGGGTGGAAGGCGTCAAAACTGGGAGCGGGCGCCCCCTTGCACTTCTCTGCATGTTCCCGAGAGGCGTCCCGGCCTCTGCCGACCCTCGCAGGCTGGAGGTCTCCGGGAGAGAAGGCCGCCGAAGGCGGCCACGGTCTCGAGGTCTGGCTCCTTTTGCTGGGTTGCCCTCTTCAAATGCGCGGCAAGAGCCAGCAGGCCGATGACCAAGGCCCGGAGGGCACAGGCCAGACGGCTCAGGGGGTTCAGCCTTGCGCTTTTGCCGCCTTCAGAGGCCTTCCACACCCGACACGCTGCGGCTGCTGCGGCGGTGAGGGGCCAGCACATCGGAAGCCCCTAGGGTAAATAGGCAGGCGGCTGGATGGGAGCGGAGAGGGCCCCTTGCGCCCCTTTGGAAGCCTGCCATTCCCGGCAGACGCCTCCAAATCCAAAAGGGGTCCGGGGATCCACGGCCCCTCCCCGGGCTCGGGGGGGGGCGCTACCCTGAACCCTGTCCCTGGTACATAGGTAATAAGTCCGTTATTCTTGAGGAAGGATCCTGTGGCGTTGATGGTAATAGGTCCGTCATTCTTGAGGAAGGATCCTGTGGCGTCAACATGTTGTAGTCGACGTGGGGCCTCCGAGCATGATGATGGAGATCGCCAGAAACGCCCATCTCTCATGCGTAGGAAAGGAGCTTACGTTGGCCCTGTTTAGTCGAAAGATAGGCGCATGCGCACGCACCTTGCTTCCGACGAAGATCGTTCTTCGCATCTTCATCAAGTGCAGACCACGCGGGACAATCAATAACGATAAGGAAATAAGAGAAGTGCCCGCCTTAATTGTGGTGGCAGTCAGGGTCGACGTAGCGGTCGCTGATGTCTTAGAGGGTTATCGCGATCTGTATTGTTCAGTTCTCCTATTTTTGTGGTGATAGTAGCGCACTCGTTATGGTCATTGAGATTCACGAGGCCGAGATATAATTAAGAGAGCTATCATCTGAGTCTTCTAGTACTTGTAGTTTCTCCTGCATCGTATTCTATTACATACTATATAAAAAGTCCGCTCTTCTTGAGGAAGGACTCTGTGGCGTCAACGAACGTGCTGTAGTCGAAATGGGGTCGCCTAGTTGTATGATGATGGAGATCACCAGGAACGCCTTACCCCATGCGCAGAAAAGGAGTCTAAGATGGCTCTATGTATTTAGTCGAGAGATAAGCACATGCGCACGCACCTTGCTTCCGACGAAGATCGTCCTTCGCATCTTCATCAAGTGATGACCACGCGGGACAATCAATAACGATAAGGAAATGCTAGAAGTGCCCGCCTTAATTGTGGTGGCAGTCAGGGTCGACGTAGCGGTCGCTGATGTCTTAGAGGGTCATCGCGATCTGTATTGTTCAGTTCTCCTATTTTTGTGGTGGTGGTAGAAGCATACTCGTCATTCACGGGGTCGACTGTCTGAATCTTCTATTACTTCCAGTTGCTGCATCCGATGTTGATCGTTCTTCTATTTTTATATACACGGACTGAAGATGTTTCGACTTACGAAGAAAGTGGGTGCATCATAATAGTCGTCGGCTCTGCAGCGGAAAAGATTACGAATTGGGCGAAGTTATGGTGTCCCTTGATAGAGTCCTTTTGAAATGTCACGCTATTCTTTTTAGAGTCAAAAGATGTAGGTTTTTCTTTAGGACTACTCTATTATCCCATTGAAGCTGCCGCAAAAGAATAAGCATGCTGGACCATCTCCATTTTCATCAGGGTGGACCCGAAGATGCAAGATTTACAATTTTTACATTCTTCTACTCGAATAAACATCATTACTCTTGAATACTTAACAAATACTGATGAACCACACCTGGATCAACATTTTGAATCGTTGCGCAACTTCTTTTAGCTACTGGGCGAAGGCTCTTGCAGCCCAAAAAAGTTTCATACAACACTGCTCTCTGCTCGATTCGAGGGCTCAAGGAAGAACTAGACGGGCGCGATCCTCTGTTGATCCCAAGTTAATAGCAGACGATGGCACAGCGCTGTTTACAACTTGTGTTCTTGTGGTTTCAACATTCCCTTCCATAACGTCAATCACCCATGGCCCCGAATGCGGGAACCCATTCGCATCTACGCTGCCTGTAGTCCCTCTCATTAGAGAATCTAACTACAGACGCAATCAGTTACGAACTACTGCCTAGATCATAAATCTACAACTGCGTTCTATCAGTATTAGATGTATGTACTATATTCCATTGTTTCAGTAGACCCTGATCTTGAACTTGAAGAGCACATTGACCAGGACAGCACCACGACAAGCAATACTCAACTCTCACACTCGTGAAAACGCAGAAAGACGAAGACGCACAAGGCGCAAAGGCATAGCAGAGACAGTAACTAAGTGAATAAATATGAATTAGGTGATTAAGGAGATGCGTCAGCCCATGGCGTCCCACCACCCAGACTCGGGGCGGGGAGTGCGGGGGGGTGGGTGCTCGCATCTCATAGAAGCCGCCGCGCTAGTAGCAACCATGGGCACCGATTCACCACTACTAGCCTTCCGCGAGATGGAGATCGCATCCAAACCCCAAATAACAAGCTGGCCACTTGGGTGGCCGGCTTCGTAGTCTTAGTTAAGAGCAGAGTTAAGAGCACGAAGTCGAACTATACGCAAGCCAAAAAGGAGAAGCATGGCGTCACTCGTTAGCGACTCGTAGTACTCGCTGATCGCGAAGGGACACCCGAATCAGAGACACGAGTTACCGAGAGCAAACGAAGCACGAAGGAATGACCTTTACAGACGACATCGACAGAGAAGATAAGATCCAGGATATACTCAGATCCGCAACGTCACTCAATACGCCGTAACAAATATTCGAGCACTCAACGACACCGGTGCACATAGAGCGAAAAGACAAAGACCGAGTAAAAGAACAGCCGTCGCGAGATCAATTTCAAACAAGGGCCGCGCTTTTTAGATTTGGACTAAAAAAGCGACACTACCGCCATAGGCTACTCTCCTATGACGTGAGTAAGTTAGTAGCGACTACGCTTATCTAGTGGACGCGCGCGAGGCAGTTTAACTAGTCAACGCATGTGGAGGCTAGTAATTGAAAGGCGGGAGACTGCTCCTTGCCGGAAGTGTGCAAGTCGCCGCTATTAACTAACTAGATTTCAGACTATGTATAGGCCTGCTCCTTGCGAAAAGTATGCACGACCCAGCAAGACGACTGCCGCCGCTTGCGGATAGTGTGAGAGTGACCACATGCCTCCAAAACGATTAAAGCCTGCGCAGCGCGCAAGCTCTGCGCCTCTAAATCCGATAGCTAGCTACTAGCTTCGTCTCCTCATCCGGATGCGCTTCATGTCCACCCAGTTAAGCACGAAGCGCGGCCCTGTACCACGTAGGAAAGCCAGGACGTAGCGCGTCGAACAATCGAGGCTAGCTGCTCTGATGGATTGCCTTCCGGAGCTCCAAGCAACTGAAGCACCCCTATAAGTGAGTATAGTACCTGAGCAACTACGCAGCGCGACAGCACGCCCCGCATAATCTGCACCAGAAAACGCCGCAAAGCCTCGTAAGTCAGGCCTCTCTTGACTCTTGAAGACTTCCGCAGAAGTCTGGAAGCATTCTCTCTCCCGGGTTGGACTGTACTCAACCCCACAAGACGCTCCGCGCAGCATGTGCCGCAGCATACGTTTGGAAGCTCTGACGACTGCCGAAGTCAGAGGCATGACATGCCTCGCAGCGCGGTTCGCCGCAAATAAGCAAGCAGGCCTTGCCTGTGTAGCAATGTACTGCAAACCCCCGACGAGGCTTCTCACTGGGGAGCTTCAAACTTCTGAGCCTTCAGCGAGATCGCTATAAACACAAGGCGACTGGGTGGCCCTGCCTGGTTCTGCCTGGAACTTCTCAGCCAGCTTCTTGCTGGACTGTTCTGCGCCGCGTTTCATCTCCTTCGGCTCTCTGTCTCTGGGGTACGACAATCACACCCCCAAGATATCGCGGATTTGAGTTCCCTACATACTTGCCCGCAGACCATTCAACGCCAATTACTTTACCATCGAAGTGCGCCAGTATTTCTCTGATCACTTTGCCTACTTCCTCCTGTGTGTAGGCGCTAACTAGTGGGTCATCGACGTAGGTGGCTATAGTTACACCCTTGCACCAGAAGAGACCAAGCTCGGCGGGACATCTTTCCCACCCTACCTGCTTTCAGTAGGAAGCTAGCAGAGCAATCGCGCCACTTTCTAGGTGCTATCCTCAGCCCGTTAAGGCTTTTCAATAGTCTCACAGCGTCCCCACGTGGGTCCGCAAGCCAGTGCTTTGGTTGGAAGTCTAACGAACGCACGCCCACCACTCCCGAGCTCGCCCCTAACGAATGCGCTAGAGATGTCAAACTCGCCTAAGGCTTTGCCATTGGCAGCCGCATCAACTACCAACACCCTGCCAGCCGCGTGCGAGACTGTTGGCGGGAAGGTCTCAGCCCTACTAGCTTCCGCCTGCCTATTGCCTAAAGCAACGCAGCGAACCTTGTATCTACCAAGTCGCTTCTTTGTGTATATGACAACACAAAGACAAGGGGCGGCTTCATCGTCGTCCTTGGTTACGTTCACCATCGTGCAGAGCTCGCCAAGCATTACAGCTCTCTAGCTGCAGCTTTTCAAGGTTGTCGGCCTCCATGAATTTCACAGAGTCAGGGCCCTCCATGGCTTCAGCACGAGTGGCCTGAACAGTAAAAGACATTGCCGCCCCCTGCTCCTCAAGATCCAACACAGGACCCCCAAAAGCTGTAAACACGCTCGCGGTGTTAGCTTCTGCCATGTCATCCGGTGGAAGTTCTTGCTGAGCTCCTTTCCCCGTTTTCTTCTTTCGAGTTTCGACCACTGGCCTTCCAGTGCAGGCACTGCTCTTTTGTCAGGCCCGTAGGACGGCCTCGCCTAAGCTGTACCCTGGTGCTGGTCATCGTTCCGCCACGCTTGACCATTTTGAAGGGATTCGGATCTTCATCCATTAGGTGCGAACAATCTGGGGAATCCGTCGGAGGACCTCCCCGAGGCAGTTGCGCGCCGGCTAAGACTTTGCCCCAAGCATGAAACTTACTCGAATCAAGTCGCCCTGCTCCTAAGCGTCCCGCTTCTTTCTCTGTTTTGCCTCTATCGACAGGCGATCGGCCCCACCGCCGGCGGCTGGCCGTCAGCTGATGAAAACGACGACGGGCTTCCACCTGTCGGCTGATCGCCAGAGCCTCACTGTCTGGCCCGCTGGGCCTTTGCCAGCATCAGCCACCTCGCTGCCTGAGGAACCATCTGCGCCTGATGGGTTCTCCGTTTTCCGTCTCTTGGCCTCCGGGCTATCCGCCCCCTCTGAAGTTTGCAGTCGCTCACCGCCGCCCCCTCCGAGTGCTGCACAGAGGTCGCGACTCCTCCCTACAACATCGGCGCGATCAGCTACGCGCAGTGTCCGCTTCATATGGAACAGATCACCGCCAGCCCTGGGAGAATCTACCGCATCAGTGGGACAGTGCAGTCTTCCACGAACTTCACGGAAGCACTCCCGACGACCTCAGACTTTTCTGATAGGCGCTTGGCTTGCCTTTCCTCCTCTGTAGACGGTTAAACACGTACGCAACGGAGCGCGCGCACCAGTCCCACTCCCAGACGGCTGGGCCTACTCCTTGGATATTCGCCCAGATGGCGCCCGCCATCATGCGCGTCCAGCGTTCGACCTTGCCACTCTGTTGAGGTTCGTAAGGAACTGAATGCGTGAAATGGATACCCAACGCCGCACCTGTCAGCTTCCATGTACTACCAAGCCCCCTCAACGTAGGCTCTTGACCCGCGCGGCCCCTTTTGGGTTTCCTGCCCATCTCGCGGCAGTATTGCCTTCGAGCTGCACCAAAGTCAGACTTTTGCGCCATGGCATACACTTCAAGCCCAACCCAATCCGCGCGGGAGTCTATCATAGAAATAGAATAAGCTTGCTCTTTACCTAAGTGACTCGCTGGCAGCGGCCCCATGGTGTCACAATCGGCCAGGCCATGCCCGTTCTCGGTGATGTAACCTGGGTCGCGCTGTTTCTTATGAGACGCTTGGCCATAGGTTTTAGCCTTAGCACAATCCAGACACAGAAGAGAACCACTCGGCCCCAGACGTTGAAGCAAGCGCGCTACTCAATATCTGGCGCAGTCTTCGCATGTTTTGCGGGTTTGACTGACACACTTGAGATAAGTGAATCGCGCGCAGACGCTTCTCGTTCAAATGAAACAGCTGCCGCCAGCATTCCGCCCTGGGTCTGAAGCTCAGCGGTGTGCCTTTCGCCCGAAAGATCGTAGCGAACCCCTGAGCCCTTTGCGCAACGAAGCCCACCTCCCGCTTGCGTTAGCTCTTCCACAGAGATGAGCTGCTGACGCAAATCAAGACGATGGCGCCCTATTGCCAAGCCTTTAGTAGAGAACTCCTTGACTTGAAGTACCCAGCTCGGGCCCTTGTCTTACAAGGGCCGCCAGCTATGCCCAGGGGAAGCGTCACACCTGTGAACTTCTTGCGCGCAGATTTGTCACCAGTCACCTGAGGCGATGGGATGCCCCTGCATCAGCGACCCACTTGGACTGCCGGCCCCCCTCTGGGAGGTTGCTCATTTTGCTATTTGCACTAGCGCCAGCATTCCCGAGGGCTTGCCTGTGGCGCAGTGTCGTCCGCGCTTGCCGTGCCCACCTACAGGCGCAGGATTAGCCTGCGCCCCGACGCTGTTCTTCCAGCTCCTACTTTTGGCCGAAACTACCTTGGCCGACGAAGATGAACTGCCTGAACTTATACCCGTGCACAAGTCCGACCCTGTCCATACCGACCCACATAAGGCCGACGATCTTTGTCGCCTTGGTCTTTTGCCAAGATCATTCTGCTGGGACAAGACTGCCCCCGCCAGAGTGCCCCCAGCCGACTCACCTGAGACCGGTTGGCACTCATCCGAAGCCCGAAAATACAGCCCAGAAACTGGCAGAGAGTCACTCGATTCCTCATTTTCTTGCACTGTTGCTCTGGTTTGCTGTTGCCCGTTGAACCGATGCCGAATAGGCTGAAAATTTGACGCATTACCTAGCACGCCCGCGGCGGATACCTCCGCACCAGTCACAGACGAACAACACCAGGGAGGTCCAGCAAAGACAGACGTCTCGCAGTCGCCTGCAGTATCCGCCATCGAGGATCTGTCTTCTTCTTCTTCTTCGCTCACTCTCCTTCTCTTTGTTGTAAAGCTCCACCGCCTGCAGAACCTTCGCGCGCATCTTCTTGGTCTCCTCAGACTTGAGCCCCATGCGAGCTAAGTCACCCGGAGAACAAGCAAGAACGCGCCGCAGCTCTTGAACCTTGGTAGGGTCTTCGCCTTGTTCTTCAGCGTTGGGAGTCATGTCAGCGCCTTCCTGATGGTCTCCGGACTGAACGGAGCCAACATCGCCGACAGTGACTGGATTGCCCTCAGCTTTCTTCTTGTTTAGTTTGTCCCGCAAGCTCTTGGGAGCTTTACTGGGATCTTTCGCCCAACGCCCAGACTCAAGACATCCAGACTTGCTGCAGTGCGAGCACCAGCCCCCACCCTTCTTCGCCTTTTTCTTGCGCGGGTCTTTGCCCTTTCCTTTTCCCTTACCCTTGTGGGCAAGTTTATCCCTCAAGGATTGGACTTGTTTCGTCAGGCTTACCACTGCACGCGCAGCGAGAAGCGTCCTGCGCGTGTTCGCCTCCTCTGAGGTCCTGCAGAGCAGCCGCGAACTCGCGCAAAGCAAGGCTGACGACATCAGGCGGCGCCTCTATCTTGGCGCGCCAAGAACATGGTAGACGGTACTACACCGCGCGGCTTATCGGCGCCAATGAAGACGCACGCGGCCACGGACTCTCTAGCGTCAGTTTTACTCTGCAGAGCTTCAGCCATGGCGGCTGCTTTTCCTTCGGTCCAGCTGATGACATCCGTACCCGAAGGCTGCGGGCCCATCGCCTGCCTGTACCCGGAGAGACGGGCGCCGGCCTCTTGACTTGCGTACTTTTGACACAAGGAAGCCACGAACAAGATCGAAAGAGCGTGCCGAGGAGCGGCCATCTTAGCCACAGCCAATGCCAAAGCCGACGAGCCACCCAGCAGAGCGTTCAGAGCTACAGTCTTGGCCTCCTTTAGATGCTTACTCGCGGCCTGTACTGCATCAAATGCAGGCACCTCCTCAGCTTTCTGCTTATTTTCCAGAATGTCCCCAAAGTGGACGCCCCTGCTTGCTTCTTCCAGCAGAGAATAGACCTCGCAGCGCCAATCTCCGAAGCGAGGCAAGCCTTAGGCGAGCAGTGGTTTTATCTTCGGCGCCCATTTTGAATCTACAAAAGAACAGCGAAGAACTTACTTGCCCAAGCTATGCAAATGCAAACTGGTGAGGCTATAAAGAGCCTCACCTCTTCCCTGAAGCTCGTGGCCTCTAAGGTATAGAATGTTAGAACACTGAAAACCTAGAAAACTAGACCCGCAGAGGAGTCAAGTTGGAAACAGTACCCCCTTCGCTATACCTGCGAAGGCTGGAGCAAGTCCTTTCAGTTTGATGATTCTCATGCAGTTCCAGCGAAGTGCGCCCGTCTGTTTCTGACGAAAGACAACAGACGAAAGAAAGAAGCCCCGCCAGGTGTAAGCGCGTAGAGAGGCCCAAGCAGTGCGGCCCTGCGTTGCTTTGTCTTGTTTGGCCCGTTAAGGCCGCCCCCCGTTCTTGCCTGGCGCCACCGCGGGGCGTTTGCGTACGTGGAGGCTTGCGGATTCTCGTGCGTGTCTGGTGGCCCTCTTCTGGTTTTTTTGTTGGACTGCCGCGGGGGTCTTGCAAATTCTTAAGGATTTGCATGACCCCCCCGGCAATCTCATGAAAAAACTGAAGGCAGCGCAATGCCCTGCACATGAGTCGACGCATCTGAGTCAGGCACCGCCGGCACTCGGCTCTTGTCGTAGTCAATTCGTAAGGTGCAACAGCTCACCCGCGGGCTGTCTCTACTCTAGCGGCTGTAGCCCGTGGGAGGCCGCAGAAAAGTGCGGAACTAACTTGAAGCCGGGCGAAGCTTGTGGAGGCTAGTATATACTTAGCCATATCATGAGTAACTTTTAGAGATCTTTAAATCCTGCTCATCTGTTGAATGATGTCCGTCCGTAATCTCACTGAGTTGCGAAGGCCATGACGGGCAGCGGAGTTCGTGTCTATACCAGTGGGACCTCTCATGAGCGGGAAGCAATACTTCGTATTTTGGGTAACCGGTAGCGTGGCTTCGCTGACTTCTTTTCTGGCAGCGGAATCGTTAGAAGAAATCCCTGATGCGCAAGAGCGGAGCGTTGCTGGAAATTGATTCTCAGGGCCTAATCAGTGACTCCTCAATCAGGGTCATCAATGGCTTGGTCTTATCATGGTGACGTAAGACCCATCATGGTGACCGAGTTGATTATGATGAATCTTCAAGGCCATCACCCATGATGCTAATCCTAATTATATTTTATCAATCTAATAATTCTTATGACGTGGCTGTTCTGGATCCGACAGAGTGAGAGTGAAGCTGAAGCAGGCACCGGCGCCCAATCAGTAGCCCACCAGTCACTATCAATCAGCGGCCGAAGACGAATCTTGAAGCACTTCTACGTACAGCTCATAGTTACGCTATCGATCGAAGTACTAATAATTCATTAAGCCATAACCCAGTAGAATTTCTGCGGACCGCTTGGCGTTCCCGGAACAGGCTCGATGAGATCCACGGGCACATTCCGCCAGCTCCAAATCGGGTCTTGAAAATACAATCTGCTGGTCGTAAATGATCTCAAACAAGTTAGAGACAGGCCGCTTACTCAGACTCGTTGGTCACCGACCATTGCTATTAAGTCGTATTTAAAAAAGGCTGACGAAGTTGTACTATTCTTGTTATCGAGCGACGAGCTGCGAGTAATCATAATCATTGTCATTCTACAAGGAAGGGTGAGAATTATTGGCCGACGACGACGAATTTGTCCATGCGTCCATGATGTTTTTTAGGCATAGAAAGTAGTGAGAATTCGGCTTAGCACCGTCGTTCCCCTTACCGTCGCCGTTCTGATTTTTTTTCCACAGCCAGTTTGCCTCTGTGATATTGGGACTTCTTGGGCATCCCAACCCGTAGCCAGTTACTTGTATCTTCTTGCTTGAATCGTTTGGATCGTCATCGTTAGAGATCCTAGCGCGCACTTATCAGTGATGTGAGTGATTCTTGAGTTCTTTTCTCCTCCAGCCCTTTATTTGGCTGCGGTCATGCTATGTCATGCCCGTGTACGTAATACCCAAGTATGGGTCATTCCTATCGTTCCTTCAGTCCTATACTCTTCATGATCCTTCCGGGTGCGGACTCCTACAAAGGAGAGGAGCCCGCTCGTCCTCGCCAGACGAAAGGGCGTTCTTCTCTATTACTTACTCTTCTCGGAGTAGTTTAGAACTACATTCAGGGAAGTTGTAAATATTAATATTCAAAGTTAGTAGCACTTGTGCTTTCCTTAACAACTTCACCCTCTACTTCTCTCCAGACCAACCTCGTTGCCGCAGATTCTGCGATGGTGTATAATTTGGAGTTGGGTTCGCCACATTGCACGATTAGACGACATCATCAAGGTCCGCAGCCTTACGCTGCTACTTTCATTCCAGTCGTTCGCAATAGTTTTTATGATCATATGTTCACATCCAACTTCAACTTCTTACTTTTTAGACCTAGAAAGGATTTGAGTTCGAGTTGTTGCTTCTACTTGTTCTAAGATAGTACGAGGGAGAAGAATGCTCATGTTGTATTAACGAGCTCCGTGGTCGTGTAGATGTGCATCCAGTCTTCGATATATGTTGATTTACTGGTTACGATTGCGAAATAAGGAAAGGGCCTTAACAACGTCATAGCAGGCCCTTCACCGTCAGCGTCAGCAATACTGGCCATACCCGCATCGTTAGAGGTTGTACCAACAACTCATCTTCTAGGACATCTCTTAGAAGATTATTCCAAGGAGGAACTCCCTAAAAAGAATGTGTAAAAGATGGGAGTGTGTCGGCGGTACCCATAAAATAAGTGGTCTTCCCGGATGCTGAGTCGACTTCAATTTTAAAGGCATCCTCACATGTGCACCAGCAGTCGTCGCAGTTTGAGCCCCCAGGATTCGTCTGGCGTATCACATATTCCTGCCCCACCACCAAATTTTAGACGAGAATACGACTTCTAACTAAAACTTTTAGATCTACAAGCTAATAGACGCGGTTCAGATAGATCTAGATGAATAATACGCCGTGGTGCTATTACTACAACTACAAGCTAAAAAAACTACACCAGTATCCCTTCATGCAATCTTAAAAGTGGGCAATGTGGATGTGGCTCCTCGATCGCCGGCCAGTCGATGTAATTTGGTGAGACTCTAATCTACTACTATTTTGAAAAATTCAGCATAGAAGCATCAACATGTCCAGCCACGACCCTTCTTCTACTGTAAACAGAAAAACGATGTTGTTCACCGAAAAATAAAGTGTGCATGTCCGATTTCATCTAAGATAGATTAAGTGATTGAAGAAGTGACACGCCATAAAAATCTGCTCGGCTCGTTATCGCCGGACCAAGTGCAGCCACTTTCTCCACGCAGGATGCGAGCAGGAGAAATGGCGTAACGCGAACAGCCTGTGTCATCTTGCTCCTTTTTAACCACACAATGAACCTGACATGTGCAGAACAATGAGCCTGAGCAGGAGTTAGACGGAGTAACAATAGATCTAGATCTATTGTGTTTGTGTTGTGTTAATCTATTATTAAGCTAAACTTTTTCATCTTTTTAAGGTGTGAAAACTGTAACGCGCGCGCGCGCGGGTTACGCGCGCGCGTTATAACGCGTTACGCGCGCGCGCGTTAGTTACGCACGAAATAAGGCGCACGCGGAGGGGGTGCGCTCCCGGCTCGGCTCAGGCTCGCCGGAGCGGGGCCGGTTCGGGCTCGCCAGAGCGGGGCCAGCGACGGCGGGGGCTCGCCGGAGCGGGGCCGGCTTGGGCTCGCCGGCGCGGGGCCGGCTCAGGCTCGCCGGCGCGGGGCCGGCTC